GTGTGCGTGCGTTCGTCAGTCAAGACAGTTAATCATATTATCAGTGCACTGTTACAACAGCTTAATGCTGATTTAAATATCAAGAACTGTTGTTGTTTGTTGTTAAAACACGGTCATTGTTTCTGTTATAAAGAAAAATAGAACTTATTATTTAACTGTCTATGTTTTTTTTAAAAGTATTAAACGTTAAACGTAGACTTATATACTGTTGTTGATTTATTACTTTGGGTATATACCTAAAAAATTGTCTGATTTCAATCTATGCGACCCGTGCATACTAAACCGTGGTCTGCAATATTTGTTTTTCAAGCAGTATATAGCCTGAAAATTTCCCGTAAAGATGATGAATAATTTTGTCCAAATTTAAGGTATATAGTGTGGTAATGGTTGGAAAAAAACAATTATTTGCGCCATGTATGACTCGCTTATGGGTTTTGTTATAACGTTGGTAAGCAACGCTAAAAATCGCAATAAGCGGGAAGTCTATAGTTTACATAACTTCATTACTAACTTTTTTACAGCTTAAACATACTAATGGAGTGAAGTTAAGATTCAAATATAATTGCCGTTTTAAATTTTCCAATTAACAACGTTAAACGTCAATTTAATTTTTCGACGTCATTTATTTACAAAGTGATCAAATATATGACGTTCTTTAAATAAGTATATCTCAATAACTAACCCTTTGATTTTAAAACAGTTTTCACCGTCATATTCAGAAAGAAATTCTCTACAATAATAAGTGAAAAACCAAATTTCGAAAAAAATGTCATTAAGACCGGTTTTCTCGCGTCGCGCCTCATATGTAATTTTGTCTTCACAAAAAACAAGTAGCATCACTGTGACTCAAAATTGTCTACAAAAAATTACAGGATTCAAATTCAAAGCATGGCTCTGTTTCAATAAAGTTTTTATAAATGTGAAGTTAAGATTTTTTTTTAACTTAACTGGACAATTTGCCACCAAAATGTTCATTTAAAACAGGTTTAATGACTTTTAAAGGTGTTAACAAAATTTATATATTATAATATATTCGACAAAATTTACACCACAAAAGGTCCGCATAAATTCAAGTGTTAATAACAGGGTGAAAAAGACGCTATTAAAACTTCATAAAAACTCCGTTTCAAATTGCTATATAATTTCAATCTGATCATTTAGAATTCATTTTAAACATTTCGGTGGCATTAGCTAGCCTTTTTATTGAACAGTTCATTCAAACGCTGGCAAAAAAATCTTTTGTTCATGTAAGAACTTGATGGAAATACTTTTAATAGGTTTATTTATTCACTTTGAGTAATGTACACAAAGGTTATAAATGGTAAACATGGGGGACCTTCCATCAGGTATTATCAATCTATTGTAAGATGTATGTTTGCCGTTTTATGGCGACTACGCAGTTTGACTATCTCGGAGACAAAAGTACAATGAATATATAGACAATTTTAATCTATTACCGTGTTACCCAGTGATTCTACAATTTTAAAGTCCCTTTAAAAGGCTTTTTATACAGACTTAATGAATTCAGGTGATAGGACGGTTTTGAAGATTATCTCAACGTTGAAAATATTGTTAAAAGAATGGCCGATCATGTAAAGCTTTGATGTTATGAAGACACAAGGTTTTTAAACAGCTGTTCCAATGTCTCAATGTAATGTTTTGTCAATGTTTTGTTGCACTAGGTTATGATAATATTAAATTTAAAAGAATAAATAGGCGAAAAAATACCCACAATAAACAAAAGCTATATACTACAATGTATAATATAACTAGTGTCACTGAATATTTCAAATATTTTAAACAAATTTTAAGTTCAGTCTGAACTAAGGCAAACAAAAACTTTTTTTAAAACTTAAAAAAATATTCAGACTGACTGTCAGTTTATTTCCATAGATAGTACATTCTTCAGTTCAAGGATGAACCTTAAATTAGTCACTATAGATGAATCAAGTTGTCACCATTGAAGTGAGTGCTTGATTACTTTATGTTATAGGGGATATATAACAACCATAAAATCTTGACAATGTTCTCTTCAATTGACCAATACTGGTCATTAAACCAAGATTCACATGTACAAGTGATTTAAGACCACAGACCACATTTATTTTTGACAGGTTGCCATAATTGCATACAGTAGGATTTCAGAACAATTATCTTTTTTCTCTACTTTTATCTTATGGGGGTTGAGAGGGGGGACTGGTGTTGGGGTGAAACAAAAATTGGAATCATAACATGTTTTTTGTTATCATAAGCATTTAAAGCTGCTAAATGCAGGTAAAAGATTTGGTTTGCTTTTAGTTGGACTGAACTATCTATTGTTAATTTAGGAAAATCAAAATACTAAAATTGAGGTGCTTAAAGTATTTATTATGATTTATCCAGCATCACCCTGCCGGGGATCAAGGTTACAAAGTTTGTTACATAGCAAGCCCTTGTCTGAACTAACTCCGGGTGTGGCAACCAAACAACAAGAATAAATTAGTGCCATCACATCCAAACTAGAACTGTTTAAAATCTTATAATGTTCTTTGTGTACTGATGTATTTTAATAACACTTCTTGCAACCAGCCCCTGTCTACCAATATGAGAAATGTTTTGTAATGAAATTACATAATTTGGGGGGAAAAAGCAAGTCACAACAAAGAGCCAAATTGGGAAATTGGAGAAATTTGACACAATTTTGGGAAAGGAGTTTTCATCGAATCTGTCTACACAAGTACAGAAACACAGGCTGATACTTCATTTATTGTCTTGATTTACTTAAAAGTCATACTTCAAAATATTGTCATTAATACCTTATATACACCCAAAAATAAACAAATTTCATTTTTTTGTTATAATATGTGTAAAAAAAAAAAGCAAAATGCCTTAGTCATAAAAATCATTGGGTGATAAATAAGAACTTTTTTATACAAAAGCCTCGTGCATACCAACAGAAATGTCAAAAAAGGAAACATTTTCCTTCAATAAACGTAACAAATACGCATGTGAGAAATAAATCTTTGGTGATGTATAGATTAGGATATCTTTAAACTCTATAATATCATACCAAGATGTCATTTATATTCTTACCTGTATAATTTTCTTATCGTCATGTCAAACAACAAAATCAAATTCTATCAAAATTAGAAATTTCTTAACTCTCGATTGCATGATACATGTATGTAGAATTTTGTTAACTGACCAATATCTCTTTGAGAAAGAAGTATGAAATATTATTCTTTATAGTTTGGTTTTAAGCACAAGTTTTATCAGAATTTTAGTTGGTAACCTGCTGATTTTTATAAATGGACTTGTCCACCCTCCATTTTTGGAACCATCCAAAATCAATTTTGGAGATACCAGGATAAATATTTGAAGTCGGTAAGTCAATAGTATAGACCCTTACGAGACTGCACTAATGTTCTGGCTGGCCCGATTCTATACTGGTGGCAAAGGCTAGTCACTTAAGATCCCAGGGGTTTAAAGATTACAAATATACCAGCAGAAAACACGTTTCCTCCTTGTAACTATCAACTTCTCCACATACATCATTTGAAACAGTGGTGGAGCACGAATATGGTACAAGGCCAGAGATGTCGCTAGTAATAACTATTAGAATTTAAGAGAACTTGATGCAGGACGAGTAGAAAAATGTTGCCTGCACATTGGATTTAGAAGCTACTCGTCCTGCAGGATGTATGGCTCTGACAATATTTTTGATGCCTGAAGGCATGTCATCAACCGAATTCTTGCAGGCAAACATGTGTCACACCTAAGTCTCAATCTTGCCAAACTCCAACATCCCGAGACCAAAAACTCTAATGTACTGAGCCCATCTAACAAGCTTTGAATTTAAAGGCGTAAAAACTTAAATGACTTTACAATACTGAATTAGAAAGGAGAAGATTTTTGATGTGTCATTCTCTTACTAGATGTCAATCAGTTTAATTACAACAACAACACTATTATATTACATCCAACATATTCTATTACAAGAAGATCAAGGAAGTGCATTTAATTGACAGGTATTATAAACAACAAAAAAATCTGAATGTACAAGTATATTCTTCAAAATGTTAACAAATTAAAGTTTTGTTTAAACTGTTTAGAAAATAAAGTTTTGTTTGAACTTGAAAATCAAATTATAATCTTTTTCTGTCTCAAAACTTGAGTAAACAAGATTGAAAACTTTCTTGTTAAAATCTTTCAAACATATTTACAATCATAATAGATTTGCACTTACATATGCTCAACATTTTGAAAGTACAGGTAAGTTATGACATTAAAGTATTGAACTAAATAGTTCAACATTTAATTGAAAATGCAAAGATCCTTTATTGATATATATTTATTCAGCCTTTTTAACTTTCATCTCTAATTGTATTTGTATATTTACAAATACAAATTTTCTCTGCAGTGAGATTATCATTGTAAATCTTATACATAAATAATTCAAACATTTCACCTTTCATTTATAAATAAAAAGCACATACCTTAAAACCCTTTTTAATGTTTAAAATAAAGATGATCTTGGTTGGATTTTTTTATCTTCTCAGTTTAATTTGAATCATGAACACCTGGGATTTGTTTAATTAAAGCAGATCTATAGACAATAAAGTTAATATGGTTATAATTAATTAAAACTAAATTAACAAAACAGGTGCCCAAAAACAAAACTACATGTATGTTCAAACAATTGACTATAAACCAGAGATTTGAACTTGCCACTCGTGGTTAGCTACTCCAGTCATTAAAAGATTTAAAAGTTTAAGTCAACATCAAGGACACCATTGAAAACAAGGAAATATCAAGGTTAATATTTATTTTACAGAAACAAACATTATGTCATTTCCTTCCCACAGCTACAAATGGTAAGCTGAGTCAACTGCAATAGAAAGAATAGCAAATAATGAATCTTGACATCATCCACTTTTGCTTTATTTGGATTTGTTTTGAAGGGGATTTTTTGTCTGTATCCTAGGCAACTGAATATTTTGTAAGAAAGAATTAATACATACCTCTATAATAAGCTTTTGTAATAGCATCAAATTCTTCCTGACCAGCAGTGTCCCATAACATCAATCTTATATCTTCACCATTTACTCTATAATTATAATATAATCAAATATATATAACAAATAAATTTGAATTTGAATGCAGTGCTCTCCATACATTTTAAAGTGGTTCAGCCGGCTGCTTGGCACTACATAGAGACATGAGTTTCAATGGTTTATCTCTGGGGGTATATAAGATTCAGAATTACAATGTTTTGGCCTTTTGACGGCAAAAATTAGTTATTTATATTTTATCAACCAAACATATTCGAAGTCATTAATCATATCATATGATAATACATTTTGTATAAAGTAAAACTAAGAAGGTTTAATATTTGAATCCTAACAAGTATATAGTTTTTAAACTAGCATAATGTCAAGTGAAGAAGTGGCTTAGTGGTTAGTTTGTCTGCCTCCCAACCCAGCAATTGAGGGTTTAAGCTTTTCTGCGGACATACACATGATGTCTCCTCATAACACAACAGTACTGGGTTAAGTTCCAGGAAGCAGATTTGAGAGCTATATAAACTTTATTCATAATCAAGCTTGAATCAACAATACTTAAATGTAATGCAATGTAATGTAGTATTCAGGCCAGAACATCATCAAGGATGCTAAGCTGAGCTTCTTGGGCCAATTTGGTAGACATGACTCTAGACTGGTCACTTCAGAGACAGCTATGAGACTAAACTAAATCATGTTAAACTTCCAAGCCTTGTAAATATCTTAATGTCATGTGACAGTATGACATCATATTTGACATCATTACAAATTGTATAAATTCACAAGTTTTTCAAAACTTGTTCATGTCAGACAAGAAAGTGTGTACTTTTCTTGATAGCAAACAAATTTTATGAACACTGACAGTTTTCCTTCATGTCAGGAAATACATGTTCCATTACAATTGATAAAGAAATACAATATTTACATCAGTTTCCTCCTCCATTCCAAATCAAGGCAATATTATATTATGATAACTAAAATGTTATTGCATGCATACCATTGGTATATGTTCACACTGTGGCTGACATTTGACCATTCTTACCAGCAAAGAGAGAAAATAAATGCTAAAATAGATATTAAATTTCTCTGATAAAAACTTACTCAAGCTGTCTTTCTAAAAAGTCCACACCAATTGTCTTTTTATAATCCTTCGTAAAAATTCCCTTACAGTATCTCTGAATCATGCTAGATTTTCCGACGGCACCGTTGCCAACGACGACAACTTTGATGGCAATTTCTATCTCCTCCTCACGCAACATTTGTCTGTACGTGGTTTTTTTATCACTATACTATATATATATATCCAAAAATAATTCCACTTTTACATTGTTTAATATTCACTGTTTTGAAATGTTATCCCATTTCTTTATAAACAGTTTGCAATCACAGTTTAAAAATTCTGGTGTTCTTACATAGTTATCGTATATTTCGTTTCATTTTTTACTTCATGATATTGAAGTACATTTATAAATACAAAAAACACCTTAATTGTTGGTACGTTTTCAATAAAGCACACCACTATCTTTAATAACATGCATTTTGACAAAAGAAATAATTTTGCACCATTACGGTCGTCACGTTCCCACGAAATTTCACAGGTCGTAAATTATTTATCAAATTAACAGGAACAGCATAAAAACCTATTGCACGTTCACACTTCTTTAAAACATTACTGAGTCTAGGCGTAAATGTAATTTCCGACACTTCAGTCTCGGGCACTGCTTAACTGTCTATAGCCTTAATCAGCTTATCCTTGTCTTACACTGTTAAATATAGTTCGTATTATACCTACAAAAAATATTAAAAACCCGTCTATAGGCACAATAGTGTGAAATATGAATAAACTTGTCCTATAAAAAGGAGAAAATCGTAGATTACAGTCTTTTTTGTGTCATTATTTATTACATTGTAGTCTGTATTTTCTCTATACACAAATTCCTTTATCTTTTTTTTTTCTGATTACAAATGAATTTCTGTGATTATATTACACTTTTTTCTTCTTTTTATACAAAGATCCTCGTCCTCTTCAGAGTAAAATTGTCAAATTTCACACCTGAAAATATAAAGGAGAATATCATCAGTGTTATTAATCATAATTATATGCATTCTTCAATTGACAGCTGATGTCAATACGTAACAGACACTGTAATGAATTGATTGTGCGCATATTAATTTCGTGAATATGATCACAAATAAATAAACATGAATAATATCAGATCAGGCTCGTGCATTTTGTGGTTATAATTTTCCGTTCACATTCAATAAATCCTAATCTAAACTGAAAGATCCACAAAGACACGGATTAAATAACAATGAAATTTGAAAATCAATTTACGACAAAATTCATCAATTATTTCAAAAGCTGTTGTATTTGTATTGAACTAATTGAGTCTTTGAAAACTAAACAACGTTTTAACTCATCGAAGATTCATGCCTCGTCAAAATCTATGAATGTTTGATAATGAAAACGCTGAGTACGTCAGCTATTATCAGTATAAACTTATTAATCTATATAACATGTACGTAAAACCTTTTACAAAAACTGTTCTATACAGTTGTATGGTATGGCAAAGCCTGGTTGCCCGTTTTTCATAAAAGACGCTCAATTTAAATTGTTGATATAGCGCATTGATACCATCAAAAACATAGATAATTGTATACAAAAATGTATTCTTAAACCAAACAAGTAAACATGTCAACATCACAAAAAACCCACGTCTTAAATTCATGAATCTTTTATTCAAAATATTCATTAAGAATTTGACCAGATTTTTTAACTTACAAATCGTGAATATAACGCTCATATTACAGGATTTACAAGTATGAATACATGTATATCACAATGTTATGACAATATATTGTAAAGTCAATCTATATTTTATTAACAAAGTAAAAACTTATTTTTTTCCCAATTTTACACAAACCATTACCTATGTAATGAATGGTCAATTTTTAATATCATATTCATTTTTGATAATATTTGAGAATGGATTTTAACAACTAATTGCCCTTTAACAGTTTCTCAACAAAATTGACACTTTAAATGCTAAAAATTATTGTCCAAATGTGAAATTTGATGAGTTCAACTTTGATTTAATAGCAAGATAAGAGTTGTTTTATTATATACAAAATGAACTTTAAAGGGGTACAACATAATTGCCCTATTAGCCAGTTACTTAACATTACAATAGTAAAATTATTCTGTATTGAGGCCATACCTAATAAGAAAATTAGTTTAACAAATACCAGGTACAACTGTAATATGAAAAAAGACATTTCTATATCTGACCATCTGAATTGTAGCAAATAATTTTTTAATCACACTGGAGATAGTCTGAAAATTACAAGTGTTGTTATATACACGTATACTAAACCAGTTATCATTTTCAGGTAAAATGTCAAAAATATATCCTGAGTGCAGCTAACAATTACATGGACCAGTGCCGGCTGATCTTGGTCTGCACTGCTTGCATGGGTAGGTTTAATTGCCCACAACAGGCTTAAGGCTGATAAAGTATTTCAATATAAGTATAATCATAGACCAAGTATGATAAAGCGCGAAAAGGCTGGAGCTAGTGGTCTACCTTTTCATTAAGTTGTTAAAGCTTAGCCTATTATTAAAGCTTTCTAAAGAAAGAAAAAAGAATCTAAAAATAGATGTAAAATATTATTGTGAAAATAATTACTAAAGTGTTTTATCAATTGTGTAACAAACAATTTACTCCACACATGACATAATTATGTCTTCCATGTTACTAACTTAAATAGATTTAGTACAACATAAATCTGAATGGTTAAGTTCTTACCTTTTAAAAAAAAAAAATTAAAAATCACACTTTCAACACCTTGAACTTATTGTTTAGCTGAAAAAGTCCTTCTAAAGATTTCATATTAAAATAACATTGGCTGCAGAATGTTAAAACAAAAATTAACAGCCTATATATATATTTTGTTGGAAGCAAATCTGAAAATAGGTTTCTACATGTTGTTGGCAAAAAGAATACTCAAAGCAGACATCAAAGACTTTAATACAGTACAAGTCTTCATTAAGATTATACAATTAAAGTCAAAAGTCATTAATGTTATCCTACAGCTAAGAAAAACATTTACATTGAAGTTATCAAAAATGTCAAAAGTGATTTTCACAGTTTCATTATTCTCACAGTTCCTTAAAGATTATGTGTATAAAACTGTATAATGACTAAATAAATAATCACAAGACTCTAATCCTAGTTTACATGTCATAAATTGTTGAAATTCTCCATAATCTAAGGGATTAAAACAGGATTATCTTAAGATTAACACGTAACTTTTGGGGAATTTAGTTTTAAAACATTCAACCCACTCTAAGTAAAACAGGAGTAAACAAGCATGGGGTCTTAGAGAAAAGGAAGAAAAACATTGTTAATCAATATAATAAATTTAAAGTGCACAACTGTACATAAAAAAGTTAAGAAACTTATTTTATTTCATTTTACTGAGAGATTAATTATGTCTAGTCATGAATACACAGTGACTAAAATATCCTTTATCTCACTATAAGATTAACCATCTCAGCAAGACCGGCTCTACCTATATTTATGTTATATTTCCTAACCTGCATAATTTGTGTAATGCCCAGTAATTTGTGTAATGCCCAGTAATTTGTGTAATGCCCAGTAATTTGTGTAATGGATTTGCCCTTCAAGGAATATGGAACTATCCCATCAAAGATTAAAGGACTCAAATATCAAAATACTAAATTGAGGTACTGACAGTGTAAAGAGCCTGGTTACTCTGCACTGATGTCACGGGCAGGCTGGCCTGGCATTTGGCCTAATTTATTCGGTGTGAACATTTTAGAGACTGTTTTTTTCATACATCCCCAGTCCAAAATTATCTTGTCTCTTTGACAAGTCTAATTAGTTGGACTTAAGGCTGGCATTATGATCAGAGAGCAAAAGTTGATAATTTTCGGTTGCAGCAGGTTAAGAAAAAACAATTTTTACGGCAAGAAATTGTGCATTATGCCAAAAAGTAATCGCCGAAACATATTTTAACATGTATCAATAGTTTTTTGACAAATTTATAACCAATTCTATCCAACAATACTGAATAAATAAGATAAACAAAACCAAACCGTTCATACTTGCATAATAGTCCCCAATTATTATTATATATAATTATGTTCAAATTTTGTTTTTCTCTATTTTGTTTATGGTAAAATAGACATGTCATTATGCTTACGCTTTAACGAAAGAATTCTTCATTCAGTCTTAAATATATTCTATACTTCTTTAATAAATCTTATAACAAAAAAATTGAAAAATAAAGTAATTAATCACAACCTGGTTTTAAAAATACATCCATCCCAGAATAAAAACAATTAAACTGAATCACAACGTCACAAACACAGATAGGAATATAAACATACAAAGTCATTATATTATTAACTTTTGCACCAGTGAAGTGAAAATAAGCAATAAGGTAAAAGGACCGATATCAAAGTATGCAAAGTATTTCCTAACTATATACACAATTCTCCCTAACGTATATGGTATTTTATTTACAAACCTGACAAAGGTCCATAAAAATTGACCTCAACTACCAATATTCAATAGATAATGTTTGCAATTAATACCTATGCGCTGATAGACAGTTAGATCTCTATATGTTTGAAGTGGACTACCGGTATATTAGTAGAAATCATTTTCCAATCAATCGAATCAAGTCCGTCAAAATTGTTAATCAATCCTGGATACCTGTGAAGTTCAAATTTGATTTTGACTCGGTGTAAACCAAACCTGTAAACTCTGATAAAAGCTGGAAACTTACAGAAGCACTGTAAAAATAGCAAGTTACTACTGTTAGCAATCTCTACATTTTTTGCTCACATTTTGTTTGTTTGTTTGATTGGGTTTTACGTCACACCTACACAGTATAGGTCATATGATGACATTCTAGCTTTACTGGTGGAGGAAGACCTCAGGTGCACTTCCGTGCATTACTTTAGGTGAGTAGAGCCACCAACATTCCATAAGCTAGCTGGATACTCACATACCATAGCTACTTGTGAATATGAACAAAACTTATATTATATTATACAAAATATTTTTTTGCATCTCTAATCAATTTAAAACGATTGATGGTCAGTCAAATAAAGGATCTTTTATTAACAACCAAACAAATTACAATGACTGTAGTGTTTTCACATTTTTTTTTCTAATTTCAAATTTTATAATGGGACTTAATTGAGATGAGTAACCACAAATTAATCTACATGAGAATATCGATTATCAGTTAGATAAGACGTTAACAAAGACGTGCTTCGACAGTATCAGCGATTCATTAAACACGATTAAGTCAAAACTTAAATATCTCTGGTACAACAAAGACGGTCATTAATTGATCTTAACCTTGATAAAGCAAACATCTGGATACGTTCCATGTACGTTTCTTTATCGTAAAAATTATAGTAATCTTATTTTAAACAAACTTAAATTCTGCATGTCATAATAACCTTCATATAGATATAATTGAGCCGCGTCACGACAAAACCAACACAATGGGTTTGCGACCAGCATGGATCCAGACCAGCCTGCACATCCGCGCAGTCTGATCAGGATCCATGCTGTTCGCTATCAGTTTCTCTACTTGTAATAGGGTTTGTAAGCGAACAGCATGGATCCTGATCAGACTGCGTGGATGCGCAGGCTGGTCTGGATCCATGCTGGTCGCAAACCCACTATGTTGATTTTGTCGTGACACGGCTCATATAGGTATATTTGATTTAATGAAATTATTTCAATAATATACAGCTTATTTTTACATAATGCGCATTCATCAATAATATTCATATAATTTGACTTCAATATTTGGAACTCTACGCCTAATTTACATATTTGAATGAAATAAGATTTTAAATTTAATTAAAGCTATAATGAAAAATCTGATCTTTATGCCTATTTTGATTATACACCAGGAACAGGTGCTTTTTTAAACAGTTTATTACCGGTAGATCAAGTACTTTTATACTTTATATATTAATTGGTGCAATAAAATTTTTACTACTGCTTATTATACAGAATGGACTTTAAAATATAAATGCCTTTAAAGTTCCAGTTACAACATACATAATATTTGGTATCATCATAATACTGCAGAAATAAAGATTATAGTGAAACTTTAAACTTTTAAACATTAAAACGACTAATCAAATTACAGGTGTTAACAAAGTTAACGAAAGTGTGACTCCCTTCACAATAGGAAGAATGAACCTTTGAAAGAATCAATTACCACAAAGTTTATGACAGTCCCTCTAAGATAGTTATCTTTTTATTTAAACAATAAAATTAAGTGACCCCCGGAGGTCTAAACGTCAAGATAAAGTCTTTTACTTAGGTGCGGTTCAACAATTTCTCACTAACTAAATGTATATACCCCAACATTAACCACAATGTCATTCTAACAAAATCTTGATAAAAAAAAATACTTTTTACTGAAATAGTTCTGAACGTGCTATGAAAAAAAATTTAAAAAAAAAAAAAACATATTTCTCAAAATCTGTACAAATTTGAAAATCACTGACTTAAAATCATTATCTTTTAACTTGCATTTTATTTAACCATAAAAAATTAACCATAAAAACAAATCAATGAAAAAAAAAGCGCTTTGTTGCGCTATTATACATGTATGTATATCTCCTTTGATTGCACATTTCTCCAGTAGATAATACAGCAATGATTTAAACTTCCTTCCCTACAGATTTTTGCATAAAACTCGTCACTTCCAACTTTGAATTTGTAACAACAAACTGTTTCTTATAATTACGAGAATTTTAACTTATTTTCAGTAGCCAATAATATACATGTAGTTTCTGTATCATAAGTTTAACCTTAACCTGACTTATTTCTAAATGGACTTGTCCAGCTTGCATTATTTTGGTTCAGTCGATTACCAACTTTGGATAATATATCAAGATAAAAATTCAAAGTTAGTATACCAATAGTATAGAGCCTGGTCAGACTACATGTTATGATGTATGTGCAGGCTGGCCTAGCTCTGTACTGGTGGCAATAGTCTTATCACTTCCAGTTCCAGCATGGTAACGTAAGGGTTTGAACTCGGTTCCAGCATGGTAACTTAAGGGTTTGAACTCGGTTCCAGCATGGTAACTTAAGGGTTTGAACTCCGGACAGCTTGCATTATGTTGGCTGGTCAGTGACTTCATGCTGGCAGTATTTTCATTTTTAGTTCTACATATTTATAAAAGAGCAAGGTGCAAGAAAATTGATAGTGATCAGAAATTCCATAGGTAAGTCATAATGGTTTAAAAATATATAGGTTGTTATCTCATTCGACCTAAAACTTCCACAATTTTTTTTTCTTCAGCTTTAATTCCCATACCATAACAAAGTAAGACTGCTTTATACTGTTTTAATATTGTGAATTTTCAAACCCTTATTAATCCTCTTGTATTTATTTATGTCTACAAAAACATGAGTCAAATAAATTGTTGGAAAATGAAATGAAATTTGATTGGAAAAGATGAAATATCAAAGTTTATAATCATAAACTTTAGCTTTAATGAAACTGAAAACTGTATTAAAAGTTATGAGATTTAAAATGCTTTTGATACAAGCATAACTTTTTTTTTACTTTAAAAATTAATGAACTCAGTTTTAGTGCACATTTAAAAAAAAAATCTCCCTCTATAGACTTTTTATACATACCACAATATTTAGACAGCATTTACATATATATAAATTGAATTCGCTATCAAATATTTTGCTGACAATACAACACTATTGCAAAAAAAAAAAAGCATTATTGAACTTTTTTTGTATAATATCTGAGCTAGCAAATAAAAAAAATCAGTTTACATAACCACATACTGTTCCATTCCATGAAGTAAATTGATTAACAATTAAAATCTTGAAGAAATCCTTACCTGATTTTTACAATCGATACATATCTCAAGAACTTCAGTCGAATATCCTATGATTAAATTAAATCTCTTAAATGGAACGTATTCCTTCAGCAGCTTATACATTTCAATCAATGTGTCCTATAGGTTTACTTTATTTACGCTTTATTTCACCAAATTCAATCTGATCACTCACGCATGCACAGGGGAAGTAACTCATACATTACTAGATATGACTATCTTCTTGTATAGATGTAAAATGACAAAAGAGGAAATGGAACATGTTTGGTTTTCTTTCTAGATTTTTGTATTTTGAAGTTATTTTTTACTGATCACAGCTGGTATATATAATTCCTACAATAAATACAAATTTGTAGAAAAAATATGCACACATACATGCATACTAAGCATTCTAGAAATAAAATTGACACTATTTTAATTTTCAATGATTCAAGCAGTTATCCCTACTGACATTGTATACTCAGGACTTGCCTAACATTAAACATAGAACCGTCAAAAAGTTTCAGAAATTTCAGTATATAAGCTTTTAAAGTCAGACTGTACAGATTTCCAACATGTAACTTTACCTGGCCTTACCTGGGTCAGGCTGGGTGGATTCTAAATGATCTGCAATTGAAACTTCAACTTAGCATTCATAGGGTAAAACCCCACACACTAGTTTAACCACATCACAAATCCTAGATGTATATATAAATTTTGTAAGCCATAACTTTATAACATTGATATTTACTAATATTTACTAGTAAATGTTAACTGTAGCATTATGCTGTAAACAATTTTACAGCAGCATAAACTTTAAGCTGGATTTGTGCATTTAAATAAATGTAAATTAATAGTGATGAGACCAGCATGAAGTAGTGATGAAAATTTGTCAAAAGAAAAGGGTTTTAAAAAGGGCTTAGATCTTCCATCAGAGCCCAGAATCATCCTACATGTTAACATTTTGTACAATTGGTCTTGGCCTTTCCATTATGGTCACTTTTTTACCTTATCTACCATACATACAAAATCAAATGAAATGCTAACCATACAGTCATATTGTATGTGTAAATGTTCAGGATCACAGTTTAAAACTTCATCAAATACTAATTATAACATGCACTCCATTTATATTTATTTTAAAACTAAATACCAAATTATCTGCCATTTCATCAGCTTACATCTATACATTTTAAATCTTTAAAATAATATTTACAGTTTACATGGCATAAAAACATCAATATGTCTTACATTCACACAGTAAAAATTGTATTGTCAGTCGTTTGAAATAGAGTGTGGAATTACTATAGAATTATTATATTTTAAACATTATCTTTTATCTGAGGTACGATAAAAATGAAAGCAATTAAAATTTTAAATAAGTATAGACATCAAATAATAAATCTTATGACAATGAAATAAAATGTGCACTCCAAACATGTGACAAGTCATTATTGATCAAATTCAACCTGATAACATTTGAAGGGAACTGGTTTCTGAATAAAAAAAGAGCTGCCTGTCATTACACCAGAATACTTTATTTTTTCAAAAACCTCTTTGCTCATAGCAATTATTAAATGTACAAAATAAGTTTTGTCTGTATCAGAACAGGGTCTGAGATTATAATGACATTCCCCAAGCTCAAAATCAAATCTCAGGTATTTGATTGGTCAGAAATTGTCACAGAATGTACACTGACCAATAAAAATCCTGAATCACAAAAAAGTTTAACAACCTTGAGGTTTTTATAAACTCATAGAAATATCCACAAGGATATTATAGACTGAACTAGAGGCCTGGTTCATGCGTGCGACACAGCTTCTCATAGTGGTGAACATTTGTATGAAGTTTCATTAGAATCCCTCCATACATGTAGAAGATATGCTGTGGATAAAATCTTTATATTTTATCATCTTTAGTGACCTCGACAATCATCTTTAGTGACCTTGACCTTTTATATATGAACCTAAATTACATGTTTCACACCATTAGTCATAACAATGACCATTTGTGTTTCAATCTCTCACTTAATGATGACTAAATGGTTCGAATACACATTTTAATATTTTTATCTGAACTTTGACCCCTTGGTGACCTTGACCTTGGCAGCAGGGATCTTAATTTTGCATGCGGCACTCTGCCTTACAATAGTGAACATTTGTGTAAAGTTATATTGAAACCCCTCTATGCAAGTAGAAGTTTTGCTCCGGACAAGCGTTTATCTATGACCTCTACGTGTGACCTTGACCTTTGACCTAGTGGCCTGGTTCATGCCCGTGACACGGCTTCTCAAAGTGGTTAACGTTTCTATGAAGTTTCATTATAATTCCTCCCTGGGTGTAGGAGATATGCTCCGGAGAAAAATCGGACGCCGCCAGCCAGGGAGGAAAACTATAATACTACCCGTTTTTGAAATGGGCATATAAAAAGGTGTGGTTCAAACAAACAAACAACTGAGATTCTACTTAAGTTGTAAAGGGGCACAATGATGAATTTGTAATCTATTGATATGTCCTTGTGATGATCATAAGCAGGTATATGAAGTTCATTATTAAGTATTTGAAGTAATAATTATAAGCAATATCTTAAAGCAATAGTTTAAAAAAAGAGTCATAATTTAGTAAAAACAATTAATGACAGTATTATGCTGTATTTTTACCTACCATGATCTCATGGGGAATAGAATTGTTTTCCCAGTTTCAATGATAATTCAGCTGTTATAGCGGTTGAAAGTATGTGGGGTAATACAAAAAATGTAAACTGACATCCTTGTATCTGGCGCTTAAAAATTCTGGAGAAATCAATAACTATTTATATCTATTGTATAAAGATTAAAATTATTATAAGATAAAAAGTAGGAAAAAAATGGCATGAAAATTATTCTTAAGGTATATTATATTACTGATATAATATAAGACACCTTCACATTTTGTATCTATGGAACACACAATTACAAATAAATCTAAGCAATCTCTTTGAAATCTTTTTTTATTTATTTTATATATTTCATGTCTCTCTCCATACTACAGCTTTACCACAGTGGTTGTTGGCGTCCGCGCCGAAGCGCGGCGCCCTATATGGAATGAAATCAGATTTTGTGAAAGGGCGACAGCAACTTCTCGAGCCTTTTATTATCTCACTAGAATGGGTTATGTCTAGACAACAGTGGGAGAGTTAAAACCAATTGAACATCTTCGCAGAAAAGCTTAAAGGGCATTTACCAAGGGTTTGATGATGTCCTATAAATATGATGTTGCTTTCAGATATTTTTACATCTTCAAGCGAGCTTGACCATCATATACTATAACAAGCCCATAACATCTGATATTTTGGATAAATTGGGCTGTGGTTACACTTGACTATTGCAAAAATCAATTAGTTTCAGGAATAAGTTAATTATCTAATAAGTTCTCTAGCCAATTATTTACCTAGCCTAATTAATTAGGCTGGAACAGTTTAACTCAATTAACAGACTTTTTTCCTATTGCAAAACCAATTGGAAATGGAAAGGGACATTATACCTGTCCTAAATTATCTCATGATGTCTCATAAACAAGTCTAATTTGTTGGTCTTATTTATGATTATATTATATATTATGTATTAAAGTGATATTATGCTCTTTTTTCACTGTCTAGTAGAGATTTATTAACTACAAATTTCAAAGAATTTACTTTTATAATGATGGTGATCTATATATGTAGTTGGTATGACATATGATAAATTTCATAAACTGTAAATTAACAAAAACACTGCCTTTTCCTTTTTATACGGGGAAGTCAAAGACCGGGCCCGCGAAGCGGGTCCGGGCTTTGGCTTGCCCGGCTATAGACTAAACGTGTATATTTAAAAGAAAATCAAATAAAAAAACAATTAAAAAATATATAGAATTCTATACCTATCAATGAAATTTTCAGTGTCAGTTCTAGAAAGACGCCGCCATTTACAATGTAACTCAATGATAAAAGGAGGTGTATTCCGATAACGTAACATATCTCAACTTTTCGGAATAATCGTCGAGTGTTCCGAGTGAAAACGGAAGTGGGTTCATATAATACCGAATGACACCTTTAAAACGGAAAAATGAAAGGATTTTTTTACCGACTTCCCCGTTCATAGGCTTTGCCTAATTTCATATTAAAATATGTACTTTTATCTATAAATTCTGAGAGATTATAATTTACAGATATTTCCTGTGTAATTTACAGATATTTCCTTGCGTCACATGGGTTATTTTTCCCCCTGTAAACTTGTAAAGTCAATTATAAAATCGAAAGCAATTATTGCAAAATGTTAAGTTATTTTGACTTTTACCTGTGCATGCACTCTGTCTCACCACTTTCTTAGTCCAATATATCAGATTTTAACAGGCTTGTTTATGATGGTACTTTGCTTAGAAGTACACAAATCTCAGAGCAATGCCATTTATAAGACTAAGACTAATTCAGTAATTGCATATAGTACAATTACATTTAGTTGGACTACACTTACACTTGGAGGGGTATAATGCCAATAGTGATAACAGAGCTCCAGATAGCGTGCGTATAAGCGTAAAATACGCATAGAAAATCTAAAATACGCATCACTTTCAAAATTCGTGCGTCACAGTTACGCACAGCAAAATGAAAATACGCTCGTATGTCAAAATTTATGCGTGAAAGAATAGAAGTGTAAACATTTGATATGTAGAAAGAAAATGTTTTGAGCATAAAAATACAATATATTTCCATTTTATTGCATTGAAAACTAAACATAATGTTGTCAACAACGCATGTTAAAAACGAAAGTAGCAGGAAATACAGAAGGGAGGTAACTCCCGCAGATCAACCTGTGAAATTATTGATGAACTTTGTGCCAGATAATCATCGTAGGAGTTAAGACAGTATTAAGTTTGTTTAGTCATCTATTGACATGCTTATGCTTCAATATAAACAAAAATATATTTTAATATCTTTTACTTTTGTTGTTGGAACAAAATAACATGTTTTTCACCTGCAGTTTTGTACTCAATATTTTCGTACCCAGTCTACAGTTACGGACAATTTTCTCTCAGACCAATACTTTTTTTTAAGGAAAGATATAAAAAATCTTGTTTATGTTTCTTTAATTCTAATTTCAACTATAATTGTTCAAACTGGAGTACATGATAAGGTACACGCCAACAGAAATAAAGAAAGAAAAATATTGACTCCTAGAAAATAAAATAATTTCTGGGCTTCCACCAGTGGAAGTTTGGGAGTATGTTTTGTATTGTTTCACATTAAATCACAATTTAATTTGTAAAGGTTTTTCTAAAAAAGGAAAATAAACAAACAAACAAAACAATAAGTTTAATTTGTTTATAAAAAATGCAAAATACTTTTTTGACAGATTTTACCCCTTAAGTTTTTCAGAATTTGCATTTTACCCCTCACTCTAAATTTTGAGGGGTAAAAACCCCTTGGCCAAAATAATTATCTGGAGCTCTGTGATAATGAAATGTCAAGCATCGTTCAAAAAGGTCACCGATACATAATACCTTGTTGTGAATCTATATAATACTAGGCACTTAAAATTCTCCTTTGGACTTTTGAATGTTGTACAAAAACACACGTAATCAGGTAATGAAAAGTAGAAATAAAAATCAACAGTACAATAATCGTTTACCTCCAAGCTATCCTAATGAAATTTTTCAGTTTTCTTTTCACACAGTTACTAAAAACTATCGATGACACTGTGGAATATATCAATCACGTATCAAAGAGTTTTTCATCTCATTTTGTCACACCTGATTGTGTACATTCGCGACACTGCTCACCTGGGCGCGTTTGATTGGTACAGTTGGAGAACGAGTTCAGAATTGGGAATCAAAATACATTAACTCTAGTTCGGAATTTACCATGCTCCCCAAAATGATTTGACTACAAGAATATTTGTGTTTTTTTCAAGCACTGTATACTATTGACATTTATACGCATTACAAAGAACAAAGAAACTTTGGTTTACTCAATATATGGGGCCCTACTAGTTTAAAACAGTAAATCGAACAAACCGGCCTTAACTGCTGAACTTTAGTAAAATTAAAAGGACCAAAAATAGTGAACTATTGAAAACATAGTCGTTAATTAATAAACAAACAAATAAAAGAATAAATTTCGAGAAAAATATGCATACAGTTTTCACTTTAAATTAAATATTTTATTTTTGTTGTTGTGACTTTGTTAAACTCTGTCAATCACGGTAAAACGGAAAATTGTCAAAGCCCCGCTTTGCACTTTGAAAATTGGTATGACTAACTTTTTCTTGTAAGTTGAATGTTAGTTCTACACATACCAAAAAGCTTCATGCTATACACACTTATTACATACTATTACAGGGACCTTAAGTTATCTAGCTGAGTTACTTAATGACACCATTTAGAAATTTTCAATGCTAATACTGAATTAATTGTGTTAAAGATTGAATACTGCTTAATTGATTTGATTTGAAAATCACCAAGGAAATTGTAACATTTAGGGGTATATATGTATGTTCAGATATTATTTAGAGATCTTGAGATCAGTTGTGAATTCAGAAGATATTAAAACAATGAAATCAAAGTTAATATCTATATCCATATAGCACAATATCCAACATCCGATTTCCGTTCTTTGGGAATCCGTATCCCAGATTTTATATTTTAAAAAATCAACCTTATGTGATCTATTTTTTTTCTTATAATTTCTCATAAATACATTAAGACAATTAAATTGCAAAGCACCTATCCATCTCTTAATTTAAGCAAGATGAAAATACTTAAATATACTACATGTAGTATAAAACGTAAAATTAATTGAAAACATTCCGTTAAAACTATTGAAATAGAAATTTAATAGATACCTTAAAAAAGACCCAACCAGCAGAAGGATAAAAAAAAATATTTCAGGATCGTTAGGTTGAATTTTGTTTTGGACGAACGTAGTAAATACAAGCTAGGGACTTACACGCCCCTATAATTGAACATATTCATTTAAAATGAAAACAGTGAAATATAAAAATGATTTACATTTAAAAGTGGGATCACTTTGTTTCCAGATTTTGAAAGCTAGCTATTTTATCTCCTTTTCCAGGCACTTTTATTGCTTACTACGAACAGATGCATAATCGGCTTATTTCGACCCTTTCTCCTTTTTTTTCATCGCTATTTATGGATCTCCATTTTCGAGAATTTTATACATAACCATCCCCATTAAATAGATGTAACGAAAACCTAAAAGAGCGACCTTCTAGAAACGGCAAAATTGAAAATGTTGCAGCCTAAGTTTCAATTAAGGTACGGCATGGGACGGATATTATAGAAAGTTGTTGTCACAACGCATGCGCATGTAAACTTCCGTCTAAATTTTAGCCGGCGAATTGAATTTTGTGAATTTTCTTTAAAAATCGTACAGAAATGCCAACTTTTAAAGGTATATTATGAAATAATTATATCCAAGTTACTATTTTATTGAACTGTCAATAGTTACGTTTGAATGATTAATTTCATCCTTTGTTTTACATATCCTTGGATATTTCTGCATGTGATTCACGAACATGACGATGACAAAACATTTTTTGATTGAAACAAGTAAATTTTGTGTTTGTGTAGAGTTCTTAAAGTTAAGATTTTCATTTTATAGATAATTGTCAGCTGATAATTTTGACCAGTTTTTGTAAATGAAGTTGTATACTATCATGACTATATCATATCAGTAAAAGTTAATCTGGGCTCAAGTGAATCTGGCCCCAAAGTTAGTCAATATTAGTGTTGACTGTAATGCTATCATAATCTTTGACTATCAATATCCTCAGATTATCAGTTCTTGATATAATGGAATTCCTGATAGAATAAAGAATCGCAATTTTTTTCACGAGTTTGACATCATTTGACAAGGAAACCTCCCAAGTCATCACTGTGTATTCAACCGCTTCAAAAAAACCCCCCAGTTTTTACATTAATAATGTTCAGTTTGTTTTCTAAATGATTATTAAGCATGTTTAAAAGATTACTCGAGGTTATGTTCCATATGGAGAAAAGGTACCAGGAGGTTACTCACCATTTTTGGAGGTTTAGTACCACTTACATAATTTGAAGTATACGTACCATTGATACATATTTTCATCTAATTTCTATGAAATACATACAAAGTAATATATATGGCTTAAATGATTATTATAAAAAGTAAATAAACAAATTATCACATTAATATTACTAATTACTTTCATTTACTGGCCTGCTAATCATAATCAAAATTGATTGTTAAGCAGTATCATGTAGATGTACTTTAAAAGCAAAATCTACGTCAACATAATACTGCTTCAATAATCATTCAGGATTACACTAAGCAGGTATACATTGTATACATGGAATTTAAGAGACAGCTATGATATACAAGGAAACCCAGGACCAGTCCCTAGCTCTTATTGAACAGACCCCATGGTTCATTTACATGCCCAGTTTATAGCACTGATACATGCAAGGATTATCTAGATTTCTCTAGGTAGGGAACAGACCCCTTGGTTCTTTTACATGCCCAGTGTATATCACTGATACATGCGAGAATTATCTAGATTTCTCTAGGTAGGTGGGAAACACTGAAAGTGTCTCTGAAAAATCCCAAGGATGTTACCCAGGATCAAACCCAGGACCTCAGGGACAGTCAGTGGTCTAACTAACTGAGCTATCACGCCACAACAAAATCATATCAAAGCAATTGTAAATGGCAATAGTTTTACCTGTATCTATGTATGGTTATCACTCAGTCAGAAATGAGAAATCAATCAAATAACAAACATATTACAAACTATGAAATAATGTTATTATTATAATAATTGTAATCTCATTATAAAAATACAATAGATCAATTAATCATTTAATGCACAAATTTAAAGAATAAACAATTTTTCCTGTATCCCTTGTTTTCCCTTTATTAACTATTTCTGTATATTATGTGGTACATGACCTCCAAAAATGGTACATTTATGTAGTCGTACGTTTCCTCCATGGTACATAACCTCCAAATTCTGTTCCAAAGGCCCCTGCTAAAGAACGAGAAAAAAAACAACTAATATATTGATATTCTTTTGCAGTGAATGTAAAGTGGGGTAAGGAGAAGTTCACAGATGTTGAGTTAAACACTGATGAGCCACCAGAGGTGTTCAAGGCGCAGTTGTTTGCTCTGTCAGGTGTTCAACCAGACAGGCAGAAGGTCATGATGAAAGGAGCTGTCTTGAAAGTAGGTCACATTTATGTTCATTGGTCCTTTAAAGCTACTCTTTCACGCTAAACGGGTATAAAAACATCAAGAAATTTGTTTATAGTTATTAAATATGCACTATGCATAGATATAAAATTTGCTCTTTTTATAGACATATAATATGATATATTGATATATTTTGCAGCAATCAATTGCAGGATTGAAAACTTTTCAAGTGCACATAAATTATTGTTCTACCCACAACGAACTGATCAACTTGCAACTTGTTTATAAAAAGCTTGATTTTTTACGTTATCACTATAGCACCTTGATAGTAAATTTAAATATCAGGAAATAAAATACATTGAAACAGAAACTGCTTAAATGGGAGACAACTCTAACATGTTTCATTTTTGTAAAAAAAAAATGGTAATTTTATTTTGTGTAAATTATCTTTCTGAAATTTATAAGACAATTGCCAATAATGATATGTAATATTTTATATAAAATATAATTCATATTTTTTACAGAGATAGATGGATATTTTTGGATATTGTTGTAATGAATTCACAATGAACATATCTTTCTTGTGTTACAATGTGTAATTTTAACTGTAAATGTTTTCCTTACAGGATGATGGGTGGGGAAATATGAAGCTTAAAGATGTAAGTAATAAGGCCACTCTTAAAAAATTATCTGTTTGCTATTGCCGGCCGACCCAGCGAAAATGCCCCGACTCAAAAGTTTTTTTCAGCTTAAAAAAATCAGATTTTTTTTTTATTTCCGCCAAATCAGCCAGGGCATTCGACCTAAAAAAATTCCCTGGAAAACAAAAATAAAATCGGAGGAAAATCACACATTTAATAAGTAAAGTAACGAGTGATCATTCATGGGGGCATTCTGTGCATTCCTATTTAAAGTATTTACATAAATAGCGACCAACCAGGGAAGGATATTTTCCTTACGTCACGCAGTACTGCATGCGCGCGGCAATTAAGTTGAATTAACTAATAATAGAACGTACCCAATTAAAGTGTGGAAACGGGATTAAAAATGTTTGTTCAATTAATGAATATTTGTAAAGCATTTATATGGTCACTAGTTTACCATGTGGTAATTAGTACATGTTCGTTTGTTTATGACTGTCGACACAGATTAAATACTTAGCCCATGCAATAAAACATTTCTTGTAGCAGCGGGGATTCTGTCATGAAATTGACCGAAAAAATATTTTTTTGGAAGCTGTGGTCCTTTCATATGCAGCAGACAAAAGTATTGCACAATATCTTCAAGATCATAAAAATGAAAATAAAATATCAAAATCAAAATCACAGATATACATACGTCTAATTAAACTCCATGTCAAAATGCACTTACGATAAATAATATGTCAATAATTGACACAATAAATATCCAACATTTTTTTTTACTTGAGCAATAATTAAACATGTGTAATCATTCATTGACAAAAAGAAATGACAGTTTTTTTCTGATATATAAAAAAGAGGTGGAAGTCAATTGAGTGTCGGCATTTCTTTGATGATTCGGCAACAACTACAGGTGTGTAAACATCAAAGATTCACAGATTCTTTAGAAGAGCCGACCAGTCATTTGTCAGAGGTCATTTGGTGTGTAAATTTTGTATTTATTATTTAAAAATGGAAAAATTTTATTCCTTTTATTTACGGATGCTACTTTTTGCGCGAGTGTTTTTGTGTCTTTTAACGCTATGGAATTTCAACAATCGGCGATAATTTTCGGTAACTAACTATGAAATATTTTAACATTTTTAAAACAGGGGTGCAAATATCCGCCATTCAGAAATTATAGGAGACAAATCTTGCGTGTGTTATTTTTTACAGACGTGTAATAAATTGAGTAGTGATCACCCGAGAGAATGAAATAATGTCCTGGAGATCCACTATTATTTTTCCAGTTCGTACGGGAATATTTACGCAGGATTAGTTTATCACATCGGTAATTTCACCATGCTTGAATTTATGTCCACATAGTCATTTTTTTAATCATGTTATGATTACTAGTGAACATGTTTTTTTATTGTTTTTGATTGTCTTTTACATGTCAGTTTTGCCGTCGCCGATGATGATAGTGTAGTCCAAACTTCCACAATCTGCTACAACGTACTAAGCGTATTAACTTACGTTCAGTAAAAATCATATATCAAAAAAAAAAAGAAAAAAAAAAGCCTACCTACCGACCCACTCCTTGTAACTCTGGGTCGGCAATAGCAAACATATATATTATTAAGGATGGCCTAATTAGAAGTATATTTGTACATATTTTATATAAATATTAACTACTAAATACATGTATACTTTCAAAATTACACACATAATTGTTTGTAAAACTCTGGAAAATTTGACTTGTGCTTTTTATCATTCTGAATTATGCTATATATATCTTATTTTGATGTGTAATATTTACACAAATGAAAGATAAAAAGTTAATCAGTTTGTTCATAAAGCAGCTCATTAAGTTCAGACAATAAAACAGCAAGAAAACCTTATATCTTAATGTAAACTGATTTTCGTGAATGGGTCCAATTTTGCTTTGATCTTGAATTATTCTCATGCCGAACAGCTTATCCTGTTAGCACCAATATTTGATTTCACAAACTTGCTGTAGAAATAACAACATTTCATTTTAACAGTTATAAAAATTGTGATGGAATAATAATATTATATAGTTTACTTTTATTCTTCATTTACACATTAGCAGATGATCTTTTTTCTCTTGTCTAATATGTTTTCATTAGTAGACACAGTGATCTATATTGCATAATTTACTACTCTGGGAAAAAGTATGGTACAATATATGGAAGAGAAAAATATGAACTATAGTTCCTCATTTTGTGCCAATGTAGTAACTTGTGCAATATAGACCACAGTGTCTACAGACAAATGACAACACAATATTGGATGAGAGGAAAAGATCATATGATAGAAAGTCTGACCAATAAATAATTAAATCACCCCACCTTCACCCCCTGGACTTAGTCATGGAGTTAAATACATGTACTAACATATACCTATTTGATTTATACAGGGTGCAATGTTGTTGATGATGGGAACAGCTGATGAATTACCTCAGGAACCAGTACAGAAAACAGTGTTCATGGAAGATATGACAGACCAACAACTTGCCTCCGCTGTATGTAACTTTATGTTTTTAATGACTTAATAATAATAGTTAACATTTTTTATATATAAATTATAATGATAATGTTGTTATATACTCCTACATGTGATCTCAAACATGGAGTAGGCCTGATGATTCATTTACATGTTATTTCTATGTTCAACTTTCAGTTAGAAGTACCTGCAGGATTAACTAATCTAGGGAACACATGTTATATGAATGCTACTATACAGTGTCTTCGATCAGTACCAGAGCTTAAAGAGTCTTTGAAGAAGTAAGTACTGCTGGTTATTAAACACCACCAATGTATTTCACTTGTATCAGTTTTCTCATGTGATATGTTTCAGTTAGACTGTAGGCAATACCTTGCTACTCTGTGTTGATCATAATGTATTGATACATGGTTCATGAGGTTATAGATTAAAAGCAAGGGATCACAGCAGTTCCCTGCTGAGACTGAATGAGTAATGCTTCCACATACACTATTTACTTTATTTTTCCTTTCCCAGCATCTGTACATAATTCGAGGATTGACCGCCAAACTGTTGTAAGTCCTTCTTTACCTCATATAAGTTACTGCAGTTTTGTGGTCAACCCTCGATATACGAATCAAACCTAACATTGACCGAGTCTTTATTTCTAGTATTCTGTCTGCCTAATGCTTACCTTCGCTCGGGATTTTAAATTTTCTTATCACTATTACTATTAATCTAGTGCATATCCCTGTCGTATAACACTCACAGTCAAAAGATTTACAGTACACAGAGATAGATGGATATTATCATTTGAATATGACTTAAGTTTATGTTTAAAACACATTTTGTTTAGCACGGAGGAAGGTAGTCTAGTACTGGTGTAACTCTCCAGGAAAGATGTTTAGGAAACTACCCGCCTATATGACTGAAATACTGTTGGGAAAAGGCGTAAAATAAAAAAAACAAATAAAACACATTTTAATGACTATTAAATTAATATAGAAAATTTAGAATTTCTTTGTAAGGATGGTTTGTACCAATATTACATCCACGAAAATTATTTTGTAAATTACTAAAAATTACAAACTTTTACAAGAAAATTGATTTGTGGATTACTTTGAAACAAGTTATATATCATCACCTTAGTGCAGTAACAGGTTAACTCCTATTAATTCTTACAGGAGTTAAGCCATTACTGCACTAAGGTGACAATATTGTTGATACTGATAAGTAGAGGATTTATCACTATATATTTCAGGTATACTGGTACATTAACTACAGGTGGAGCAATTGTGCCATCTGATTCTATTACAGCTGGTAAATTTATTATTCATGTTTTTTTTTAATTTTCGGAACAATCTGTGACTTTCTGATGGGGAAAATATAGCGCAATTAATCAGAAAAGGAGAACATCAAATACCAACAATTAAGAATGATATTTACCCACACACATTATAAAATATTCAATTTCAATTCAGTTTAACATGCTTGGCACATAGCAGAGGCTATCTATAGGGACAGCTTTCTGTCTTCTAGCTGATATAAGTCGGCTGCTGTTAAGTAATGGTTCTGGTGAAGAATGTGCACAGGGCAATTTAGCATTTTAAGGGGAAGATATACCTATTTTGGGCTTTGGGAAACAGCCTTTTTTCAACTGTAAATGGAAAAAAATCACTGTAAATATAGCTTTTGTTAAAAGCAACATGGAAACATTATAGCTTAATATTTTCAAATTTGTGGTAAATGACTAAGTTACAAAAATTGCTACAGTTTCACTTGTGTAAATGTCATTTATAAAGATATGAGAGATCTGTCATGTGACCTTAATTGACCTCTATATGTTTAAATGATCATTTGTCAAATTTTCTGAATTGATTTAAATTCAGGTACATGAGATCTTATTTTAATTTAACTGTGAGAAATTTTAGATCATCTATGATTTGATCTGTTCAGGTACAAGAGATACTTAGGAATATAGTCTGAATTGCTCTATACTAAAAATAGATTTTGTTACATATGTTACATAAGTTTTGTATGAATGGTGGAATGGTCAGTTCACATATAAGAGATCTAATGTAACATTTAAGGAATTTATCTTGTTAGGCATGATATGGCATTATATGAAGAAGAAAAAACAGAATGAAACGAGCTTATACATAGTACATCTTTTTACAGACATATGAAATCATATATTTGTCAACATTAGAAACAATAAGAAAACCAAACATGTAATATTGTATGAATTACTGTACACAGGTATGAGAGATCTTGTGTCATCTATGGACAAGTCTGGTCAAGCAATTCCTCCAATTGTGTTCCTACAAGTTCTTCACATGGCTTATCCACAGTTTGCAGAGAAAAGTGAACATGGTGGCTTCCAACAACAGGTAATGAAATGGTCAGACATTTGTACCCCCCCCCCCCCCTTCGATCTACAGGCCAGTGTGGGAGGATAAAGAGCGAAATGAGCTAAATATTTATTTTTAGGCTATCCCTGTACTGCTAGGTTTGGTACGGTGGTTTTGCTTAGGCACCAAATTAGTTAGGGATAAGTCCTGACAGTGCAGGTGCATTTGTAGAAAATTGATCATCTGACTTAAGGAGCTGGGATGAGTCTCTACCGTGGGCTTGGTTATCAACTAAACAAAGTCCCTGCTATTCACTGGGAGCAAGGAGGCTGAGATTACAATTACTGGTGCATAGCTGATAACTAATGTATTTCTGATGAACACATAGAAGTTTTTAATTCTCTGCAACAAGTAAACATGATTTTTTAACTTTTTGAGTTAAACAGATGCAGAAATTTTTTGCACTTGTACTTGAACAGGAAATTGGTATTGATCAAGGCTTTTTATACAACAGAGGATGATGTTCAGATTATCTCATATTTATATTTCAGGATGCTAATGAATGTTGGACAGAGATTGTACGATGTTTACAACAGAAATTACCTGGTGTAGCTACAGATTCCACCAACCAGGTGAGTTATACACATTATAGTTTTACATATTATATACCCTCATGCCTCTCCAAATACCAGCTGTATGTTCATACAAGAGACATCAAATATATCCATATAAGGAAACTATCTCAGCTACCTGATGAAAGGTCAGTGGTTTAAACTGAAGATCTGCTTGTGTGAAACATATGTATGAATAATCAGATTTCTCTTTTTGTTGCTGAAGGGTTGCTTTTATGGGTTGAGGCATCAGAATTGCAGCCACTGTTTATCCCTGTGTGATCTTAAAAAGTGACTAAATGGGTTTGAATTACTGGAGTCTATATGCATCTTTAAGCTCCAGCAGGTGAGAGGTTTTGACCTAAGTTTGTAACACCCGAGGTCGGCCAAATCATCATTCCTGTTTTAACCTCAATTGTGTTGGGGCACTGTAAAACCAAATAAAACAAAACTAATAATCAGATTTACTCCATCTTTGTAATTGGCCTGTGATTTTCTTTACACAATAGGGAATAAAACAAGAAAAAATGTACAATAATAATCACATAACTATTTCATTCCCACTAATTTCTATAAAAAGAAATATATATAGTTATTAATGTAAATCTATAAAATTTGTCAGTAAATATCTATCCTATGATTCTGTTTTATATCTTTTTTTTCGTCATACAAAACTTCTGTGTTGTTTAAATTTCCTGTTTAGAAATATGTTGCTGAAGTGAAATGTTTTATTTTATTATCAGAATGGTTCAGCATCTTCTGCTAGAGGATTTATGGACCAGTATTTTGGTGGTGAATTTGATGTAGTGTATCCTTTAAACAAGATTTATTGTAAAATTGCCGTTCATAATTTCTAAAGTGTATAAAACTATTTGGTTGTCTATAGACCCTTTCATTTAAGCGATAAGTGTCGAGGAAGAGTTACCTCCCCTTACCCATTGTGACATAAATGGTGGATTGTACTATACAAAACTTATTATGCCCCTACTTCAAAGAATATTGCTTTGCATTTGTCGGTCCGTTGGTCCGTCGGTCCGTAGACTAAATGGTTTCCGAGTGATAACTAAAGAACGCTTAGGCCTAGGAACTTCAAACTTGGTATGGTGATTGGTCATGACCAGCAGATGACCCCTATTGATTTTGGGGTCAAGGGGTCAAAGGTCAAGGTCACATTGACCTTGTAGGTAAAAATGGTTTCTGATCAATAACTAAAGAACGCTTAGGCCTAGGAACTTCAAACTTGGTATGGTGATTGGTCATGACCAGCAGATGACCCCTATTGATTTTAAGGTCAAGGGGTCAAAGGTCAAGGTCACATTGACCTTGTAGGTAAAAACTGTTTCCGATCAATAACTAAAGAACGCTTAGGCCTAGGAACTTCAAACTTGGTATGGTGATTGGTCATGACCAGCAGATGACCCCTATTGATTTTGGGGTCAAGGGGTCAAAGGTCAATGGCACATTGACCTTGTAGGTAAAAACGGTTTCCGATCAATAACTAAAGAACGCTTAGGCCTAGGAACTTCAAACTTGGTATGATGATTGTTCATGACCAGTAGATGACTAAACTAAAAATGCTTTTCGTATACACATTTGAAGGTCTTATGTAATATAACAACTTGGCTGTCATTAATGAGGCCTACATGATTCATAAAATTTATGCATATATTATTATGCCCCCATTTCGAAGAAAAGGGGGTATATTGCTTTGCACTTGTCGGTGTCGGTCCGTCGGTCCGTAGACCAAATGGTTTCCGAGTGATAACTAAAGAACCCTTAGGCCTAGGAACTTCAAACTTGGTATGGTGATTGGTCATGACAAGTAGATGACCCCTATTGATTTTGGGGTCAAGGGGTCAAAGGTCAAGGTCACATTGACCTTGTAAGCAAAAACGGTTTCCGATCAATAACTAAAGAACCTTAAGGCCTAGGAACTTCAAACTTGGTATGGTGATTGGTCATGATCAGTAGATGACCCCTATTGATTTTGGGGTCAAGGGGTCAAAGGTCAAGGTCACATTGACCTCTTAGGTAAAAACGGTTTCCGATCAATAACTAAAGAACCCTTAGGCCTAGGAACTTCAAACTTGGTATGGTGATTGGTCATGACCAGCAGATGACCCCTATTGATTTTGGGGTTAAGGGGTCAAAGGGCAAGGTCACATTGACCTTGTAGGTAAAAATGCTTTCCGATCAATAACTTAAGAACCCTTAGGCCTAGGAACTTCAAACTTGGTATGGTGATTGGTCATGACCAGCAGATGACCTATTGATTTTGGGGTCAAGGGGTCAAAGGTCAAGGTCACATTGACCTTGTAGGTAAAAACGGTTTCCGATCAATTAACTAAAAACGCTTAGGCCTAGGAACTTCAAACTTTGTATGATGATTGGTGGTGACCAGCAGATGACCCCTATTGAGTTTTGGGTCAAGGGGTCAAAGGTCAAGGTCACATTGACCTTGTAAGTAAAATGGTTTCTGATCAATAACTTAAGAATGCTTAGGCCTAGGAACTTCAAACTTGGTATGGTGATTTTTCATGACCAGCAGATTACCCCTATTGATTTTGGGATCAAGGGGTCAAAGGTCAAGGTCACATTGACCTTGTGAGTAAAAACGGTTTCTGATCAATAACTAAAGAACGCTTCGGCCTAGGAACTTCAAACTTGGCATGGTGATTGGTCATGACCACCAGATGACCCCTATTGATTTTGGGGTCAAAGGTCAAGGTCACATTGACCTTGTATGTTAAAACGGTTTCGGATCAATAATAAAAGAACCCTTAGGCCTAGGAACCTCAAACTTGGCATGGTGATTAGTCATGACCAGCAAATGACCCCTATTGATTTTGGGGTCAAAGGTCAAGGTCACATTGACCTTGTAGGTAAAAACGGTTTCTGATCAATTAACTAAAAACGCTTAGGCCTAGGAACTTCAAACTTTGTATGATGATTGGTCTTGACCAGCAGATGACCCCTATTGAGTTTTGGGTCAAGGGGTCAAAGGTCAAGGTCATGACCAGTAGATACTTGATAACCCTTATTAATTGTTTGATCACTGGGTCAGAAGTCATGCATAATAACCTTATCACATTAATAATTGGCTGCTGATAGGGGGCATACATGTTTTACAAACATATCTTGTTTGTTAAGATTTGTAATAACTTAAATTGCTGCACACAACCTATGGGGTCACAATAATTATTACCTTGTGACTAGTCATGACCAGTAAATACTAGATAACCCTTATTAATTGTTTGTTCACTGGGTCAGAAGTCATGCATAATAACCTAATTACATGACTAACTGGCTGCCGATAGGGGGAATACATGTTTTACAAACATATCTTGTTCATTATTAAGAATCAAACAAAAAAGGAAACCATGATCAGCTACCCAGCCATATGATCTAGTATTGAAACAAATTGTTAACCATATCCTGGTAAACATTTTTATTGATCTTTTTTATGTAATATTTTATTCAATTTCACAAAATTTTGGCAATTTAAATCTGCCCATCTTACAAAAGTAAGGATAAAGATTGTTAAATCCCTCTGTTAATGTACTTAATCGTATCGGCAAATGTCCGCCGTATCCCCCAATGACGTCATCCAAGGGCAACAACTTGAATCCAGTCTTAAATGAAACGGTCTATAATGGGTAAATTGTTTTTGTGAATTCGAGGTATCAAATCATATCATAGTACTACAGCAAAAGAATAATGCTTTTAAATTTTGTTTTTGCTAATAAAGATTAGAAGAATCGTAACACTAAATCTGCTAAACTATAAGTTGAATAATTTTTTAGAGAGCACTTTAAATTGTTTTCTTGTACAATAAATGTGGACACTTTTTGTTAAAATTTTCTACCGATAATGATCAGAAGAATATGAAAACAAGATTGAACGTTTTTTTTAAATATTAATGGTATGTCACACCAGTGGAAGTGTTAAACATGTAAGCAGCCCTTTAATCGATGGTTAGTTGTATTGAACTCCTCGGGCTTTAGTTATTGTAACATTTGCCACTCTTAATATCTTACATGGATAGACCCTTTCAGTCTGGATAAAACCATTCATTTTTATCCTTTTTGGGGGGGGGGGGGCGATATTACAATATGTACTGACTGAGTAGTGAACAGTGTAGACTACGATGAGAGGGCACCTGTTAGTAGAAATTGACCTTAACATTGTTCAGTATGAAATGTGAAGAAAGTGAAGAGGAGGCTGAAAGTAAAAATACAGAAAAATTCTACCAACTTAGTTGTTTTATAGAAAAAGGTAAGTGATTTATTCAAGGATTTACTGGATGCAGAATCCTGCATCAGTATATTTCTACAAAAAGCCCGATGCACAATTCTCAAACTCTTGCATCCCAGTGGATGCATAAAATATATAATGCTGGCTTCATAAATCTTGCTTACAACATCATAAAAAGTTACAAAAAGCCTTGCAGTTTACAATGGTTTGTTATACATATATAAGGTATATAATATATTATGTTCAATGTACAATAAAATTCTTATAAGTTTCCGGAATAGAATTAGCATATTTATAATAAATATGACCTCTCTGGGACAAATATGGACAGAAATTTGATGTAAAATAAATTCAGATATGAAGTTTGAAAATTGTAAGACAATGTTGACTAAAATTTGTGTTTGTTTTTCAGAGGTGAAATACATGCACACAGGTTTACGATCTGTAAGTTTTAGATTATTGAACTATTTACTTTTACCATAAAGATTCTTCTAAATATTAAAATAAGAAATAAAAAAAAAAGTCTTGATATATAATATAACATGTAACTATGTCTTTTGAATTTGGCTCAAAAGCCACACTTAAAGGACAATGAGTATATAGTAATACACCTATTGTAACCTTGGCCCCCTACCCTTTGGGGGATACAGCTAGGAAAACATCCGAATTCCAGCCCCACCTCCCAAATAAAGAAAAATAATGTAAAATTGGGGCTATATTGTATTTGCCTGTTGTCACTTTTGAGGTAAAGAATTGTTAAATTATTTTTGTTTTGTTATTTTATTACAGAGGCTAGAGGAACATATAACAAAGAATTCTCCATCTTTAGGTAGAGATGCTGTTTACAAGAAAGCTGTAAGTACATTTATCTATTTTAATGATATGTAGCAGTAGTGCCAGTGAAGTTTTTTTATATTCTGCTTATGTTAAAAATTCTACATAGTTGATGTTGTTGTTAATGTTTACATTTAAAAAACACACACAAGATATAAACAGATGTGTCCCAACATTTGTGCTCATCTGAGGTAAACATTGACTCTTATTTTGATAGTAAATATTAAAGTAGCCCTCAGCTTTTCTAAAGGTTAAATATATCATTTTTCAATAAGTTGTTTCATATAATTGTCAAATCAAAAGAATTAAGGTGTTAAATGAAATTTGTCGTCGATAAAATTCATAAACTATAAGGAAACCCCTGACACCTCTAGGTTACTGGTTTGCTCTCTATATGTAAATTAGTAAAGTGGACGATTTGTTTCCCAGTTAAGAAACCAACGTCACTGTCATAAATACCTCTTTGGGCGCTGTTTTGCAGAAGGCTTAACAGTGATGCACTTTTTCTTGGTAATATTACTGAAATACTCAGTTTGAATCAGCACAGAATTGTTTTTCCAACAACAAAAAATAGTTGAAGGCTACTTCAATAAATGATGTGAGTAAATATGACATAATAATGTTAAATTACTTCTTGTTTCAGAATAAAATCCGAAGATTACCTGCGTATTTAACTATACAGTTTGTTCGTTTTTATTTCAAAGAAAAGGAGTCTATAAATGCTAAAATTCTTAAGGTAAGATTTCCTCTTTGACTTTGTAAACCTGGTTTTCCTACTAGATTAGTATATGTTGGCTGGGCTCATGGTGTTAACAGTTTCTTCAATGTGTAGCTCTCTACTTTTGTCAAGATAGTGTATATTAACTTGAATAGAATGATTGTCAATTTATGCCCTGTCATAAAGTGTCCTGTCAACCCACTTAGCTAGGACAGAGAATTTGTTATCTAGGGCTCACTTCCCTGGTTTGATCCTCTAGGCAAGACAAATTTCTCTGTGACAGCTGATGTCAGCGCGATTTAGAGATCATATGGAGTTAAAGTCAAGCTGGTAACTACGGGTTAGTCTTGGAAAGCTAGGGTTTGTTTTTGTTGTTGTTGTAGTTTTCAACATCAAAACCTGGTTTTGTGACAATTTCTTGCAATCTTGAGTTAAACTTATCTAGTTTTATGTAATTCTATTCCTTAGTTTGTGTCACCTAGTCACAAAAATTTTTTTATTTCCATTGTATGAACAGGTTGGACTATGTGACAAGACTAAATTTAGAAATTTATGTGTAATTTTTAGATACATATAATGCAATATATTAACACAATACAACAGTGTTATATCATTTTTTAGGATGTAAAGTTTCCACTAAGTTTGGACGTGTTTGAATTGTGTTCTGAAGAATTACAACAAAAATTGTTACCTGCGAGAGAAAAGTTTAAAGAACAAGAAGATAAAGCTGCTGAGGAGGCCACTAAGGTAACTATGGTGATCTTAAGGCCACACTGGTTTAATTAATTAATTAATTAATTAATCAATCAATTAATTAATCAATCAATCAATCAATTATACAATTAAGTTTGCATGTCAGAAAAGACTTTCTATGGTTTCTCATATTGGATTACTTTTATCTGAATTTGGATGCCTGAGACACAATCCATCTTATATTGAAATATAATATTTATTTTTGAACATGGAAGTGTGACAAACAATCCAGCTAGCTACGTTGAAGGTTGGTGGTTCTACTTAAGTTCCAGCATGTACATAGGTCTTTTTTATGCCACCGCAGCATCTGCGATGCGGTGGCATATAGCGATTCACCTGTGTGTGTGTGCGTGTGTTTGTGTGTGTGTTTGTGTGTGTGTTTGTGTGTGTGTTATATAGATTATATAGTGAACTTAAAAAATCTTCTTGTGAAAAACCACGAGTCCAATTTCAACCAAACTTGGCAGGATTGTTCCTTGGGTGAAGGGCTTCCAAAGTTGTTCAAAGAATTTAATTCCATGCAGAAATCTGGTTGCCATGGCAACCAAAAGGAATTATAAGAATAAATTTAAAAAATCTTTTTGTAAAGACCCAAAAGGCATAGAGCTTAGATATTTTGCATAAGGCATTGTCTGGTAGACCTCTAACAAGATTGTTCAAATTATAGCCCTGGGGTCAAAATTGGCCCCGCCCCGGGGGTCATTGATTTTCACTATTTACATATAGTAAAAACTTAAAATACCTTCTTGTAAAAACCCAAAAGGCCTAGAGCTTAGATATTTTGCATAAGGCATCGTCTGGTAGACCCTTACCAAGATTGTTCAAATTATAGCCCTGGGGTCAAAATCTGCCCGCCCCGGGGGTCATTGGTTTTCCTTTTATGTATATAGTAAAAACTTATAGTAAAAACTTCAAAAAAAATTCTTCTAGCAATTGACAAATGCTAGAGGTTAGATATTTTGCATGAAACATTGTGTAGTAAACCTCTAGCAAGATTGTTCAAATTATAGTCCTAGGGTCAAAATTGCCCCAGCCCTTAGGGTCATTGATTTCAATATATACATATAGTAAAAAATAAATAATTCTTATTGTCTGAAGGTACAAGGCTTAGAGCTTTAATATTTGTTAAATAATATCATCTAAAGGTACTCTACAAAAGTTATTCAAATTTTGCCTCTTGTGTCAAAATTAGCCCCGCCCCCGGTGGCCATAGGTTTTCCTTATATATATATAGTAAAAACTTAAAAAATCATCTTCAGTCTCTAAATTTACAAAGGCTAGAGTTAAGATATTTTGCATGAAACATTGTGTAGTGAACCTCTTGCAAGATTGTTCAAATTATAGCCCTGGGGTCAAAATTGGTTCTGCCCCGGGGGTCATTGATTTTCATTTTGTACATATAGTGAAAAAATAAAAAGTATTTTTGTCTGAAGGTACAAGGCATAGAGCTTTGATGTTTGATATATAATATCATTTATAGGTTCTCTACCAAAGTTGTTCAAAATTTTCCCCTGGTGTCAAAATTGGCCCTGCCCGGGGGCAGTGATTCTCATTATGTACACATAGTAAAAACAGAAAATAAAACAAATGTTTTCTGAATGGGAGAAAGCTATAGCTTAGATTTTTGACTTGAAATGTTGTTTGGTGGACCTGTATCAAAATTGTTTTGAATTAAACCCTTGGGTCAAAATTATGCCTTGCCCAAGGGGACAGTGACCTACTTTCTTGTCCTTTGATGTACAGCAATGACATTTTGACCATGTGCACAGTTTTAGTTGTCAAATTGAACTTTGATATCAGGTGACCTAGATTTTGATGATGTGACCTACTTTCTTGTCCTTTGATGTACAGCTATGAAATTTGAACCATGCGGTGGCATAGCATTTTTCTCAAATGCAATCTTGTTGATATCTTTATCTTTCTGAGGTATTTCTCAACCAAGGACACAGTTATGCGGTTATGGTAATTTTCCTGTAATATATACAACAGTCAATGAAATTCATCTTGGTCAGAATTTTGAAATAAATATAATTGAAAATAATTACAGGTAACTAAGTACAAACATTTTCAAATAATTTTGAATTGCTAAAAAACAGCCCTAAAGGGAAGAGGATTTATGTTTCTATATTTGTATATGGATAAGATATTTCAGATCATTGTATAAACTCTGATGAGCAATACAAAGACAAAATAGCCCCCTTATTAAATTCAACCATCTGACATTAAATGGTCATATATTTGACTAGGATTCAAACATGATTATATATATAGAATTTGTGAAATTAGAATACACTTTAATCCTGGGGGTGGGGGGGGGGGGGTTAATTATTGATTGACATTATTAAAATGTAATATAATGTAATAACTGATGTCAAAATTTTGTCTGAAAAATTTAAATATTAAAGGCCCATTATGCCTCAGAAATGCTATCTTTTTTATTTCTCTTTTTTTTTTTAAAGTTTCAAATTGAATACTAGTACCCATTTACCATATAGATGAACTATCTTTTGCTTTCTTTGCTCTGTTGGCTATTGGTATAATTATAGTAAATTAGTATTTTGTATGGAGGTCAAAATACTATTTTGTTTACATTTTGCAAACTTTATCATTCACCGCTACTTTCTTCAGTTGTAAAACATCTTAATTGCTTTAAATCCCTTATTAAAACATTATTAAACACATGTTTGACATTTTTAAATACACACTCAAAGAAAAAAATTGGATTTCTGAGGCATAATGGGCCTTTAAGTAAAACAGTACTCGGATGCTGAGAATAGAAGTTTTTTATGATTATTAATTTTTCGTTTTTTTTTACCATAAACTGTTCACAGTTAACTTGAATGTAATTCAAAAGAATACTAAAAACATAATGTCATCATTAGTTCAATATATATATATAATTATGATGATTAATAATAAGTCTAGTTAGCAAACCTATGTCATTTACTTTGTTTGTTTTTCTTTAAATTCATTGTTGTTACCATAATACAGGTCAAGTTTTAATTTCTTTAACGTCTTTATTTGATCTTTGATCTCATTATTATTATTGTGATTTACATGTTATTTTACATGACCCTTGATTGGAATAAAAGTTATTCTATTCTATTCAGTTAAAGTCAGCTGGACTTACAAAGGATAAAGATGATAGCAGGAAAACAGTAAAACATCCTTATTCCTTCCCTGATGGTAAGTTTAACCCTTTACCTGCTGAATTTCTTAAATGAACTTTTCCAATTTCCATTTTGGTACAGTCAATTATCAATTTTAGGTATATCAAGGTGAGAATTTGAAGTTGGTCAGCCAACAGTATAGAGTCTGGCAGCATGGTTGTTTAAGGCTTGTCTAGTTTTATTTTATACAATTTATTATGCCCCCGCCATGTAATGGCCGGGGCATATAGTGTTACCCTGTTCCGTCATTCCTCCTTCCGTCATTCCGTCATTCTGTCATTCCGTCATCATCAGTTTCCGTTCATTATCTCAGTAACGGTTGCACACATTCAACTCAAACTTGACATATGGATATGTCATGAGAAAATACAGGTCAAGTTCGAATTTGGTCATGGTTCGATGATTTTTGGCAGAGTAATGCCCCTTTTACTTTGAAAATAATATGAAATTTTCAGTTTCCGTTCATTATCTCCCCAACGGTACAACACATTCAACTCAAATTTGACATATGGATATGTCATGAGAAAATACAGGTCAAGTTCGAATTTGGTCATGGTTCGATGATTTTTGGCAGAGTTATGCCCCTTTTACTTTGAAAATAATATGAAATTTTCAGTTTCTGTTCATTATCTCCCCAACGGTACAACACATTCAACTCAAACTTAACATATGGATACGTCATGATAAAATACAGGTCAAGTTCAAATTTGGTCATGGTTCAATGATTTTTGGCAGAGTTATGTCCCTTTCACTTTGGAAATAATATAGATACATCTGAGGAATAAGCAGTTTAAGTTTGAATTTGGTCGTGGTTCAATGATTTTGGACAAACTTATCTTTCTTGAATGTTGGAAAAATTTTGAACTTTCAGTTTCAGCACTCATACTTTTGTGGAAATGTATGTAGCCATTATTTTGGCTACAAATATGAAATATGATATTTTCAAAAGGTTAAGACTGAATAATTTCAGTGCCTTGAACATTGTATGGAAATGGTTTGTGTTAACATTGAAAAGTTTTAAGGGCTTTGAACTTAAAATGAAAAAAATAATTTGTGCAAACAAATTTGGAACTAAATATTATAACATCTGAAATTTTGGCTGCATGCGGGGGCATCCGTGGCATGATGACACATTTCTAGTGTATTTTTATTTTGTTAAATATATATAATTTTAGTTGAATTGTTTTGGAAGCTATAAGCTTATAAACACACTTTTGAAACCGTTCCTGAAACCAACCAGTATTGAGCAATGAGTGTAATGTTTCTTGCTTAAAGAACCTGACAGGGTTTGAACCAATGGGACTATCCAGTAGCCATCATTAGATTACTAGTTAATTAAAGTATTTATTTTTAACAATCAATATATCCAAATTCAACAAAATCAAAATAGGAGAAGTCATTTTTCACCAGTTAAGCATGGTACCGTATGGACTTAAAAGAATTTTTTTTTCAGTGGAACTAATGTTATGGTTCTAAAATTTGGTTAATTAGTCTGGTGTTAAAATTTATTATTATACTACATTAATGTTATATTTATAGATACTGGCTCAAACAACAGCGGGTACTATGAATTACAAGCTGTATTAACACATAAAGGAAGATCCAGTTCTAGTGGACATTATGTAGCCTGGGTTAGAAGGAAAGGAGGTATGTTAAACTTGTCAAATTATTGGGTTTTTTAACCAGGTTTTCTAAAGGAAAAAACTAGTTATTAGGTTAAGGTGGGTAGGCGGATGGGTGGGCATAAACAATTTCTTCTGTGTCCAACTCCTACATTTCTCAAGAGATTTTGATGACACTTTCACAGATGCTTTGTCATCAAGTGCCCTTGTGCATATTGTCAGGGTTTTGAGATTTGATAACCTTGGTCATGAGTCAAAAATGTTTTTGATAATTCACATATTTCTCAGTTAATTGGATTTTATCATTGTACAGAGATTTGAAGTTCTATATATGGTACATATTTTATATATGATACATGTTTTATATATTATACAAGTTTTCTTTAGTATGCATGTTTTCTATATAATACATGTTTTATATATTACAGATGAATGGCTCATGTTTGATGATGACAATGTTACACCTATAACATCAGAAGATGTCCTTAAACTATCTGGAGGAGGTGAGATCCACTCTCTGATGTTCAATTTTTATGCTCTCCAGAATTTTGCTTAGAGCTTTATAGTCACCAGTAATACTTCAGTCTGTTGTTCATTCAATCATTCTTTTGTTACATATATTTAGTCTATAGTAACACCATCATTTATATACACATACATATCTGGTGTGTTGGTATGTTCAATTTCAGTTTGATTGTGTAGGAAGCTATAAGCTTATAGATGTACCTGGAAATTTAGTGTAACACTTACACTGCCAGCTTGACTACAAAATCAACTTGGGCAAAAAATCCCATTAGCATAGTCTATTCATAAAATATTATGTTTGTAAGATATTGCTTATGAAATAATATCATGAATATTCAAAACAAAAAAAATAAAAAGAAATAGGGTTGAGAGTAAATCAGGGACTCCACTTAGGTTTTTAGCTCGACTATACGAAGTATATGGAGAGCTGTCCTACTCGCCCCGGCGTCGGCGTCCGCGTCCAGATTTTAGATTAAAATAAAGTTTTGGTGCAGTAAAATATTTTTCACTATAACTTTGTCATTTCTTAAGGTATCAACTTCAAACTTCAAATATATGTTCCTTATCATCAACCACATCTTATGTGACAAGGTTCATAACTCTAGCACCAATATTATCAGATTTATCTCCCCTTGAACTTAGAATTTTCCTTAAAAAATACTATTTTTTAATGTTACTTCTTTATTTCTTAAGGGATCAACCTCATACTTCAAATACATTTATGTTATCATCATCCCCATCTTATGTGACAAGGTTCATAACTCTACCACCAATATTTTCAGATTTATCTCCCTTTGAACTTTTCCATAAAAAATATTATTTTTTACTGTTACTTATTTATTTCTAAAGGGATCAACTTTATACTTCAAATATATTTACGTTATCATCATCCACATCTTATGTGACAAGGTTCATAACTCTAGCACCAATATTGCAAGAATTATCTCCCCATAAACTTAGATTTTTTTTACTAGAAAAATGTTATTTTTTATTATAACTTTTTTATTTTTAAAGGTATCTACCTCAAACTTCAAATACTTATTCCTTATCAACAATTACATTTTATATGACAATGTTCATAACTCTTAAAGCAATTTTTACACATTTATCTCTCTTTGAACTTAGGATTTTCTTTAAGAAATATTATAACTTCTTTACTTTTTAAGGTATCTACTTCAAACTTCAAATATATATTTCTTACCATTACACAAATGTTGTGTGACAAGGTCCATAACTCTAGCATGACTATTTCTAGAATTATTCCCCTTGATCTTGGAATTTATTTTAACAAATATTATTTTTTTACTATAACTTAATACATAATTATACATAATTGATTTGTCTTTCATAGTTTTGTCCTCCTTACTGCGTCCAGTATTTTATTAGTCGAGCTTGGCTGTCTCCTGTGACAGCTCTTGTTTGACATGAAATTAATGTTTCATTTTATGTAGTTCTAGACCAATTACTTGTGTGCCAAATTTTAAAATTATTCGCTCTCTCCATTTTCCAGAAAAATTATTTTAATTGTGAAAAATGACCCAAAATTAAATAATGTTGCAAGGCTTTTCACTCAAATACGAAGAAAAGCATAAAAATATGATTTTCAATTTACATGTATTTCCGAGTATATTTCTCAATTATTTTTTTTGCATATTTTTCTGTTTTAATGCCTCAGCAGATCTATGTAAGAAATATCAAATTTGGCTTTTGGATCTCAATGTTGTTCCTTTAATAAAATCATATTCCATTCCTGGTTAAATGTTAATATGAAAACAGGTTTTAAAAGTTTTAACCCTTAACATGCTGAATATTTTAAATGGACTTGTCCCACTTCCATTTTGGGACTGTCCATTATCAATTTTAGGGATACCAATTTGAATATTTAAAGTTTGTCAGCCAACAGTATAGAGCCTGGTCAGACTGCACGGAAATGTAGGCTGGCCTGGCTCTATACTGGTGGCAAAGGCTTAACACTTTCGGTTCCAGCACTTTAAGGGTAAAGAAAGATAACTGATGGTAGTGCTTGATTATTCTACATTACAGGAGACTGGCATTGTGCATATGTTCTACTTTATGGACCAAGAATCTACGAAACGGAAGTTGAAGGAATGGAAACTGCTTAAGAGTACAGTTAACTTTGTGAAATGAACAGATATAAAACAAATTTATAAACCTCACAAAATAGATATAAGTGTTACCATAGAAACTTGGTGATAAAATTTTGGTAAAAATGCTGATCTGCAGTTTCTGTAACAGATATTTTAAAAATCCTTTGATCGTTTTTTTCTTCTTCTTTACAGTTTGGTAAATTATTTATTAAATTATTCATAGTTAATGCAGAAATATAAAAGTTGAGAAAATTTTGTAGTATAACTGCAAACCAACATTTTGCTTATTATGATGATTTCATTGGTGCCAATTATTTGCTGATTTTTGCAAAATGACATGATATCTGGCAGTTATTACCAGTTTACAATGTTAGTGATCTAGTGTAAATGATAAGTGATGCATACAGAATGACTCTATACTGCTTCTAAATGCTTAGATGAAATGTAAGAAAAATATGTTGTGGAAATTCTGTGATTCTTGTGCATTATCTGGTATTAATTTCTTTTACTTTATAGTCTCAAAATGTTAAAATTTTCATTTTACTTGTTAACTCTGGTTTAACTTTAGGAAGGCTGAGACCATTTTAAGCAACTGTTAATTAGACTTTAACGATTGATTGATTGACTGATTGATTGAATGATTTATATAAGTTATGGGCTATGGAAACTTAATTTTTGTGATTGTTTAGTTATGCACCATTTGAAACATTGCAGTATATTTATAAAGTGAGAAATAAACTGATGTATTGTTCTTTTTATACAACACAAGTGTGACAAGATTTTCAAATATAATAAAAAAAACTGTTATGAATTGATGATTGTGTTTTGTTTTAATATGATGGTGTTGTGTTGTGACTTGGGTGCATTTATGAATATTTCCATTGAGTTACATACAGTGTCCCTTGTGGTTGAGGGGTTGCCATTATCGGTTAAAGCATCCGAATTGCAGCCACTGTTTAACCCTGCGTGATTGTGAAGAGGGGACTAAATGGGTTCGAATTATGATATAGAGTCTATGCATCTCTTAACTCCAGCAGCTGATGTGGTTTTGACCCCTGGTATTGCTTTAACATTGTAACACCCAGGTTAGCGAAAATAATCTGTCCTGTCTCTGCGCCATTTGACCTGTGCCTATGAGAGTGTTGAAGCGCTGTAAACCAAACAAACAAGTATGATTGAAAATTAGTACTACATTAGCACCCAATGCTCCGGTGAGGTATTGTGTTTGGCCTTTTCATTTAAATAGCATCTTTGAAACCACTGTGCCTAGTTAGATGAGAGATCACAATATGTAAATTGTCTATTTTCCTTGCAGGACTCTAAAATTGTTCACATGGTTTTAGTCCTTTTGATATTTTGGTCATAACCGCTATAATTAACTGCAAGAGTAAAAACTTTAAAAAATTTCTTATATTTCAGACAGGCATAGAGCTAAGATATTTGTTTTGTTGCATTTTTTAAATAAAAATTTTCAAATTATGACACTATTTATTAAAGGAGTCACTTATTTTAAATAAAGTTAGTTCATGAAATCATCGGGAAGTGTGTGGGTTGTAGGGAGGGGTTTAATTGTGTTTGAAACAAACACTCGAATCCGTTCCAGAAACCTATTAGTACGTAAAGTTCCTTGCTCAAGGAAACAACGGCTTGTTCACAAAGAAAAGATCAGGATCAGGATCAACTGATCCTGATTTTATTTTCATTGTTTTATAAAACTAAAATTGATCGTATTATGCTATAATTAAATGGTACTTATTCGAAATAAAAAAAAATGCTTATTTGCAAAGAAAACAACCTATTTTGGGATAAAATCTACAATTAACAAAACAAATACAAAAAAATCGGATCAAAATGAGGATCAATTTTAGGATCAAGATCAATATTTGGATCAACTGTAAAATGCCCTTATCTGGTAAAAATAACAATAAATCTATTCTAAAATTTCATGAACATGCTATTTCAAGTCCAGTTTTATCAAGTTAATATGGAATATTAAATCTATGATGATAAATGATGGAGCATGTTAGAGTTTTTGAATTTGATCCTGATCTTGATCCTGATCCTTAAATCTTAGTGAACACGGGGCCTGAAGACAGTAGTGCTGAATGATGAATTGTTTGTCATAAAAAGTGCTATGTAATAAACAAAGTAGTATTTTGACGTCCATACCAAATAATAAATCACTATGACTGACCTCATTGTCAAACAAGCATATTTAAGGAGGGATTCAGGGAAATTGGCCAATGAGTAGCTTTTTTTAAAGTGTAATAGGTCTAAGAATTAAGTCTCTGATATCTTACATGCTCTAAAACCATTATTTAAATGGAATAAAACTAACGTTTGCTCTTTCTAAAAAGAAAAAATAATCTGGTATTAAACTGCCATTTTTTTATCAAACTAGGTCATTGCTTTTGTTGTCCGTAAGAATAATACCTATAATAATTGTTACTATATACCAAGTTACAAAAGTTGCTGAAACAAAAAATGGTATTTTGACTGGCATTGCAATGGCTGTAGAAGTGTTAATGTTATAAACCGTTATAAACGTAAGAGATAATGGAACGTTTGAGATTTGCCGGCGGGATGGTGCTAAACAAGCATTCATTAAACTTCATTGAAATAAATTACTGCGGGGTGTCCAAAACATAAACAGTAAATTGCGTATTTTCGATAAAATGTTCAAATGATTATGAATTGATCCGATATGTCTCTTTGTTCCCTACCACCATGTCCGTCGCTTATATACAAGTAAAAATATTAATTCAAGTAAAAATATGGGGTGTTAAGTAATTAGCTTTAGCTAATGGATACTATGATAATACGAGATGTAATTAGAATTATGAAAATGCACCAATAAATAGCAATACAAGTGACTTATAGGACACCCGTGGGGTTGCAATATCTATAATTACTTCGCGCCTCTCCCTTCCCCTTTTCTGTTTTGGTAATGCTAATTCGATGAGCGTTTCCGTTGCAATGATTACAAATAAAGCATTCATGATGTCGCAATAACTCCCACGTGGTCCATTTAGATAGCACTCAATCATCTTTCGAAATAGACCCCCGTCTATTATTCTGAATGATTCTCCCATTTCGTCATATTATTAAAGGGACACCTTCAAATATTCTAGCCAGTCCAGGAAACTGTATCCCTAACAGAGAAAATTAAAATTTCAAATTTACAAATCAAAGGAATATAAATATCTGAAAAAAGTAACCCCCTCGGAAGCATTAAAAACAGCAAATTTACATGAAAATTGCAGATTCGAGTTGACCGAGTCTGTACATGAGGGATAATGAAAAAGTGCGATTTCCCTCACGTCTCGATCCTAGCACCGGCTTGAGCGGTATTCAATTTTCAACAGGCAAAAAATCAATGATCCTGAAGAACCAGAAAAAAGCAAGCTACAGTTCTGTTATTGTAGAATATTTGTTTTTTAGTTTGTAAAAAATCATACCAAAGTCCCTCAACTGGCAAAATTACCTTTTTGATTAATTTCATATCAAAGCGGATCCACATGCGTGTAATCATGTCTAAACTTATTAAAATAGCAGGCAAAAACTTTGCTCGGGAAGTTCCGTAAGGCAGCTGTTAAAGATAACCCGGACTTCACTTCATCGTTGTTGTATTTTTCTGGGAAACTGGAAACTATGATACATTATCTAAAAAATGAATTATACGAGTATATTAATGTCTTGTAAATAATTTCCTACCATCAAAAATAAACATGTTTTTAACTTGAAATTTTTTGTCATCACTTCTTTGTAAATTATTTCAAGTGGTTGTAGTAAACTTGTAAATGTATATACAATAACAAGATCAACTTTATCATATACAATGCTTTTGGCTTATAAAGAATTCGTCATACACAATGACTTTGGCTTATAAAGAATTCGTCATATACAATCACTTTGGCTTATAAAGAATTCGTCATATACAAGGGCTTATTAAGAATTCGTGATATACAAGCTTTGTCCTTTAAAGAATTCGAAAAAGATACAGAGGCTGACCATTGATTTTTTTCACGTCATGGTATTTTAAAAATGACATGAATTTAGCTTTCAATAATGTGTGTTTAAAGAAATTCTGTATATGTAATTCAACATAACACAGTGTACCTTTATCCCATACTGACCTTCATGAAAAAAGTAAATGTCACAAATTAATTAGAAACATTAACTCATTGGTTAGCCCATATGCCGCGGTTAATCACCCAATTCTAATTGACCGAGCCTCAAAACTGACTCTATTGCTGCGTTGGAAATGACACATTTGCATCCAATGTTGGCTATGAAAACTTTACGGAATAAACACATTTACAAATAAAAAGAGATGCATGATGTTTGGAAGATATAAAACTTCACGCAAAATTAAACAGAACTACCTAAAAGCTGAGGTAAGGGTAACTTTTTTATAACTAACAAATATAGATATTGACATAACGATAAAAAAAACTTAACTAGTATTTTGTTGTTGTTGTTGTTTGTTTGTGTTTTTGTGCTGTTAAAAAACTGCATTTTTGTTTAAAAAAACAACAAAAAAAACACTGATTCATTCCTAAATTAATTAAGTAACTAAAAGAATCAATCAAGTTAAAGTATTTGGAATTGTGGAAATTACGCTAAAGTAAAAGAATAATAAAGATATGAAATATGCGGGTTTTTTTTTTATAAATAAATATCATATAAGTAGCCCCTTGTACTTTTGCCCCTAATGAAACAAATACGTTTATATTTTTTTACTATTAAGAAGGGAAGCAGGATTGGAACATTATTATCTGATGTTTATGCTTTTTAGTTAAATGAAATAAAACCATTAAATAAAATAGTAAAAATGTTAAAATGTATTGTTTATATTTATTATAGAGTGTTTTTGTGACGTCACTATGAAGTTTAGTGAGCAAGTTACTATGTTGCTGCTCTGTCTTGTTTCCGGTATTAACACCACGTGGCAGGAAAGAGTGTGTGAAGGGAAATATAAAGGTATCTCGTGCCTTGGGTCTTACCCGTGCATGGAGGCGTTTCTAAGGTGTGACTGTATACCACTTCAATTCGCTGGTCAAAAATTCGAAGAACTTTGCTGGTTAGTAAAACAAAAATCTACTGAGAAATTATTAATAATAATAATAATGATGATGATGATGACCACATGATGATGATATTGATTATGATGATAAACCAATATTTTTAAAGATCCATTTTTACTACACTGTTAACAAGGTTATTTATTTGCATTCAAATATTATTTTCAAATTAATTAAATAAAACTGTTCAGTGTGTGAAAAAATATTACAAGCTGATGAATAAATAGAACTTCCTAATGGTTTGAATCCCTCCATACAAAAACAAACAATAAAAAACAAATAAAAAACAAACAAATAAAAACAAATAAAATAAGATATAGATAAATTGAAGTAAAAAATGAAGAAAAAGAAGAACAAAAATATTTTTTAAGAAAGACAGAAAGACGACTGTCAAATTAACTTTTTATTGTTGATTATCATAAGTTTTTTTATGATTATAACTTTAAACATTATTTAACTACTTATTGTGTACCCTTACAATCATATCTTTAACCATTTTGATATTTTTTATGTTTCCTTTTCTCATAGGACATCTCTGGCATATGAAGTTGGTGCACCAACATGTTGTTTAAATGTGAAGAAAAGACAACATCCTCTGTCTAAAAGGTAATTATTGATTAATAGTATTAAAAAACTACGAGTATTTTACCATTTCGCTTTAAGGATTGTACTTCTTTGTAAAAATATATTAGCTAAATTAATTTACATAAATCCGTTCAATTTGATAAAAACAGATGAAAAATTATGAAATTTTAAATTTCTTTTTCAGAGTGCTGCAAAATTCTAAACACAATTTTGGAGATTTCTTGACGTCCATTAATAGAAATAAGCGAAACTATAGTAACAGATTAAATACAATACATAATAACGACAATACAAAGAAAACAACGCAACATAAGAAAGAAACTATTAAAATAAATGATGATACAACTAAAGAGACTAATTTAGTATCAATGCTTGGTGAGAGGAACACAAGACGCGCGTTCCTGAGATCCATTCATGATATTGTCAATGGGGATTTAAATGATGACATAGTACGGAATGTCCCGCATCAGAAACTTGTTACGGACATTATCGCTGCGTTTGTTCACTCTTGGACAATGCCAAATGAGTTCAAAACTGGAAATAAATACATAAATTCTGGTCATGTATCTGGATTTAATAATTTAGATATGGAGGACACAGTTCTGAAATCAAATGGTGTTGAAAATGACGTTGAAAGTCCAAATTCTATGTTAACAACCGAAAACCCCAAGTATTTCAACGCGGTACCAAAACCATTTACTGGTGACTATCACCTGTATAATCACCGCGAAGAAGATTCTGAAAATAAAATTCCAAGGGTATTACAGCTGCCGTGTTATAAGAATAAAGGTGATACAAAACTGAATTCTTGGTCAAAGCCTAGAATAAAAAGAACACGAGAACATGCAAATTTCATGCAAAGTAAAATATTGGAAGCATTGAATGGTTTCTAAAAGAAATAAATAATGTTGAATTTCATGTAATTTTTCGTGAGTTCTTTCTCCAAAATTTTAACTTTTTAAGAAAAAGTGAGGAAATATAAAGCATTAGCTAGGGCGTGTAAAAAACTAAGCGATACTTGCCCTGCTTGCAAAAAATGTTGCTTACAACAAGTGCAAGGTGTTTGTGTACCAGCTATCAAACAGTACAGCAATACCACGTGACCTTGACGTCTTTTTTGGCATCATTTCCAAGACAAACATTGCTCTATGAGCCTTAAGTATTTTATTTCTGTACCAATTTCTTTGGGGAAAAATATAAGCTTGTCACAGAATATTGGATCTCAATCAGTATATGAGCCGTTGTATCAAACACTTAATTGTATAACCTTAGACGTTGTTTGTATTAGATCGGGCTTTAGTTTCAAGCTACACATGTTTCGTTTTCTTGCATAAGAAGTCAGGTTAATATTAAATATTATTTCCGTAGTTCGGAAGGCAAACTACCAAAAACCAAAACAATAGCCGCCAATCACAGTCAAATCAATTTAAAAAGCCGTATCGATAATTATTTAAGACGATATTCATTAATATCGGTAATAGCAACACCGATAAGAACTAGGATTATGGTCCTTTTTGCACTGATGCGCCCATTTTCCACATTTGCTTGAACAATTGATAGCAAACATATCATTATGTAAAATTTCGCTTACATTTGAAGATTATATACAATTTTTATCAAACATTTGTCAAATGACTGTCTGGATACTTGACTTGTTTGGTATTATGTTTATCATGTTTTAATTTTAATATGTGTTCCTTTTTTAAATCTTAAAATGCAACAAAAACATTCCTGTCAAGGACCTCTCCAGGTCATGGCGCAAAAATACATGCACTTACAGCCATGCAATGGCCACATCGATAAAAAATAATCCCGATCGTTTTTATACAATTGATAGTGTGACAGAAAATATTTGCAAACCATAAAATACGAGGTAAAATTATTTTGTTATCTGCCTCTCATTGGTGACTGATGAAGCTAAATTTGTCAGATATGCAGTTTAATTATCAACAGAAATAAATGAAATAACAAAATAAAGAGTGTTTAGTGTTCTGAAGGGAACGAAGTCCTATCCAGTTCACGAAAGAGGGTTACCTCGGGTATGAAAAATGGATGTAAACAATAATCTTCGTCAATGAGTGTCACTGTGTTCGAGGGGTTAGAGTCGATGACTTCTAATCCATTTACCTCATTGGCGAATAGTTCGATCCACGGAATAATGCTTGTAGTTGCGCGAGAAGGAGTCTATCTGGTAATCTCGATGGTTACAGAGTACCCGCCTATATGACTAATACTGTGAAAGGCTAAAATGAAAACAACAAAACAGTCACTGTTTAAAGCTGAATTATCATACTCACACATTCTACGTTTAGCTGTATGTTGCATACGTTTTGACTCTTACAAGATAGCAATATAACTTTGCTTTTAACTCGTGAGGCTACCTTCATAGCATACAAATGAGCGTCTATGTGCTCATCAACGAGTCTGAACATTTCATTGCTTTACATTATAGGATTTTTTTCTCTCTTTCAAATCCACCTGTATGCTTTGAACTTATAGTATTTTTCACAATCATTACAGGAAACATACTAAAAATAATTTTCTTTACAAATACAGACAGCAAATGTACGACTTTCATAATCATTTATAGCGCAGCGAGTAAAATCATTTGTACTTGCGGTTTTTAATATACATGTACATCGTATAATAAATACAAATGTTTTTTCATAGTTAATATAATTATAGAAAGAGAACGGAAGTTATGTTGCTTTGCATTTGTAACCAATTCTGAAATCTGCTTTAAACTGTAGTCCGAATTATTCGGCTTGGAATTGGTGCCAGAATTGACAATTGAAGAAAAAGTTAAGATTTACGCCATTAATAATAATATTATAAACATATTCAAGTAGGATTTGTCTTCCGTACTCCAGGTTGATATAAACTTGACTTTTTAATCATGGTGACAATGGATAAAAAATCCAAATAGCTTGCAACCGAAATCCGCTCTAATGCAAACAACTACCAAGGTTATATATAAAAGCGGCTCATATACTAAAGGAGATCCAATTTTCTCTGGTAAGCTTATATTTTTCCCCATTCACTGGTGCATATTAAAAAAATGGTACAGAAATGAAATACTTACGGTTATTTTCTTTTTTCTAATCAAGCAATATTAGTCTTGGAAATGATGCCGGAAATGACGTTAAGGTCAAGTGGTATTGCAACCCCTTATGGTCTAATGTACGACAGGTGCAGTGGCTGAACTGTGCTCTGGTAAATTCAAGGTGGATTACTGCCGTGATCCGGAGTGAAAACTACCAATACCACCACCATGACGACAGGGTTGTTTTATTACTTTTTTCAATCGTATTATTGATTGCAATACTTAATTTTTTTAATTGAAGGCTGCTTTTACTTGCGTTTTTATGGTCTTTTCTGTACTGACAAATTCTAATCCAGTCCTCTCTATATTCAGTTTACAGTATTCATAATTTTTGAACATTTTTTCTATATCCATTTGTGTCCGCCTTTAAGTCTCAACGGAAACAAATGAAAATATGTTTCTCTTTATAGTACAATTAAACTTTCACTGAACTATCAATAAATGCTTAAGGAAATTATGCATGTTTTTTCAATAGAAGAAGTTCTTATCAGGTCAACAAGCGCGCAAAAGCGGCTACGTGACTAAAACTACACTCAAGATTTGTTGGTACAAAATCTTGAATCGAACTATCAAATGCAAGGTCGAATATTACTTGCAAAAGAAATAGTGTGGAATTGTGGATATTTCTTACAGGCCTTTTGTCTCCCTTCCTAAAAAAATGTTGTAGAAAAAATAAATGGTTGTAAATGGGATGTATGTTTAAAAAAATCAAATTTTATCCAAAATGCAAGGAATTTGACTTCCTGCAGGTCCTAGGTGGCTGTGTATTGCTGTAGACATATTGTATTATTTCTGTCCTTTAAGGACTATGATTGCTGAAAGTTGAATGTTGCTTTTACTAGCGCTTGGGGCCTGAGGGATGTACGTTGTGTGTGTGTTTTTTTCTTTCATTTATTTTCCTGTTGTGACAAAAACCGTAGTCATTTCTGCTCTACTTTCAAGCTGATGTGCGTTGGAATATCTGGAGAATGTATGATCCCTCGGAAGCATTAAGTCGCATTTTCATAGTCTCTGTGTCATGATTAGTTTCAAATGAAAGTTTGTATATCTAAAGTACATTTAAGTTTTTCTTTTTAATGGTATTGTTTATCATTGAAATAACACAAGGAGGTCAAGTTGGTACGTGTCAACAAGTCAGTACGCGAATATTTTCACAATCACGTATTATTATAAATTAATAGTTCAAAATATAGGATGACAACTTATTCATTTTAATTTTACCACATAACAAAATGGAAAATACAAATGTACTTACTTGTAGATCATATGTTTTTTCTACGGTTGGTTGTAATATTCCTTCATGAACATTGTATCATCAACCTTAGGATACACTGTCCACTCTTTTTTTAATTTTGTCATAAGGCAGCTTTCTGTGATGTGATACGCAGGTTTTTTAACTTCTCTTTCCCTCTCCAACTTTCATTTTATTTAGTCTTCAACCATTTCTTGTTTTGCTTCCAGTATTTTTCTTATTTAATGGTCCACATGTCGTTTGTCATGAATGCCACGAAAGTGCTACATCGGAAGTAACTTGATCATCGCCATTCATGAGGTTAAAATCAACTGAAGTGCAAGAGGTGTTAGCGTTTACCATTGCAGTTTAACTTGGCTAAATATTTTAGCTTTCAGCTGTCTTATGATTTCATACACGAAATTTTCTTACATAAGCCAAGGTAAATCCTACTAGACAAGTAAATGTTGTCTCTGCTTTCATTCTATCATACATGGCCTAATCGTAAATGAGGGTCCAAAAAAAAGGTCGTATGCTAAAAATCTAAGCGTTAGAGCATTCTGTTCGTCAAAAGAGGATTTTAAGTAGTTTCCTTTTTTGTTGAAATAGTACAAAAATACGACAGGGAACGGAAAGATTTTAACAATTTTGATAGGGTATCATGCAAGAAATATCCCTGTAAAGTTTCATGAACTTTGATCTAACGGTATAAGAAGATATGCTGTTGGAAGGAAAATAGACGAACGGAATCATCAGTACATTTGACGTCGGACGATAGCGTTCCTTATAGCTCACACTTAAGCTTCGATCATTACTGAATCTACAGATACATGAGGAATTGCAAAATATGTTTAATTCGTCTTATTCAAAATTAATTGTGTGGTTGATATGCTATGCATATTAAAGAATAGCTGTTAAAAGGTGTTCCTTCTAAAGATTAAAGGTATTGGTTCAAAATTGTAGTGTATTTTGGCAAACAGCCAATGAAGAAATGATAGGAATATGAAAAGAATGGACTCACAGGACAGTAATTATGTGGCTAGAGGGACAATAGGTAACTGTTCTTTCTCTTTGATGTCATTTTATTCCGTAATGCTTTTGTGTGGCTATTTTCTTTTGTGTGGCTAAAAAGAACAATAGAGAGAACAATAGAGTAGCCACATTATTACTCTCCTGTTAGAACGTCCGTTAAGTTAAAGATAACTTGAAGTTTCCATAGAAATACAATCATAAGAAGACCACAAAGAGCAAGGATTACTGGCAAGGACACAGAAAATATCTGCTGTTTTAATTCTTTTCAAAAGTGATACAATTAAAGATATTGAATATTGTAGAAAAACCGAAAAATACATTCTTTTGAGAAACTTTGTCTGTCATATAAAAAACAAGGCACCATACTTTGAAACAACAAGAAATATAGTTTTAGTGAAAATATTGACAATATAAAACTAGGCGGAGCATTATATGCCCGAAAGTACTTTTTCTTTTAGTAAGGATGAAGCATTTGTAAGACATGGGAATTAAATACAGTATTACCTCCTTCAAAAAGCAATCCTCCTTTATAGCTGAAGAACATTCATGTATATATTCAGTTGCTGTTTTCAAAGCACCACCATCAAGTTGTTATCTTGTTAGTAAAAATGCTACAACGGATGGACGAAAAGACGGCAGGGGTATAAAGCTGTTAATCCTATAAAATTTTACAGCTGTAGGTTAATTAATACTTGAGTTATTGAGCGAAAACTGTTTCCAGTTTAAAGGTGATAGTAACCTTGATCTTTGACCTTGTGACCCCAAAATCAATAGGGGTCTTCTACCCAATATGGACAATCATCCTATGAAGTTTGAATACTATGGGCCAAATGGAACTTAAGTTATGCTCCGGAAACCATTTTCAGTATTAAGCTAATAGTGACCTTGACCTTTGACCTTGTGACCCCAAAATCAATAGGGGTCTTCTACCCAATATGGACAATCATCCTATTAAGTTTGAATACTGTGGGTCAAATGAAACTTAAGTTATGCTCCGGAAACCATTTTCAGTATTAAGCTAATAGTGACCTTGACCTTTGACCTTGTGACCCCAAAATCAATAAGGGTCTTCTACCCAATATGGACAATCATCCTATGAAGTTTGAATACTGTGGGTCAAATGGAACTTTAGTTATGCTCCGGAAACCATTTTCAGTATTTAGCTAATAGTGACCTTGACCTTTGACTTTGTGACCCCAAAATCAATAAGGGTTTTCTACCCAATTTGGGCAATCATCCTATGAAGTTTGAATACTGTGGGCCATGCTCCGGAAACCAAATTGCTAACGGACGGACGGACGGACGGACAGACGGACGCCAGGGGGTATAACATAATATGCCCGAAATTCTTTCGGGCATATAAAAAATATGGAGCTCTTAATTCCCCGGAACATATGGTCAAAATTTTTGCGACAATATCTTGCTTTTTTTCAGAATATTTATTTCAAACTTCCAACTTTCTGGTTGCAGTTCATGCACCAGAATATTTATTTCAAACCTCCAACTTTCTGCACCAATACATAGAATATTGGTATATAAAGTCCCATGCAGAAACCCATCAGGTATTGTAAGTGGTTTAGTGGTGGATCGAACCTGCAACTTCTAGAATTCTAGTCCACGTATACGATCTGCTTTGAATACATGATTTCCTATCAATATAATAAAGTACTTTAATATACGTGAAACCATGTACAAAGCATGTACGAGTTACTAGTATGTAATACATATACAAAGTTTTCAAATGTTTTTTTCAAATGTTAGAAAAGATTCACATCAACGGAACCAATTTATACTTGTAACAATAATAAAACAACAACAACAACAAAAAACACAAAAAAGGAAAAGAAAACCAAACAAACAAAATAGCTATGCAATTGTACAATGATAGTGTTAATAAATATTTTTGTAGTGTTAATAAATATTTTGTAACATTTACGTAAAAAATTCACTTAAATGACTAAATGAATAAACAGATTCGAATACTTTTCATTTATGTACGAAATTATTAAGGAATTTAATAAGTTAAAAATGTACTTAATTTTTAAAGTGGTTGATAAACGCAAGCTTAGAATACACTTAACCAGAACAGAGTGTTCGCCGTCCGAATGAGCATCAAGACTTTCAGAGTGACATTTCAAAGGTAATCATTTTTTTTAATTATTGAACGGCAACTATTAAGGTTAGTTAAGGAAGACGGTCTTTAATTGGAAAATTAAGATGTTTTTCTTTATTTTTGTTATCTTTTTAGAAAAGCAAAGAATTAAAATGTAAACTAGGACAGAAATATTTTTGCGTCGTCATCGTCGTTATCATTGTTCAAAATCTTAATTCAACCCATTTCTCAAACAATTCGAAAGGTATCAGCATGAAACTTGGCGTAATTAATAATCATCATAAAATGTAGTTGTAAGATAAGGGGCATAATTTTGAAAGCAATATTATAGTAGTCATATCCCTTTTTAACTTTGAAATTGTGTCAACATTGACTATTAAGTAGACTGATTTCTATGAATTGTATCAACATGAAGTTTTGGAACACTTGTTTATAATTACAAGGTGCAGTAGTAACACAGGGGATATTATTCGGAAATAATTATTTTTGGAGTTATACCCCCTTGTAATATTGTTTTGGTCAAATTTTGCCTATTAAGACGAGCTTTAACACCACAAGCGGTACTCTTGTATTATCTTTGTCATTCATTGATATATTTTTCGTTTATTTTTCCGACTTTTTTCCAATTTTGAAGTTTTTTCTACTTAAATGAATGCTAATAAGTAACGATTAGTATACATTAAGTAAGGAAATCCTGAAAACAAGGGTTTAATGAGAAACAATATCAAACAGGACATTTTCATTTTTATAAACTTCAAGGAAAAAAAAACAAGGATTAAAAGAAAAAAAATCAACAATAGATTTAAACAGCCGATTTTATTTCTATCAAATATCATGAGTTAGTTAATTGTTGATCTATATTTACGAACATTGTGTTAATGTTCCCATCCATTAAACCTTGTTTAGACGGTATTCTTGTATTGTAAACTACGATATATGTTGGTGTGGGGCGTCCGTGGTGGCAGAATGGTTAAGGTCGTCACATAAAACCACTTGACTCTCGCCGCTCCGGGTTCGAATCCCAGCAGGAACTTTAGATTTTCAATTGTTGAAGCTATCCAGCTAGCTTATGGAATGTACGTGGTTTTACTCAGGTACCCGTTCGTGCCGGAAACAATGCATGGACAGGAACCTGATGTCTCTCTCCGCCATATGACCTTAAAACCCAATTGATTCTGCTGACATTCAATAGATAGACATGATCTTTTCGGAATGTCCATAATTTTTATGATGAGAAATATGTTAAGATTCGACGGTATTTTATGTGCGCTGATATTTTAATCTCATTTTGGAATTTTATTGTAAACTATTTTTGTTCTGAACAAGAAGCAATGATGTTTTAGTAACTACGATCTAAATTGTCCATTTTTCCTTTTTACCTCCTCAATTCTTCCAAGACATTTTCTTTTCTAATCACATAATGATATATTGACTTATTATTTTCTATTTTCTGGTTTTCTCTCCAATTTCCAAACGGTTCTCTTATACTTATAGTTAACGCTTAATATGCAGAAGTAAGGAAATTTTACAAACAATGCTAATGCTAACAAATTGATGAAAGGATTTGTTTTATGAAATAAGCAATTCCAAAAAAGAAAAAAAGCGGTTAAAACAGCTGATTTAGTAATATGTGTCTCGTAATACAATACAATACAATACAATATAATATTTCTTTATTTAGTCAAGGTTACATATTAGGTAACAACAGATAATTGACATATAATATAATTATTGAGCATATGTGGGTGTATTAAACAAAATGTGTATTGACAGATTTTAAAGAGTTCAAGTAAAAAAGAAAAGGAATTTTATTGAAGATGCACATAACTTTTGAGCATAAACATTACACAATGGCTATACATTTTCAGGCAAATTTAAATTTTTCCTGACAAAATATACATTTTTAAACTTGTTTCTCTTTAGTCTCATACAAATTGCACAATGGCCTTCATTTAGATGATATTTGGTTTATATAACTGTTCTACAGGCTCATTATTACTCCCAGGGTCATTATTTATATACTTTATTATCAAAATAGAGAAAAACAGAATCCCTAAAGAAAGCCCAACGAGGCAAAATTGAAACGTTGCAGGCTGTTTGATTGAGCCTGATCATGGTAGTTTGCAAGCTTCCGTCCACGCCCCCTAGCACCGGCTTAGTCAGAATTCAACATTATCATGAACTGGTAACTTTTTGAACTTTGGAACATCGTGAGACTTTTAATTTGATAGCTGGCTGCTGTATGATGGACGATGATGATCATATTCTTTAAATGAAAAAAATGTGAATGTTTTTTTTAACTTACTACCATGTACAAATGTATGTACATAGTAGTAAGGCAACAGAAGAAATAAAACAAAAATATTTTCAAAGTTTTAGTATAAGCCACTTTTAACACTGATAGTTGTTGCAATACGTATATTTCGGTCCAGACCTCAACTGCTTTCAATGTCTCCAAAAGGATAAGGAAAAAAATTAAACTCATGACCCTGACACAAATATCTGGATGTGCGATAAGGAAATCTTATCTTAAAACGAAAGCTAATTTGATTATGATATTATGAGTCAAGAACACAGGACACTCTTCTAGTTGCTTTCTATGGGCTGCCTGTTTCAGTTGATTCATAACTGATAAACAAAAATCAAGGATTGTAGATGAACTGAAACAGGCATCTTGGTGGAAAACATCTTGAAAAGTTCTTATCGTTCTGAACTTTAAGCGGAAATAATATTCCATAACCAAAACAGTTTTCAGTGTACATCCAGATAATTGTGTCAAGTGTTTGTTTTTCTTTGTTGTTTTTCTTTTGTTTATTTTGTTTATTTTTTGCTTTCTTTTTCTTTTTGCAATTTTTTGTAAGCGTAAAAGTTTGACATATTTGAGTAGTTAGATAAAAAAAATGATTTGAAAATTGATCAAAGCTTGACGTAAGGCATTTTAGTATGCAGTTACCACATTGATTAACCGGTCATTGTCTAACGAATTATTTATTTATTGTGTGGCGTTTTTTAACCGCCTTCTTTCATTTAGACAATGTGGTGCTTCTATTTATCATTCTTTTTACAATCTTACAATAATGCCACAATATCCTTCAAGATAAACTTTATGTTCCTCATGATTTTGTTTTCTCGTTACCTCCGCAAAAGTTGAACCCTGCCTCTTAGGTCACTACTTTTACGAGGTCTAAAATGAGAACACATTAAAATTTCCTGTCATAACCTTCAACTGTCATAACCTTCAAGGTCAAGAGCTTTGGCACTTATCATTTGTACATAAGAAGGTGGTCTTCAAAGTTAAATATAAATAAATCATGATCCTGGGAACACAAAGTCATGTAGTGAAACAGTGATGGGCATACCTGTAAAACTACAGAGCTAAAGCTTAACAAGTGAGATTACGTTTTTTTTGTCATAATAAACACTAGTTATTTTGTATATAAGTAGTATTAGTTTGAAATACATTCCGGTAAATGTTTAAAACTTCATAAAAAATGAGTGAACATTGCGTTATGCTTAAAAGCTCATTAAACTTCATTTTCTTATTTTCTTTGAATTAATAATTTAATAATCATCTTAAACATTGAGTTAAAAAGGTCATACAATTTAAATCAAATTTGTCATTAAGAGAATAGAAAAAAGTTCAAACATATATATATATTTATCATCGGATCTTTGCATGTTTATATTTGGAAAATACTACTCAAACAAATAAGTGTTTGAACTACACTTGAAATGAGCTGCATTTAAAGTTATTTTTCCCTGTAATTAATAATTACAATTAAAAAATTCCTTTAATTAAAATTGTTTCTCACACAACTTTTGTTTGTATTTGTATATCAAGTGTTTCATTAAGTATTCTTATGAATAAAAAGTCTTGGAATTTGGAGATAAAACCGACAATGGGATGTTTTTCAATGTAAAATATGAATGAAACAGAGCAATAATTAGAAAACAAAATGTCTTGGAAAGAAGTTAAGATGAAATAAAGAAATATGAACAAACTTGATAAAAATTTCCAGACATCTGGTAAAGAAACTAAAAATGCATGAACAAATTGTAAAATCTTTTCTTCTTAAATTTTACGTTGAAAATCAACAGTATCAACTTTTACAATACCGGATTCTTCAACTCTGATTCAACAAATTCAACAATAGGACACTTTACAATACCGGGTTCTTCAACATCTCATTCAACAATAGGACATTTTAAAATCGCAGTTTATACAACATCTTATTCATTAACAGGACATTTTACAATACCAGGTTCTTTAACACTAAGTTTAACAATTTCAATGATGAGATATTGAGCGTTATAGTATAGGGTTAACGCACGTTTTTCCCGTATTATAACGTCTGCAGAGTCCCGAGGAACGGTTGGTGCCCGAGCATTTTCATTCTAAACTCATTTCGGGGTTTTATATGATACGCAAGCATTTAAATATAATATATCGTTCTTTATCAGGTCCTATTATAAATTATATGTTATAAAATAAAGATAAAACTATCCAGTTTTAAATAATTAATATCATTATCATTTGTATAATAGTTTTGAATAGTTAGATTGTTTCCCAACAATATCAGTTTTAAGTGTTAACCATAACATCATGTCAGATTTTGGAAATGTCAGATTTTATCATGTCAGGTTGTTTTTATGTACATGTATTTTATTTCAAATTCGGTTTTTTGCTGTTTTAAATTTGACAAGAACTTGTCCTGTAACTGTAGATATTACATTATTATATTTGGCATTAACCTGTTTCGTAACATCAGGTTGTTCTATGTTTAAACTATCAGCTTTACAATATCACACAATATTATGTTTTTGCGACTTCTTGTTTTATATATAATTATTGACAAAACAAAATTTTCCTATATACCAGTATGAAAATATCATATTTTTGAATTGCAGGATTTGCAATATTATCTTTACAATATAAGAAAGTATAACAATATCTGCTTATACAATATCATGTTTGCAGCACTTACAGGAAATAAACTTTGTGAAAGCCATATTTTAAGATATCTTGTTTTGCAACGTAAGCTGTAACTTTAACATGCTTCATTGTTTTAATATTTTGGATTTTGTGATATCTTGCAGTATAACAATATCATGCTATGTTCTGTTTACAAAATATATTTAGATCGTTCGATATGGAGACCTGTATCTCATTTTAATGTTAAATCTTCTTCTTTTCAGTATATTTTAGAGAAAAGTTCATTTTGATTGTTAAATTCCTTTCTGAAGGTATTCTGTGAGAAAAATGAACAGATTTCTTTTAAATACATTGGTCCAGTTGACAAGTTTTGTTGTTTCCTGTGAGGGTTTCTTCATGGTTCGTAAGTATGCCGTTCTTAATGTTTTTGCCCTCCAATGATCTTCATCTTGAATAAGAACATACTTCCTAGCATAATGTAATTAGGACAATTATATGTACCAAATATTCACATCATACGTTACGATGCATGAAGATATATTCATTTTAAGCTTTGAAATCAAATATAGATTTTGAATGAAGTAAGACGAATAAGTAGTTCCACTACTAAAACTTTTGAAAGGCAAATCCTAAATGATTTATGTTTTTATGAGAGAATTGATATATAGACCTAACCATCATTTTGAATCCATAGACCCTTATTTATAAAAAAAAACATCTAATAAGACTAAAATTGAAAACATCGTTAAAGAAATATAACTGTAAACAAGTTGAAAGTTGAAGTTAGAAAAATACCTTCTAAACTGATTTCTACAATAGTTTGAATTTGGTATTTGGCTTGACTTTCTAATTTACATAAAATATCAATCCTTTACTTTTTTCTATTTATTTAAACAAATGCATACTTTTGTCTTATTCATACCTGGCTTTTTACTTGAGAACAAACATGTTCATACCCGTAAAAATAAAACATGTATTTGGATTCGAAACATGTAGCTTTTTTATCATAAGCAAGCGTCTTATCACTTGTCTTGACCACGGTCTGTCTCAAAATTCTATGTAATAAAAAAAATCTTACAATTGTACTTATATTTAACTTCGAGTTTCTAAGTAGTCGATAATTAATACTTTTATCTTAGAAGAATGTTTGTGTATTTCTTATTTGCTATTTTTTTTATGTTTTATTAGAAATGACTTATTAAAAAATGAGCCAATCACGTTTAATACAAGGAGTGATTAACCAATGCACGATTTTTATACGATGCGATCATTCAAGTATCAAAAACAGGTCATGTCCACCCTACATGTCTCAAAAGTTAAGTAGATTTCAATAACGGCAGGGAACAAACTAAACTATTATATATTTTCTAGCTCGTTCATTCAATGGTGACCTCACTCCTGTAGACCCTGAAATATGTACCACACAGAGCGTCACATTCACATGCACGCTTTTCAACCAGCCGAATCCAAAACACAACATAGGGTTTGCTATAAAGAATAAGGAGACTAAACGCAAATTTATCCGTGTTGGGCAGGACGAGGTCAAGGTCATAGATGAATCAAGGTCAGAATTAACTCTAAACAATCTGACAACAAAAACATTTGTACAATGTATCAACGGGGAGTCACCGAATGATACGGATGAAGCAAGACAAATTGGTCATACATCCACTGTACAGATATACCGTAAGGAATATGTTGTTTTCTCTATTTATTTAATGAATTAATTGACTCTTGACTTATCATCATCATCGACAACGTCATCATCAGCAACAACATCTCCATCAGTTTCATCATCATCGTCGCCGCCATCATCATCATCATCATAATCATCATCATTATCATCAGCATCAGCATCATCATCAACATCATCATCATAATCATAACAATAACAGCAACAACATCTCCATCAGTTTCATCATCATCATCGTTGTCGCCATCATATCATCATCATCATTATCATCATCAACATCATCAACAACAGCAACAGTATATCCATCAGTCTCATCATCAACATCGCCTTCATTATGATTTTCATTCATGTTTTCATTAACATTTTACATTGTTAAAAAGTCACGGTTGACTTTGGTGCAGCAACCTCATTATTACTGTCATTAGTTTCATTCTAGAAATTATCTATTCTTAAGCATACATACTTAAAAATGTCATAATTTTCTTAAGCGAAATGTGAATACTTAGCACTTCAGAATTGCACTTTAAATTGTTATCATCAGTAGAAATATCATTTCAACCTAAACTTATAGAAATGAAAAAGCTACTTTACATTTATTTGTACAAATATTTATTAATAATAAGTTTAATATTTTGTAGCCATGCCAAGCAAAGTGGAACAACTTGATTGTATTGTAGATAATTATTATGATTCGATGAAATGTTCTTGGGACTATGGCACTGCTTATAAGCTCGGTACATTTAATGTTACATTTCAATGGTAAGTTCAGAATATAACATATAACCAACGAGACGAAGAATTCTTTGTACAAAAATATTATTTCATTGTCTATTTCTATATTACTTTTTTCTATTTATATTTTTTATTGAAAATATATTTATTCAAATGAAGAGCCGATCGGTAGTGATTACACTGTTTTGAAGTTTAAATGAGCCGCGTCACGACAAAACCAACATAATGGGTTTGCGACCAGCATGGATCCAGACCAGCCTGCGCATCCGCGCAGTCTGATTAGGATCCTACGCTATCGATTTCTTTACTTGTTATAGTTTGTAAGAGAACAGTATGGATCCTGATCAGACTGCGCGGATGCGCAGGCTGGTCTGGATCCATGCTGGTCGCAAACCCATAATGATGGTTTTGTCGTGGCACGGCTCAAATTGTACTAATTATATGTAACTGCTCGCGATTGAGAGTTTTTCACCTTTGTTTTACCTTTGTTTAAAACATATTTTATTCGTCACATAAAAACATATTTTTTTTACATACATGACATTTACAATCAATACATTAGATTAGATTAGACTGGGAAGCAACCTTATGCTGATTGAAGTCTTTTCTCTTTGATTCCCTTATGTCAACGATTTTCATTTGTTAACTCCTGTTTTGGGTCCTGGTGTTTCACCAGAAGCAAAAGGCAAATAAAAGTATAATTAAATAAAATTAAAAAAACCCCTAAAAATCTCAAAGGAAATCTATACCCCAGGAAAACAATAATTGTTCACCAATATCTGGGTATTTGATATTAAATACTAAATTCCTCTGTCACAGACTTTTCTTCAAACACCAGTTATAATAAACGACATGACAACCTTCCATTTGATAGCAACGAGTAATATTTGATACCTTTATTTGATTCAAATTATCCTTCTTACCCAAAACTAATATACAAATGTACATTTCACTTGAAGAGCATTCAAACGTACTTACACTATCCGAGACCGTGCACGCAAATAACAGATTTTAATTATATTAAGTTCACACAAGTGATATTTCCCTTAAACATCGGTTTTACCAATTTGTATTTTTGTATTATAATAAGGAGAATTCCTATGTTATCTGCCTCATGGATCAACTGTCCAGACCTGAATATTAAACACGGTTTTTGCCGCTGGAAGAGCACTCGTACTGGAGACTTTTCAATGAAAATAATAGATACAAAGATAACACTCAAACAATCATGTGGCATCAGTTATTCTTCAACTTTTACAATAGATACCACTAAAATAGGTTAGTATGCTTTAATTCGATATAGAGAGTCTATAAATAATGGTTTTATAGTATTGTTTTTCTAATTCCGAGAATATAGTTCATACGTAAAAACTCAAATTATGAATATATTGAAAGAAAATGTGATTAGGTATTGCAAAGGTTTAAGGTTAAAATCATCCATTTTCATTACCTGAATTATAATATAATGAATATTTTACAGAGGTTTCATATGACTTTTTATCACATACTTTTATTTTCTCCTAATAGTAAAACCCGACCCCGTGGCGAAGTTAACATCTACAACCATCAACAGTACTTGTGTTATTGTAAAATACCATACAAACAACTCTCAGATGCAATATCCAAAACAACACAAACTGATAATTTCGAACAAATGGGATGAACCAAATGTATTTATTTCTGTTTTGTTTTCTTTGTTGTTTCCTGACCTTAAATAAATTACATAAAACGACAAAATTGAAAATTCGTAGGCTTGGTTTTATCACATCCGTGCCTGCTATAAGTATAGTTAGTATTTTTTATGGAAGTCAAAATATCACTTTGTTTACAGTTTGTTATTTTCCTGGCAAATTTAAACAATTTAAATTAATGTTTCCTCTTTCAAAAGAAGTAAAATTTATTAATTTCTGAGGCATAATATGCCTACATATTTTGAATTTGCCATAAATTGATGAATGGTTCAATCCGATGACGATGTCAGTATCTTTACGTTTTATTGGACAGGAAATAACGTTTAACACAACATACTGGTCAGAAAAAGGGACACACAGACGGACAGTTTGTAATCTACATCCTTATACAACATATACCTTTTCTGTCAGCATACAACCGACTGGAGACGAAGCAGGTTATTTTAGTGACTCTAGAACCACGGAGGCAACAACGTATTCTGATAGTCAGTAAATTTATCATAATTAATTCGTTTTTAATGTTTATTATATGTACATACAATAAGAAATTTAAAGACCGGATTAACTTTGAAATATAAAACTAAAAGGAAAAAATAATCTATTTTTGCCTAATTTGCACATATTAAACATGTAATGCTCTAGAAATGTTTCAAAAAGTATACACAGTGACTTGTTGGTTAGGTTAGTTAATTTTAGCGCACAAACTTCACACTCCACCTTTGCAGTGAATATAGAGAGAAATTAAATTCCTATAGGAAGTCAAACACGACAAAATTGAAAATGCTGCAGACTCGGTTTGATTGAGTATGTTCATGGACGGTAATGGAAAGTTACCTGAAAGTTACCGTCCACGCCCCCTAACACCCACACCCCCTTACACCGGCTTAAATATTGATATAATTGAATCATTTTGACTAGTACACAGTGTAGTATCATAAAGAAAGTTTTTTTTTGAAAAGCCATCCTGTCCGTACAATTTATTTTTATGTTTATTTAGTATGTAAATGACAAGTTTGAAAATGAAATATTGTTTAAGCTAAAACAGTGTAGCATGATTTATAAACCAGTCGGTTGTTATGTCGCACTGTTATGGGGAAGGGTTGGTGCAGGGCGGGGGAAGGGTCTTAATATGCTCATACAAAAGAGGTAGGGGGTGGTTATAACTACAGAACATACATGTATATTTATAAAACGAGTCAAAAAGGTAATACATTATGTTTCATATTTTGCTATTTACTGCTTAACATTTTAATCTAAAATAATCAATGTAAAATATATATTCATAATTTAAGTACCTAGTGCCAGTCCAGCTGTTGCAGAAGGGGGTTACAGCTTCAATGCCATGGAGTGTAAACATTTGAAGTCTAAAAGACGTATATGTATACCACTGAAGGTATTAAACATATTAATGTTCTGTTGGTATAATGTTTTCTTTAAATTTATATTAATTAGTATGAAAGCTAAAATGAAGACACATATATAAAAATAAGTTAGTGTACCTTTTGTCCCTTAGCCAGTTGCAGGACATAAAACAGGTCAGGTTATTTCTCGGGTAAGCTGAAATGTAAAGGAAAATGAAATTTAATATCTTTATTGTAAAATTTATATAGATATTTCAGTAAGGATGTGTAATAAAAGAAGAAAATACCCAATATATTAATGTAATTGCTTACATTTGAAATAATAAAAATGCTACCAGACATAGCAAAATTGAATAAAAAAAGAGAATCTTATCTGACTCGTTAACAATTAGACAGTATTAAAAATTAGAGGAATAAATATATAATGACATTTTCAGCCAATTGAAGAAGAAAATGAGAATGGTCCGATGAATGGTATTGTTTTATTAGTCACGAATACTGACACCGGTGAGCAATTTGATGAGGAGTTCACAGAGAAGTTGACATACGTCTGTCTGTCTGACCTACAATGTAACACAAGCTATAACATCATGTTCAAGGCTAGAAATGTTAATGGGACATCTGAAAAGAATTCTTCATTGTTCATACCCCCAGTGGCACTTGGTATGTACGTTTCTGTTCTTGCGGATAAAACAACAGTTAATTTGTTAAAAAAAAGCTTTTATGAAAAAGTTTAAACTTATTTGGACAATAGTTCCGCTTATTTAACTAATTTGTGTGATAAAATGATAACACGTATGTTTACACAGTATGTTTAGCAATAGTCAGCACAATGGCCAGACCCCCCCCCCCCAACAAAAAAAAAAACAACAACAAAAAATCACCTTTCTTGGTATTGTTATATAATCGTTCATTTCTTTATTCGAAAAATGATGCCAGAATAAGGTTACATGTATAACAGACAATGAGACGAAAATTTGTGAATAATTTGAATGTTTTGGTTTTGCACATGGCAACCCGGGAAAATAATGATGATCACAATGATGTTTCTAATTTTAAGAAGTTCCTCCACTAGAGGTTAAAGTTGAAGCTGGACAAGACACAGATGTGTACATGAGTTGGACACAAACAGAAAATGCAACCGGTTATATGGTATTCTGGTGTAGAAACAGAAACGGGAATTGTGCGGTAATCAGGAAAAATATATCGCTGAACCTTATTTATTTTCTCTTAACACATATTTCTGGACATAAACTATCCAGTTAATGGTGTTGTACAATAATTAGTAAAATCACATTCCTTAGATATAAGTATAACCATCTTTCACCTTCCTTTGAAATATTCAGTTTGATATCTGCCATTTGCATTGACCCTTTCAATTCCTGCAAATAATATCTATTCCATTTAATTGTCCACTATCACAGGTACGTTGAGCTGTTGATGATGCTTGGCCCATTTGCAGATTATTTTTAAAATTTATTTTTGTGTGACAAAACATATTTTCCCAATGCTAGTAAATGATTATGTCGAATCAGTGTTTTTTTTTTAATTTCTTTATATCAGACAAGAAATGGAGTCGATTGGAAATATTTCCCTATGGACACAACAGAAGGCATTATACGGATAAAAGGTGAATACTTTCCACGGGACTTTTTGTATGGTGTAAGTGCTTTAACAGAGACAGGCGGCGGTGGTATAGAGTGGCAAGACTGTGTGTACCTACGGCACGCCGGTAAGATAAATTGAAATGAATTTTAAGTCAAGTCGAGAAAACAGAGATGTTCAAGAAATTTAAAAATAAGGAATTATTAACTTATAGAAATTTTCATTTTACAGAATAATAAAAAGAATGTATACAAAATAGAGAAAAACAGAGTCCCTAAAGAATGCCCAAAAGGGAAAAATTTAATACGTAAAGGCTCTGCTTGATTGAGCCTGTGATGGACGGTACTGGAAAATGTAAGGTTTTGCAATTAATTTCTACAAAGAGGTATTATCAAAAAATAGTGATGATGCCTCATTGAATCCATATTGTAATTTAAGAACTTTAACCTTTAAATATTTGCATTGTAGTTTTCTTATATAAATGCAGTCAGATATTAATGCATGTGACGAAAGAGTATAAAATGATTGAGACGATGATCACCTTTTTCACGGGGCTTACTAACATAGAGAGAAAAACGGAATCCCTAAAGAACGTCCAAAACGGTGCAGGTGCGGTTTGAATGTGATTGAGCCTGTTCGTGGATAGTACTTGGAAGTGCAAGCTACCCTCCGCGCCCTTTAGCACCGGCTTAAACCGAATGCAATATTTAAACATACCAATGACGCCATTATCAAATATCTATATATATTTACAGACATCTATATATATTTACAGACCCGAAGAGGGAACCGAAGAATGTAGTTGTGTCGTTAGGTTCTGAAGACAATACGCTTGTGGTCACGTGGGATAAACTAATGTGTAAATCGGACGAGCCGTACATAGATATGTACAACGTGCGATACACACAACTAAATAACGGCAATGAGAAATGTAAGTGTTTGTGATTTTGCAACCATTTGCTTAAAGTCTTTCTTCCAATAATCAATTAATGTTTTTATGTATGTTGACAGCGAGCTCGACGAGCTGGCCCGAAGGGCCTGCTCGCAAAGCGAGCTTTACGGTAACGCGAGTACCTGCTAAGTGATGGTTTTGAAAACTTTCGTCCAAAGTACCGAATTGGACACATCGCAACCTTTCAAATTTAAAGATAACGATAAAAACTGAGGAATTCTGACTGAAAACGGATGTGTAGACTGGTCACCCGCGCACGTTTATTGGACAGGGAACCAGAATAACGGAAGCTGTGTATAAAAAATGAAAATCGAAGGCGCCATTTTGTTTAAAATCTGATAAATAAAAACAATTTTTTTGTCGAATTTTGTTGTGAAAACTATCTAGAATGAAAGAAAATGGTCTAACTAAGAAAATGAATCCGAACACCAATATCTTTTATTCAGTCGTTAACGCTGTACAGACGTTTAAAGTATTGTTTACGTGACGTCACAATGTAGCGCCAAACAGCACGTGCAAAACAAACAAATCAAGTACGCTATTTTAATGTCGCAAACGTTTTAAGTTTAACATTTATTTCACTTTAAATAATCTTTATTTCGCTTGAAAAATTATAGAGTGAAATAAAATAAACAAAGTTTTATCAACAATTTCAAAGCTCGTTATTCTTTTCACGACAGGGGCGGAGCCATATTTAACACCAATCTCCTACGCAGTGATCTCCCCTTATCAGTACAATTCTGCCAAGGGAGGTAATCAGTGTGAGGAGTTTGATTTAACACAGGGCTGTGACTAAAATAAAGTTTCCTTTTAAAAGGAAAGGCTTGCACAGTTGTGCCTTCATCCCAACATATTTATTTGTTTTTATTTTTGTAAAAACGAATATTTTTGTCAAAACGATTTGAAATCTATTCTCTATTGTATAAAACTAATAAAGAAAATAATCAATTGTAAAAATACTAACGTGAAGATCTATCATACTGAAAGGAAACAAGTGTGCACATTTCATTTAATTAATAAGCATGTTCCCATAAATCATCACGTGGTAAGGTTAATGATATGCATGGGCTATTTTTAGATTACCTCACCAAGTTCAGTAGATCTAAATATAACTCGATCATGCACTGTGTGATTTGGACCACCCTTTGAAGACGGAATACTACTACAGTCAACATCCTCTATTGTGTAAAACTAATACAGACACAAAACAATTATAAAAGAAACTAACTTTTGCGTCTTGAAAAAGAATTGAAACGGAACAATTTCGTTTATAATTTATTACGGTTTAAATCAATAAATCAAGTAAAAATACGAATCCTATTTATATAAACAAACTGGGATTACCGAAGTAACTAAAAAAGCTTAGATTTCCGTAATATTACTTCGTCTGATTCCGCAGTATGACGGAATCGCCCGAATTGTCACGATTGCAATCGGAAGTACATCGGCTATTATCATTAATCCGAAGAGTGACGGAAAAGGCCGAAAAGTTGCGATTGGCACGATTTCAGCTGGTTTCCCGTTCAAACATGCACTTATAAATGTAAGCAGAAAACCACCTAACCGGAACAGGTTTTCCAAATGAAATGGCAAGCCAAAAAGGATTGGAGCACCACACTAAATACCGTATTCCGGTATATACCGGACAAGGCGCTTGAATGATAAAATGCTAAAATCTTGTCTTTTTACCCAACGGAATGAACTTTAACAGGTCTAATTCATCTTTTCACACCGAAATCAAGTACGATAATCCAGGAAAAATGTAAAATTCGGCGAAAAAAACGATATTTGTCTATTTTGTGATCATGATTTCTGCAAGCGTCTAGAGGTACTGCTCCAATCCTGTATTGAGCTAAATCCTTAACACAGTACGTGTGACGTCACACGCACTCGTTACTGCATTTGAAATAAAAATGAGCGATTATTGGGATTATTCATACTATTTCACGTAAAAAGTACATCGAGCTCGCTTTGAGGCTTTGCCTTTTTCATATTAATTTTTGGACACCCGTTACTCATAGACCATGCTTTCCTGTATTTTTGTTTCTTTCCTGTATTTTTGTTGTTTCTTTCCTGTATTTTTGTTTCTTTCCTGTATTTTTGTTTCGGGAAGCACTGGACTTTCTTTTACATTACCCTTAATCTATGAAGAGTTACGATCATTTGTGATGTAAATCGTTATTCCAAAATCAATGAGATTCAGGGATTTTCACACAAAAATACTAAACATATTGGGTTGACGACGTCGTGCGTTGACTAACATGTTCACAGATAGACGGCAGGTCACTTCTGTTGTCATCGTCATTTTTTTCAGGATCAGAAAGCGCACAATCTCTCCTATTTCTATTTTTTACATTATCATATTATTTAAGAAGTTATGGCAGACTTAGACCTATCATGAAGCCTTATATGTGATAGTTAAAATATGTTGAAAATATTTTTGAATAACCTTCGGCAAAAATTATTATTTTATTTGTTCGTTTGGACACATTTTCCTATAGATTTTTAAACTTGTGAATGACATCAATATATTTTTTATGATAATGTTTTTAAATTTCGACAAATATCAATTGTCTTGAAAGAAGACATGCTTATGATTATGGTTTCTGTCATAATGATTTTTAACTTATTTTGTTTTTAACACTGAAGAATAAATGTTTCACATATGATCCATGCAGTTTTATTCTCTGTTATCCACAGCTTTGAATGTCTCGTCTTCAGTAGAGGCAAGGGTGACAATCAGGAACCTACAGTATGATCAGACGTACGTTGTTACAGTGAGAGCGGTCACGGACAGAGGCCATTTTGGACCTGAAAGTCACCCAAAGAGAGGTGTTGTTAAACCGAATAGCAAATGTGCCGGTGTGACAATCAGTACCCTCGAAGATGTTCAACCGTATAGTGCTACAGTAAGTGGGGTCACAGAAAAGGAACACCTTGAGACTAGCAAAAACATTTCTTATTAAAAGAACACGGTGTAAATACTTATTCTATGAATATGTACATGCTTTGATTATTTGTAAAAAATAGTTTGACAGATGCTTAAAAACGCTTATACGTGTAGTTTAAAGTGAGTCAGTACACATGTACTTGTGACACTTTGCAGATGGGTCATTATATGCGTTACGCCTAGTAACATTTTTCAAACATTGTTTAGAGTGAATATGAGCATCCGTTGCTTTTTTCTTATTTTTAAACATTTTCACAACGAAGAAAGTGAATGTTTTATATTTATAATTTAAAATTCCTTTCTGTCTATTGTACTTAAAGTATATAAAAATTCAATAAATTCTTGTACTTGATTTTTTAAATTTGCTTCTTACTTGTGTTGCTTTTTTTGCGCCGTAGCCATTTGCCAACCTGTTTTTTATGTGAAGGTTAAAATTAAGAAGAAGATATCAAAATTATTAAGGACTTGAAAGCACAGCACATCAACTAAACGGGAAAAAATTATGTTTTTTTTTCATGAGTTTTATCTCCGAGATTTATTTTAGTTTCTAAATTATTTTAAGTTTAAAATGGAGGTTAAAATAACAAACACAGGCTTAATATTTCTTTGAGAGAATATATTGAGTGTTCAATAGTTTAATAGACAAGCAATTAGTTTCCAAAAATAAAAAAGTTCTGAAAACACATATGACTGTTAATTTTTTTTATTTATGACCTACATTAGGCTAATGCATTGCCTACACAGAAAATATTATATTACTCTTGAAATTGTGAAACATGAATTCAAAGCACGATGATTTTATATGTTATATTTTTGCAAACGGTAAAGGAATTTCTTAACAACAAACGCTATAAAAGGAACCATTGTCGCTCAAACCTCTCTCATCTTCCCCCTTCCAGCAACGGGTCTACGATTTTCAACTATTTGTTTTGTTTCCATTGTCTTCTTTCCCATTTTTACAATAATAATATGTTTGTCAAATTATTAAGACACGAAACATTTAAAGACCTGATTGAAACTTGCCAGTGACTAAAAGGTTACGATAAAGAAAATTCCTTTAAAAAAGAAAGGCTTTGTAGTTTATGAAATCACCAACCTTTGATGACCTTTATGCAACTTTTAGTAAAACAATATTCTTTTTGGACTATAAGAGTTTTTTTGCATATACATATACTCATATTATGTCGTTCAAATTGTTTTTTTAAGATGTGCGAGTGGGTATTATATTCATTTATATAATCGGAACCATGTATTTACTTATATTTAGTCCAAATATTTAAACGTAAACCGCGGATTTGAAGCTATTTTTTACAATGGTCAAATCCGCTTTTTCCGATAACGTAAAACTGTTAAAAAAAGAGAACGCGAAGACTTTCAATGAGAATGACTAAATGATATTATGATCTATATAAAAACACTATTCTTAAAACTGCGTTAATCAAATCTTTACGTTTAACATGCAGCAGCTATAACAAATAAATGAATGATTCGCCTGTTCAATGTATATTGACCATATTAAAACGTTTCATATTTAAACGGACGCGGTTCTTCAAAACAGACTAATTCTTGTTAGGATTATTATGGAAGGATTCTAATCTGGTACTTGTTATTGACTTGGGTAGATTTACTAGGGCTGGAGTCGGTCTAGTAATTTTCATCATCTAACGATTAAAAGTCAAAGTTACACACAATTAATGTATTTTACAAAACATCAATTAAAATTGTCGAAAAGTGTTTTTTTCCTGTTAAAGTGAACTGTAATGTTCGGACTCTTATTACAGTTGAAATTGAACTGTAATAGTGGTCAGGTTCAATTTGAATCAATGGTCTACTAGGAGACCAAACGATCACAAAATTGCAAGAGGAGTAAATTTGTATAAATGTTGCTATATAAAGATGTTGGACCAAACAACAACAAGTATATACCAGTACAATTTCAATCAATGATTTTCTTATTTAAGAAGTTCCTGACACATTCAAGAAGTATACCAATCAAATATTATTTCTTTTATCAATAACGACTTTATTATGTAATTTAGATTATTTAATTTAGATATTTTATATCCAGTTTGGTTAAGTTAACGATAATCGCTTGATTATGACTAAGTCCAGTTTAGTGTTTAGTGTGGGATACTGACCAAATTAGGTGCAGTACCTAACCTTACTAACAATGGTGTTGCTGGTAGCTTTACCAATCCTGTTATACAAAGTGACATGCATCGTCCGGAAATCGATCCTTGGTCTAACATGTTACTAACAATGCGTGGTGGTGGTTGCGTTGGTATTTTCACTCCGGATCACGGCAGTAAGCCATAATGAATTTACCACAGTTCAGCCACCGCATCGAGCCTGGACATGCTGTCAAACAGTTTACCAGTAATAATTTCCTTCATAGTTAACTGATTGCTTCTGTACTTACCAGAGCAGAGATATGTGACAGTGCGAATGACGGTAGAAAGGAATTCATGATCAATCACAACAAAAGTAACCTGCACCGTCTTGAATCGAACCTGGGCCACCCAATTCACAGTCCAACACCCTGCCTATTCAGGTAACCGTACGGCTTATAAACCGAGTCTTGCAATTTCCACGCTATTTTGCTGTTTATAATGCTTCCAATGGATCACCTTTTTCCAGATATTTATACATCACAACAGCAGGTGTCAAGTGTTGTATGGCATCCGTAAAAAGTTGCCCAGTACTTCACGTCAGTACGTGTTGTTATATTTTTTCTGGTCCTTCGGGATCATTGAGTCAAGCACTTCTAAGTGTTGAGAATTGAGTACCGCTCAAGCCGGTGCTAGGGGGCGTCAGGGATGTAGCACTTTTTCATTATCCCTTATGTACAGACTCAATCAAACAGAGTCAGCAATTGTCATGTAATTTTGCTGTTTTAAATCTTCCAAGGGATCACTTTTTTCCAGATATTTATAACTAACAATGCCAAATCCAGTTTATTTATATCATTCAATAATCACAGCAATAATTTGATTGGTTGACTTAATAATACTGTATATACCATGAAATAAGTGTAACATAAAATCACTTATAACTTTAGAATAATAGATTATCGTAAATACCCATCATATTACGTATAAGTAATAAATGAATAATGTTCATGATATTTCTTTGGTACCTACAGTAATGCCTTTAAATATATAAGTCTCGAACATTTTGCTTTGCGATAAGGATGCAAAAAAATGATATGTGACCACTCTCTAACAAACTGTCAATCTTAAAAAGGTTATACATTTGTGTATATTGAATATCAGTTAGTTACCACTCTCAAACCAAATGAAATGTGTGTGAATTTATTTCATTTTTGGTACTTTTTACTCTTTGTGGTATTAAGAACATCCGAGTAACGTCCCTTTCCTGCATACTCTCCGGTATAACGTTTTCGGATACAGATTGATTCGGGTATGTAGAGTTTACCATTATTGATTTCTGAAAAATAAATCGATTGCTACCTGGTATCAAGCTTCAGCATGAACTAGATTCAACAAGTATTGTTACAGACGGTGAAGCATACGTCATTTTATTGGAAGACTGTAGAAATGAAGAAAGGGAGAAACTGGACCATAGAATTTTACTCTTGACTTGAGTTGATTTGAGCTGTTGAGTGTTGTAAGTTAGCACGCAAGAGATTTTTTAAGACGTCGTCCAAACTATACGTGGGTAATGACATATTCATTTGAATAATACTTTAATTAGTTGGTAAATATCTTTAATAAAACTGTTGAAAATACTGATTATTTCTCATGTGCTTGGATCTTGATTGTTGAGAACTGATGTTGCAGAAATTTTGTTGAATTTTTTTTTTCACTTTAAGCATCTGCATTGTTGAATATATGCATGTGTCAGTGTATTTAAATTTGTATCTGTTATTCATCATTAAACTCTAAACATTTTATTTGAATCATTCACATGGGCTATTAGTCCAACTGACTAGTGTAGTTGATTTCGAGACGTTTCGGCCCCAAGACATATCGGCCCCAAATTGCCCAAGACGTTTCGGCCCCAGACGTTTCGGCCCTTTACCAAATCGGCCCCAGAATAAGTACTGTGTTTCAAACCCGTATATTAAAATTTCATGGTTATAATAATCATAAATGACAATTTTCATGAAGTGGAACGCCAATTTCCAAGTACCTTGAAAGATTTACGAAACGTCTTATATATTTTACGTAAAAGATTAAATCTAAAACCATCAACGATTAGATACATGTTGCAATTAATGTTAACTTCAATGTTTATGTTTAAATGTATCTCATAATAAATAGCTACTTGTAATTATTTCCTTGATATTGAAAAATCTAACACATTTAATTATATCTAATATGAAAAAGGCAAAGCCTCAAAGCGAGCTTGATGTACTTTTTACGTGAAATAGTATTATATGAAATAATCGCTCATTTTTATTTCAAATGCAGTGACGAGTGCGTGTGACGTCACACGTACTGTGTTAAATATGGCTCCGCCCCTGTCGTGAAAGGAATAACGAGTTTTGAAAACGTTTATAAAACTATGTTTATTTTATTTCACTCTATAATTTTTCAAGCGAAATAAAGATTATTTAAAGTGAAATAAATGTAAAACTTAAAACGTTTGCGACATTAAAATAGCGTACTTGATTTGTTTGTTTTGCACGCGCTGTTTGGCGCTACATTGTGACGTCACGTAAACAATACTTTAAACGTCTGTACAGCTTTAACGACTGAATAAAAGATATTGGTGTTCGGATTCATTTTCTTAGTTAGACCATTTTCTTTCATTCTAGATAGTTTTCACAACAAAATTCGACAAAAAAATGTTTTTATTTATCAGATTTCAAACAAAATGGCGCCCTCGATTTTCATTTTTTATACACAGCTTCCGTTATTCTGGTTCCCTGTCCAATTATGGTTCCCATAGACGTGCGCGGGTGACCAGTCTACACATCCGTTTTCAGTCAGAATTCCTCAGTTTTTATCGTTATCTTTAAATTTGAAAGGTTGCGATGTGTCCAATTCGGTACTTTGGACGAAAGTTTTCAAAACCATCACTTAGCAGGTACTCGCGTTACCGTAAAGCTCGCTTTGCGAGCAGGCCCTTCGGGCCAGCTCGGCGAGCTCGCTATAATTCTTTTGTCACTGTCAACATTGTTTGATTAAACTAATTAATAAATATATAGCAGGTACATTTATGACTTGGTTTCAGTCTTTCAATCACTTTTATAACATCTAGCATCTATCATTATCTAATAACAATAAAAATTAAAAATATTATCAGAAGATTATAGCAAACCTTTTTTTTAAATCTTTTGAAGTTTTTCTCTGATATTACTTATATAAAGCTATAAACAGTTAATTAGTTATACCTTGAAAAAAATACGTAGGCCTATAGTTTAATTAAGATAAAAAATAATGTTTTCTAAGGAATAATTGTAATTAACTTTCTTAATCAAGAAGTTTTAGTGGTATGTTTTATAAATTAAGGATTAACCTGCCTTTATTGTTTGTTACACCTTTAAAAACATTAACGTATCTCTAAATAGTTCAAGAAATCAAAAGATAATAAATAATTATTTAAAGAATTAAAGGGTTTCATAATTGTTTAATTAAATAAATTGTTGTTAATTAATTTAATTAATTGTCTGTACTATATAGTAGGGCCGAAACGTCTCGCGGAAAAGGGCCGAAACGTCCAGGGGCCGATTTTTCTACTGGGGCTGATTTGGTTTGGGGCCGAAATGTCCTGTTTCCGTGTAGTCTATAGCTGGGCAAGCCAAAGCCCCGGCTCGCTTCGTGGTCCCTGTATTTTGGTGCCCCCCCACCCCAAGGCTCAGTTCTAGGACCCTTCTTGTTTCTCATCTATGTAAGTTACTTCCCACAAAACATAAATTCCCAGGTACACTTGTTTGCAGACGATACTGCAGTATACATTGTTCTGACATCTGCAAACCAATCAGTCACCCTCGAGAAAATGACGTAAATTGGTTATAAAAGTTGGAGTTGGAGTGGGATATGGAATTCAACCCCTCTAAGTGTCAAGTTATCCATGTCACAAAAAGGAAACATCCTATCCCAACACAATAAGTACTATCTTCGTGGAGTCCAATTAGAATCAGTTACCTCAGCTAAATACCTAGGTGCGGAGGCATCAAAAAACCTTACATGGGATGCCCACATAAGCAGGACAAACCTGAAATAATAATTTGAATAAGTGAATAAAGAAATTTTTAACCATCATATGTTCAGAGAGCTGTGTAATAGTATGTGATTTTGATATTTCAGAGAATGACAAGGGATGCAAAAGGGACAGCCACAATTCGTAGAAGGAGGGCAAGAAACAAAAGTGACTTTGAGAAATTTAAAAACAGTAGACCGTCGTCACCGACTCCATTAGAGGAGATTAATGAGTTCATTGAAGAAGACGAGGGTTATTTGTTTGATGATGAAGTTCTTGGTCCATCTGTGATAAAAAAGATTATGTCGTCGGAGAAAACCCTGCTATTGTCATTGATATCACTACGCTTGGTTAATTCTCTTCTTATACAAACTAGTTTTGTTCCAGATGAATACTGGCAGTCTGTTGAAGTTAGTCATAATATGGTGTTCGGGTAAATGTTTGATCTTTTTCCTCAGCTTTGTTTTATCAGTATGTAAGATTTTTTTTTATGACATAAAATAACTGTAAATGATATTAGATATTGATGCATTATTATGATGTACATTATTATGCTATATTATGTCACTGTAGATAATTTTACTAATACTTAGTACTGTGTTTCTTTAAATATACATTTTTGTGATCTTCAGTTATGGATATTTAACATGGGAATGGAAGCATGGTTTACGAGGTTACCTGTATCCATCAGTATTTGCTGTATTTTATAAACTGCTGGCTTTATTTGGACTTGACAACAGACTTTTGTTGGTAAGTGGATAAATTACTGGAATTGATTTTACCTATATTCTACCTTTATCAGTCAGCTGTATAATGTACACACATTTTGTTTGGGTTTTACTTTAGTTAGATTGTATGTCAATCATGTGATGTTCGATAATAACCAAACCTTGATCCTTAATGTGAACCAGTGTGTGATTTCATGAATAACTGCAAACTTACTATGAACTATTTGAAACAATGCTGGAGGACAAATGGTGTTAGATCAATTGATATCATTATCCGAAACTATATTGGAAAATATCTGAACTGCTTAAATGGATTTTATTTTAGACAGCAAAATAAGTAAGATAAAATCATAGTGTTCTATATCAGTATATGTTACTTAGAAAAAAAGAAAACTGATAGGACCCATTAAACATTGAAATTGACATTGTTGCATACATCACATGTACTTTGCATGGATGATAGTGGTAAATGTAGGTTACTGTCCATGTCTGCTGTTACATATTGAAGCAAATGTCCCATTGCACTTTGCACAAGCTGGAGTAGAATTATTAAAACATTTCTGAACTGTCTTCAATGCAAATCTGTCTTTATTTATTAATGTACATGTATTTAATTACAGATCAAGTTACCAAGGCTGATTCAGGGTGTTATAGCTGCTATAGGCGACCTTTACCTTTATAAATTCTCCTGGTTGCTATGCGACAGAGCTACGGCACAATGGACGCTGCTGTGTCAAACTGTTAACTGGTTTATGCTGTATTGCTCAACTAGAACACTTACAAATAGTACAGAAACTGCACTTATTACTGCCGCACTTTTCTATTTTCCATGGCCTGGAAAACAAAATTACTCTAGGTAAAGCTTTAATCAAAAGTGTCATTTTAAACCAACTTAATCACAGAGCCTAATTGGCATAGTGGTTGAGTTTGGCTTCATTAATTGGCTAGCCTATCACAATGGTGATTTTGGAACCCAAAATGTCTAGTGGTTGATGTTACAGTGAATTACTTTTCCTTAGTCGATCTTAGATTATAAAATCAAACCTCTATAGCTAGATTAAAAGTAAGTAAATGGTGTCTTCATAGAGGGGCAGTTATACTTTTCCTTCACCAGTAGTTGATACCCAATTTCTTGTAAAAAAGTGAGCAGATAATCTGTTAGTTGTTGGTATTTATTACCTAAAAGAAAGCATTTTTGCTTAGGTAAGGTGTTTAACAATGGACAAGCCTTTGCTACCAGTATAGAGCCGGCCAGTCTGCGCGTCCATGCAGTCTGATCAGGCTTGAAATCGTTGGTAGCTGAATGTTTGTATTATAATCCTATTTGATATCCATTTAATTGTGAATGGACTGTTCCAATTTTAAACAAAAGCAAGTCCATTACACAGATTAAGCAGGTTAAGGGTTAATAGAGAGTTTACATGATATATACATGTATATAATTATTATTAGTTATGAGGATTTTTGACAGGTTATATGGCCTTTATAAATGGTTGTTAGTTTTATATTGAAAATAAACTTTTATATATATGGCCATACAACCTGTAAGGAATCTATAGCAAATGTATAATACAGCTAATTACCTTTTTTCAGAGAAAAAATGTGATTTCTTCATAAATTAACAGCAACTGTATATTAAAATATATAAAGTTAATGATTATCCAATGAAAAGCAATGTTACAAACAGTGTTATAATATTCATTATGCTGGAAATGTTATATGATAATTGATTATGATATTATCTTGATAATGTATCTTGAATTCCAACAGTAAGAGTTTGTATCCTATTGTAATAGTTATCTTGTTATTTCCATTTCATTCTGTATAAATAATGACATTTAAGACTATAAGATTTATAATACTTTATTGTTTTTTGTTGTTGCTAATTTCAGTCAGTCAGTGCGGAAATTTTTAAGCCTTGCTGCTTTGTCGATAATTGTACGACCCACGGCAGCTGTCATCTGGGTTTTACTTTGTTCCTGGCATTTACAGAATAACAAACACCAACTGTTTAAAACTGTAAAAAGTTATATATTAGTTGGGTATGTACACTTTCACATGTTTTTATCTTTCTGTCCCAGGTTTTTAAATAATATGACCCGCGTTACGACAAAACCAACATAGTGGGTTTGCGACCAGCATGGATCCAGACCAGCCTGCGCATCCGCGCAGTCTGATCAGGATCCATGCTGTTTGCTTACAAACCCTATTTCAAGTAGAGAAACCAACAGCAAACAGCATGGATCCTGATCAGACTGCGCAGATGTTCATCGTATCTAGTATTTGATTTTTCTTGTTTTGTAAAAATGGAATGTTGCATAAAACCCCAGAGAACATGATGATAAATGCACATAAAGTATATAAGATATTCTGTAAAGATCATGTTTGATAGTGATTTAAATATCAATGCACTTCATATGAAAGTCAAGACAGAAATCGTGATCTAGAAAATACAATTACCTCAATTTTCTTTTTATTTTCCTGTGTTGTATAGCTCTTAATTTTTGAACTTCCCTTTACCTTTCATGACAATCAAGATTTAATTGTCAGTGTTATAATTTATGACCTAACATAAGTGCCATTATGTTACGAACAGCCACTATTGTTTGATAGTAATTGTCCACTTCACTTCCATTAAAACCATACTGTATAAAGGGAGTTAATACAGTTTGATTTATTTTTCAGAGTTTGTTCCCTTGGATTGTCTGCTACTATAGATAGAATATTTTATGGTGAATGGACATGCGTGCAATACAACTTTCTAGTATTTAATGTGTTCAGTGGGGGCGGAGCTTTCTATGGGACACACCCCTGGCACTGGTACTTTACTCAGGGATATCCTGTAATCATGGCAACTCATATATTTCCGTTTGTGGTAGGGGCATGGCGGTCAAAGAATAAAGTCCCTTTATTTGTGATAATCTGGACAGTGATTATATACAGGTATAAAAAGATTTATTTTTATTAACTTTTAAACTTTACAAGAAATTTGATAATCCATTTTGCTTGTATTTTAATGTAAATTGATTATGTTGTCACAGATATGAGGGAGCGCAACCAAAGTAGAACCACCAACATTCCCCAACTTAGCTGGATAGCTGCCATACCTTCCTGAAAGAATCCAGAGTCTTAGGCTAAATACAAACACACTGGTTTGAGGGGCAAGAAGTTTGAAGTCAGCGAACTTAACCACCCGGCCATAGGAGCCTGGAATATGTTCCTGAATCAATAACCAAAATTTCATATTTTGTCAAATTCCAATCACCAAATTTTTTTCAAGCAATATCACCAAATGTTCTTGATGCAATGCTCACTGAGCTTATGTTTACAATGTATTAATAATTTTACAGTTTAATTATTTTTGTATAATATTTTCAGTCTTCTGTCGCACAAGGAGTTCCGATTTTTGATGCCAATTCTGCCGCTCTCATTTCACTACTGTGGTATTTATTTTAATTCTCTCTGTCGAAAACCTAAACTGAAAAAACGGCAGATAAAGCAAGCTCGTGCCTCTTTGAAGAACGAAAATACTCGCGGCTCCCAGGAGAGTTTGCTTAGTATTGGAGACGAGAGTGGGAGTACGGGAACCGAAATTTCGTCGGAACAGAGTTTAGCATCAACTGAGACTAGTGGAATTAGCAGTGAAGCTGATACTGTGAAAGACAAAGATAGTGAAAACAGTGCCAACGATAATAATGATAATGCCGATCCAAAAGTAACTGAAGATGTTAAAAAAAGAGATCTGTCGACCAATGAAATTGTCGCAGAAATGGAAAAAAGGCAACGAGAGACACATAAAAATAATTTATCAAAAGCAAAGATATTTGTTTTGATTTTACTTGTGACTAACATTCCAGCAGCAATGTATTTTAGTTTGATTCATCAGCGAGGGACGATACTTGTAATGAAGTATATACATGATGCTAGTCTAGAGAGAAATGTAGACGTGATGTTTCTGATGCCATGTCATTCCACCCCATATTACAGGTAATGTTACATTATAAATATTCCACCCCATATTACAGGTAATGTTACATTATAAATATCCCACCCCATATTACAGGTAATGTTACATTTTAAATATTCCACCCCATATTACAGGTAATGTTACATTATAAATATTCCACCCCATATTACAGGTAATGTTACATTATAAACATTCCACCCCATATTACAGGTAATGCTACATTATAAATATTCCACCCCATATTACAGGTAATGTTACATTATAAATATTCCACCCCATATTACAGGTAATGTTACATTATAAATATTCCACCCCATATTACAGGTAATGTTACATTATAAATATTCCACCCCATATTACAGGTAATGTTACATTATAAATATTCCACCCCATATTACAGGTAATGTTACATCATAAATATACTCCATGGCTGAGAGGTTATGGGTTGCAATCTTTGAATCAGTTACCCATGACCTGACCACCATTTGATAGAATGTTTATGTTTAAATGATGAACTTTCAGTGGGTTTTTTCTCCATTTTTCCAAGCAAAAGTCTGAGTTTCCCTAGTTAAATAATTTTTGAAATTACGTAAGATGTCAAAAGACAGAACTACAGCAAAATTGAGTATTGTTAATAGCAAAATTTGTGGGTAAAAGGGAATTTCTGGTGCTTGCCTGTTTATACCTTGAACGGAGAGTTTTAGTTAAGAATTATTGAAATTATGTCCCTGACCCAAAAATGACCGACCTTCAAGGTCAAGTAAACGATTGTACAAATTCAGGAAATTTCCCTTCAACAGATTTGTTGAAACAGCATTTGGGTTTCACAAACATATTTTGTGTCCGTCTGTAATAAATGTTTAAGTTTAAAGTGAAAATAAATAACAGATTACTTCTGGACATATCAATAAATCTAACTCTTCTTTATTTTACCTTTTTCCAGTTATATACATCGAAATATCAGCATGAACTTTATAACGTGTGAACCGAACTTGGAACGCAAAGAAAACTACACAGACTCAGGAGAAATCTTTTTCAACGATCCTGTAGGCTGGTTAAAGAAGGAGTACGGCATGACCTCGCGACCTTGGCCCTCTCATCTGGTATACTTCAGTCCCCTGCAGAAACAACTTGGACTATATTTAACGCAGAGTGGATATAAAGATTGTGCCAGTTTTTTCCACACTCATTTTCCCGAAGGTCGTGTAGGAACACATGTTATTGTCAGCTGTAGATAGCAATTAATTGTCAAGCTGGAAAACATTTATAGCATTTAGAAATTTATCTCAAAGGGTTTAAGATGTTGTAAAATCTGAGACAGGGAACCAGTGTTGAACTATAGCAAGTGATGTATTAATAATCAAACATACCTATGATAGACCACAGGTATAAAGCTCAATCTACAAGACTGTATTTCCAGTTCTCTCTTTATAACATTTTATTTTGATATAGTTCAAATTTAGATCTCTGAAAAAAGCTGTTTTTATTGTGGTTGTGTTTTTGTTATATTTTTGATATGTTTAATGAATTCCATCTCTGCTAATGATTTATTTTATTAGCTGTAATTTTTGTGATAAGATCATTATCATTTGATAGTTAAAAGTCAATTATTGCATTATTTTTAGCTCTACTTTTCGAAGAATAGCGAAAGCTATCGTACTCTTCAAGGCATCTGTGTAACACTTTGGTTAAGATTTTACATGCAAGTTGGTGTCACCAAAACTACCGTAGGATGTGAGTTGAAACTTCACATTCTAATCTAAGAGCATAATAAGAAGCCAATATATAAGGCCCATAACTCTAACCTGGATTTTGCCAGAATTATGACCCTTTTTGAACTTAGAAAATTCTACAATATCCAGGGTCTTGCTTTACAATCAAACATTGAGAATAGTTAAGACACTGTCCTACCCATAGCTCATGTTGTTGGAATAGAATCGTGCTTTCATTTTATTTATTAAATAAGGGGAAAAAGTCAATCTGCTGTTAATTCGTTCTTGAAATTTTGCACTTAAGAGGTGGCCAGCTTTAGTAAAAAAAAATGATGATATTTTAACACTTTGGGCATTTTTATTTAACAAATTAAAACCTCAAAATAAAGTTTAAATTTCTGTTTTGCATTTCAAAGAAAATATCCTTACATAAATGGACTCCTATGTTATGACTCTTTTAATTTCTGAATCACAATGCTAATGGGCATTGCCCATTGGGCATTTACATTGCCAGTAAAATGGTCTGTCATTGTATATCTTGATTTTTATTTACAGTCAACAATATTTGACTTAAGATAAAAATGTTTATTGAAACAGTCTTCAATTAGTCCTAAAGTTGGTTTTATGTCATCGGACTGAGGATGCACTGAGAACTTTGTATGAAACACAGCCCTGGAATGGCAGCCATTTCAGCATGAGTAACAGTTTTTGTGAAGGATGGACAAACCACTTTTAAATAGGTGATAACACAGTAACAAAGCTAAAATGTGGTCATCCATTATTTGATATTACCCAATGAATAATATATACTTTACACCCCTTGTATTTTTATAATGCACCGGCCATCACGAATATAACCTTCTGAGTAAAGTTCTAACACTGTCAAGTATTTGTTGTAAATTAAATTTATTTATGTACTGTGATAGTAAATGTTTTAATCATAAATTCATATTTTTATCAAAACTGATAGAAAATTTACGAATTATAAATTTGTTATGATCTATTACCTTCAAGATTGTTGTTAAAATTATGAAAATATAATATTGTGTCATAATTTACAAGCTATGAGGATTTACTATTATGTATTCTTTTAATCAAATTTTATGTTTTGTATTGTTAGTAACCTAGTCATGTTAATTGTTTTAATGCTGTCCAAATGATTGCTGTTGAAGCATATATATTGTCACCTTAGTGCAGTAACAGGTTAACTCCTGTTTAATGTAAAATGATCTAACCTGTTACTGCACTAAGGGGACAATATTATGGTTTCAACATCATTCATTCCATACATCATCTTTCTCATAGCACCTTAATTAATTTGACTTATATGTTAAGGTTAATTGGGTCAAAGCTGCAGGTTAATTTGGTCATACCTTCAGCTTAATTGGGTCAAATCTTAAGGTAAATTGGGTCAAGGTCACTGAAGCTGAAAATAGATTTTTCTACTTTTAATGGTACATGGGTAATTAGGTCATCATCTAGCTAAGTATCTTGGAGAATACATGGTACCAATATTCTTGTTTATTATATCGTATTTCATCATAATTTTCTAGAAACATAGATGAAGTACATTGTATACATGTATGAAGAAGTTCCTATGCACAATATAGTCAGCATTAGCTTTCATATATTTGGTGCATGTATTTTGATTTCTTAGGTTTTAGTTTAAACTTGATAATGTTATTCCTCATCATCTCTTATATATGACAAGGTCCAAGCTCTGGCACCTGTATCTCTGTAATTAACCTTATCACCACACCCCTTATCACCACACCACCACACCCCCACATTAAAATTTCATAATACACAGGTTTTTTTACATTTGTATTATTTTTCATTACTTCCTGGATTCATTCTGACTTAAAATAGTTGGCATTTTCATTACTTATCATAACCCACTTCATGTATAACCTTTGATCTATTCAGAAAAAAAACCTGTAGAATTTTGTATTCTATATACATTGTATTCTTATCATTGAATTTTTTAAATGGTTTCACTCTCAACTCAAAACTGTATATTATATTATTAGATTATTTTCGGATATGTCAAATATATTATTGATCCATTTATAGTTAGGTATCACAGTGTCAAATAAATATTACTTAAGTGGGTAGCAAAAAAACCCCTGGCCCTGTGTTCACAAAGAAAATTTCAAGATCAAGATCAAATGATCCTGATTTTATTTCTTATGTTTACTAAAACTAAAACTGATCGTATTATGCTAGAATTAAATGGTACATATAATTGCTTATTTGCAAAGAAACCAACCTATATTGGGATAAAGTCAACAAATAATGAAACAAATACAAAAATAATTGGATCAAAATGAGGATCAATTTTAGGATCAATCAACTTTAAAATGCCTGTTTCTTGTAAAAATAATGAATTTATTTTAAAATTTCATTAACAGTCTATTTCAGGTCCAGTTTTATCAAGTAAATATTGAATTTTTAATCTATGAGGATAAATAATGGAGAATATTTGAGTTTTTAAATTTGATCTTGATCCTTAAATCTTTGTGAACACGCAGCCTGCTATACAGTATTAAGTATTTTAAAGTTTTTATCTTAATTATTAACTTGAGGTCATTTATAATGGGCCAAAGCTGTAAAGTGGTAGCACAGACATGTTATATTCCTACATATAGCAAGTTATAATTATCAGTGTATAATTATAGGTCAGTTAAGAGTGTATATAGATCAGTATTAGACAAACAACAACAACGATTATACATCAACCATCCATATAACCTTGTTGTTATATAGAATATTGTGAATTTGGTGTTACCTTGTTATCTGTGAACATTTTTGTCAGTTTTCCAGCTTATATCTCAACATACCTTCTTTATTTTTATGAAACTTTATAGAAATTATCAATATCAGGGCCTGGCACATAAGTAACATACAATTCATCTGAGTAAGAGTTATTGCCCTTCACAAAACTTAGTCAATGCATTTATGCTCTTGGGCATTAGAAAAAATAAATAGAATTTTATTTTTCACAATTTTCAGTGTTTAATTGATATTAGTTACTATTAGTATCTATCAAATATTATATGAGCTGAATTTAGATTTGTTTTCAATTATTTAGTGAGTATTGTTAGAATTTTAAAATTGCGTAGAAAAAAAATTCACTAATTATTCCGTCCATATTTATGACTTATGTGTCTTAACGAGTCTTGCACTGTTTTGGTAGCAGAGTTAAATCACTTTCTGTTAATTAAATTTTATTTTTGTTGAGTAGTTTTAAAGCATGATGGCCTTCTTGCTAAATTCACCAATCATAATACAACCACTTTAAACATAAATATAGCTTATTATGTTTATTTTCATCAAAGATGTTTATTGTGTCGTTATTATAGCTTTGCTTATATTCTTATTATGTTTACACTCTCTGTGTAATGTCAACAGTGTAGGAAAAATAATATGCTAAAATTTCTGTGTAATGTTGACAGTGTAAGATATAATATTTTAACATTTATGTCAAACAAGATATTTATTTATTGCACATTTTGGTAATAAAACAATAATAAAACACAATGCTGTTTTCAGTGGTATTTATTTCAAAATAAACTCGCAAAATGAATACAATCTGTATATATAATAACGCTTGAAATTATTTACACTATATATAAATATACTATGCAAGATTTACATGGCAAGACTTTTCTTATGTACAAATAATAACCCTTAACAATCGCTGGAACCAAAAAATGACAACCCTGTACCACAAGTATAGAGCAACCCCAGTCCTCACATCCATGCAGTCTCACTATTTCCTATACTGTTGGTATAAAACTCAATTTACATAATTATCCTGATGGTGAAATCCCTTTATGTTTGAATGAACTGTTCCAAACTCAATCCGGGCATGTTCATTACAAAGGTTCAGCAAGTTTAAGGTTGAAACAAATATATACAGAACAACACAAGACCAGCTTGATATTTTACAAAAGAAACAACTTTAATTTGTCTCCAAATTTTTGTACCCATTCATTCTATAAAAGAATTGCTGTATCTTCACAAATATTGTATGGAAAATTAATTGTGAATAATCAAAATGATGGAAAGCTCTTTCACCATGGTTTTATCATGACAATATGGTTTATCATGACCATATGGTTTATCAAGACAACATGGTTTATCATGACAATTAACATGGTTTATCATGACAACTTGGTTTATCATGACAACATGGTTTTATCATGGCAACATGGTTTTATCATGACAACATGGTTTTATCATGACAACATGGTTTATCATGACAACATGGTTTTATCATGACAACATGGTTTATCATGACAACATGGTTTATCATGACAACATGGTCATTAAATAACTTCATTCATAACTGATGAAAAATCAAATCTTGCCAAAGAATGATGATTAAAATGCGCTGACATTATGTTCAGTTTCTTTTTCCGTTTTGGGAACTGCAGACGACATCACAACATAATCATGATCACGTGATATCAGGTTGTGTAGAAGGGTACACTATGCAGTCTCTATGTAGGATTTTGTTGATATATGTATGCATATGTGTTTACAATCATTATTCCCCTTCCATGTTTGTGTAGCCCATTTCATCGTCAATATTGATGTAAATCTAAAAATGCAAAAAATTAACAACTTATTTTTATGAGGAGCATATCACAAACATATATACAGTCACTAGGCGAAACTACCCAGAGGATAAAATATAACATATATAAAACCTTTTATTAGAAAATTTGCGAAAGAAACAGGAAAAAGTGTTAAAAAATTAAACAAATAAACTCTTCAAAAGGATTTAAAGAATAACAAACTACACAATATAGGATTTAAAGAGAAACAAACTACACAAAAGGATTACAAAAGTAACAAAACTACACAAAAGGATTAGAAAATTAACAAAGTACACAAAATGATTTAAAAAGGTAACAAACTACACAAAAGGATTAAAAAAGTGACAAAGTACACAAAAGGATTTGAAAAGAAACAAACTGCACAAGAAACAAACTACTCAAAAGGATTAAAAAAGTAACAAACTACACAAAAGGATTTAAAACATAACAATGCCAAAGTTAATTTAAGGTGAAATTAAGTTACCTGAGTATCATCTACCAAACATTGTAATCTTGATTGTAGATCACTAAATTCTGGTCGTGCATCTGGTTCTTCTTGCCAACATTGTAACATCATAGTGTATCTGTAATAAATATTGTAAAAGTCATAGTGTATCTGCAATAATAATTGTAACATCATATTGTATCTGTAATAAATATTGTAACATCACAGTGTATCTGTAATAAATGATGTAACATCATAGTGTATCTGTAATAAATAATGTAACATCATAGTGTATCTGTAATAATAATGTAACTTCATAGTGTATCTGTAATATATGATGTAACAAAAATGTGTAACTGTATGCTGTTAATGTGAAACTGTAAACTGTACTAATATAAAAAAAAACAACGTGTGACTGTAAAATATGAAAAAATGTTAATTAATGTACATGTAATTGAAAATTGTAGGATGTAAGTATTAACTGTAGAGAAAAGGCGTTTTGACGTGGCACTTTAAACAGTAGGAAAATGTAGTTTAATGTGAAAGTGTAATTTATTGTGGAAAAAGTGTCTTAACGCAGAATGTAAACTGTAGTAAAATATAACTTGATGTGCAAGTGTGAATTGTAAAAAAGAAAGTTTCAAGCTAATACTTCTAAAATATTTATTTCGCTTATTTAAGCTAGTTCTTTAATATTTGAGAAGTTTTAGGATTTAAACTTACAGTGCCATGTCTGAATGCCGTGGCCGACACAGTCTGTATCCTTGTTTTAGGAGAGCACAGAACTGTTGAGTGTCCATACCATGGTATGGCGTGCCTCCAAATGTTGTTATCTCCCACAATAATACACCAAATGACCAACTGAAGAGAAAACAAAGTTATGTGGAATAAAGAATGTGTCAGAAAGATCTAGAATAGTTAACTTGACAATAAAATTGCATAAAAATGTGTAGTTTCTAGCTGCATAAGAGATTATTTCAGGTTTTGATTTTTACCGGGACATAAATCATCCCCGTTACGCCACCGGGACATTAATGATCTCCGGGACGCCACCGGGACAGTCACCTATTGTGTGGGACAGTCCCGGACGTCCGGGACGTTATGGCATGTATGCGTCTATGCCTATTAGTTATAGGTGAAGTCAAAAGATGGAGAAATATCAAAAAGTGGTAACTATGCCAATAAGTAAAGTGGAAAATGATGTCCAAAATGTTATAAAGATGAAAAATATGCCGTAAAATAAAATATGTCACAAAGGTTTTAGCTACATATTTGTCATAAATTTGTAAACTATTGGTCAGAACATGTTAGATTTAACTAGGAATTCACATAAATTACCTCAAAGGCATGCAGTCATATACTATCAAATATCTCCGAATAAGACCAGAATAATTCCTAAGAGTCATAATAATATTTTATCATTATAGTGCAAGTAATGACCTTTTAAAATGGCACCACCTATTGACAAAGTACATCAAAGACTGGTGTCTTTGTAATACAGGTGTGACAGTACTGCATTAATGACAGTATAGTAATAAAAAAAAATTGATCAAGACACCAATTATGCATTTTATGACAATGGATGTGAATTCAGCAAGAAATACTACTCTGTTCTATTAGTTTATATAATTATGGTAAAAATGATAGGGTTTTAAAATATTCACTTTATTCATAAATGTAAATGATAAAGAATTATTTATACATACACGTCACTTTGAATGGTGTATCTGTTACTGTAAATAGATTCCAGAGCTAACCAACGAACCGGAACTTTTGACTGAAAAAAAGAAACAAGAACGATGATAAGATATTCATATACATGTACCACTTAGCTTCCTTAATTAATAATGATGTGAAGAAGTTAGTTGATAATTTTTTACAAACATCTAACACATTGTCTTCATCAGCATATATATAATAAGACCATTCTATTAGAGGCATATTATGCGACAGAAATGTATAAATATACTTGAAAAGGGATAAACATATGTTTAATAGTAATAATGCTTGAATAATGTTTACATATTTTATGCTAATAACTGGAAAATAAATAGCACTGAATGTGAAGTATATGCTAAATGTAAACAAAATGGCATTTTTACTACCATTCAAAACAGTAAGCCACTGTAACAGCATACAGTAATTGCCAAACAGCAGAGAAAGCAATAGATGGTTCAGTTATATGGCAATTGTGATTTTTCAGAAATTGTAACAGGACATCTTAATTCAAAAGCTTTTGTTAAATGAAAATAATAGCATTTTCTGGCACAATAGGCCTTCAACTTGAAATAATAGTCTTTTCCCGGCACAACGGGCCTTAAACTTGAAATAATAACCTTTTCCGGCACAATGTTCCTTTAACTTGAAATAATAGCCTTTTCCGTCACAATGGACCTTTAACTTAATGTTCATATTTTAAGAACCATTGAGCCATTGACTCATACTTGCAATATCTTTTCGCAAACTTGATATTATTTTCTTTAGTTCCTTTTCCAATTAAAACAGGGTCAATAAGTCATTTTTTCTTCTTCCTGTATTGGTAAACCTATATCTTTTTTATGTGCCTTTTATCATTGAATCAGCCTGTCTCCATATTCATTTCATTTCTATTTAAATTTAAGTGTTATACTTACAATTACACATTTAAAAACAAAATCTATTTTTAATCTTTTGAAGACGCGCAGCTTTGAAGAAAAATAATGTGTACCCATAGTTAGAACAAAGCAATAGACTAAATGAGGAGTTTATAAGTTTCATGACAGTGTATCATGTAAAGATAAGACTGCCTGTCTGATGTCAATGACCTCAACTGTTGTTATAATTAAAGCTATCCTTTATTTTACAATGGCTTATTTCCTTCAACTTATTCTTCAATTTACCACACAACTTATGCGTGATAGAGTTCCCGACCTTTGTGCTCAAGAACTTGACTTACCCTTGATGTTTTAACATAAGTATCATCATTTTTCGAAAGTCCAAAATCGGCTACTTTAGCCACGAAATTGTCATCCAATAAAACATTCCTGGCAGCGAGATCTCGATGAATTATCTAGAATAGTAAAAGATAGGGGGATCAAATGGGGTTAATTGCTGCTCACCCTGATTGTCTAGGTGTTATATGTATGTCAAGCTGTATCAAATTATAGCCATACATTGTTTAGCGATAGACCTTAGATAATTAATATTTCAAAATAGAAACGACAATTTTCACACTATAACTATGAATTAAAACGAACATTCGAATACTCAAAATGCTTTCGAATGCTCGTTTACATCCCTACTTGATAAGACATTTGTTCAGAAATACATTCTGCATTAGTTTAAAAAGAATGTTCAGCAGTCAAAGTTTTTCTAAGGAACTTAATCAAGTCAAGAAATAGCTAGGTAGTTATAATAGTAAGCAATCTTACATATTTCACTCACAGACACTTGGGGTTTGGAGCTCAAAACGCCTTTAAAATCCAAATAAAATGCATATTTGTCAATCCCAGGACATGTACTGATCATATATATCAAAAAAACTTAATATAAGCCGTTTTGAAAAAAAATCATATTTCAACAACTATATTATTATAGATGTTGAAATATGATTTTTTTTCAAAACGGCTTATATTAATTTTTTTTCATATATATGATCAGTACATGTGCTGGGATTGACAAATATGCATTTTATTTGGATTTAAAAGGCGTTTTGAGCTCCAAACCCCAAGTGTATTATTATAGATGTTGAAATATGAAATTTTTTCAAAACGGCTTATATTAAGTTTTTTTGATATATATGATCAGTACATGTGCTGGGATTGACAAATATGCATTTTATTTGGATTTTAAAAGCGTTTTGAGCTCCAAACCCCCAAGTGTCTGTGATTTCACTGTACCGAAACGCGGTTTTGTACGGTGTCCCTTTATTGCCATTGTAAGATGTCCCGATTGGGACACCGTAGTTTTAACATCAGTCACGTGGTGAACTTTGTAACGGCCGAAAACCCGAAAACTAGCACTGTGTTTCGGTGCTATTATATATAGTGAATATGATTTTGTTCAAAGTTTATTTTTGTTGTTTCTTTTAATATCTTAGACTGAATATATATGAGCCGCGTCACGACAAAACCAACATAATGGGTTTGCGACCAGCATGGATCCAGACCAGCCTGCGCATCCGCGCAGTCTGATCATGATCCATGCTGTTCGCTAACCACTCTATTACAAGTAGAGAAACTGATAGCGAACAGCATGGATCCTGATCAGAATGCGCGGATGCGCAGTCTGATCTGGATCCATGCTGGTCGCAAACCCATTATGTTGGTTTTGTCGTGACACGGCTCGTATTTTACTTTAAAATCCAAGAACACACGCACCTGTCGATCAGCTAAATGTGACATTCCGCTTGCGACATCTAAGGCAAACTTCAGCATAGCTGAGTAAGAAAGGGGATCTGAGTTCTGAACGTTCGAGTATAACTTGGGTTTCCTCTTCCGGTGGTTTCTAAGATGAGTTCTTAAATCGCCATGATAACAGTACTCCATAGCAACATACAAAGTTCCTATTACAGAAAAATATTATAATAAATATTTTACACTACTATATAATACATAACGAATTGACTTGTTTCAGTTTAAAAAGCTTCTTATTTTTTAATTACCAATCACACAATTATATTGGAATAGGAAGGCCTTGTTTGCTATGTGGACATAGCAAACAATGCATTCATTGCGTGTATGATTTTTGGTTAGTCTTTTCCCTTCCACGACGAAGAAAGAAACCGACTTATCAGTTTAGCTTGCGGGAATAAAAAACTGAAAATTTGAATTTTAGTCCATGGAAATATTTTGATTGTTCACCATATAGAAGGCTATGTCTTACCAAGCGACATATCTTTAATTAAAATTAAGTGATTTACCTCCAATATTGCACGAGCCCACCAGACAGACTACATTTGGATGAGATCCGACTTTCTTCAAAATGGAGAGTTCATTCATAAAATCTGTCTTGTCTTTTTCGGACGAATTGACTGGAAAATAAATCATGCATGTATAATTATGTTTTTTTTTAGTAAATTGCTATGTTGTTACAGTACGTATGAACTTTAAATATGGTCACGTGATCATCATTGAACTACTTGTATCAAACATGATGGAAGGAAATGATTCATATTTCTGTTTTTTTAAAAGGATGCGGTTTCAGATCATTTGGCAATGTCTTAAAAATATAATCAAATAAATAAAAATAGAAACATAATAATTAAAGTATAATCGCATTTTATTTGGAATATAGATAAAGACAAATGTGCTTTTTTGTTCTATATGGGCAATATACTATAATATACAGACACAGGCCGATTATGTAAAATATTTGATTATGTGATTAGCGCCTGTGGATATAGACAATCAGACTAAATAGTTCTTTTTAAATGTCTAAATAAATATTTAGAAATAACACTCTTGGTAGTACACGTGTGCATAAATTTGACAAAAGTGAACATTTTTAGGTATGTTTGTTGTGGACAATCGCTTAAGTTTCGCAATGTGTTTGCTCCTACGAAAGAACATTTTCTTAACTGTCACTTGTTGATTTATTAATAAATAAACATTTAGTGAAATAAACACACCTTTTAATGATTTAACAGCTACTGGTACATTATGACTCCGCATATTCTTTATGTAACCTTTTCGCACTTGTCCGAACTGACCTTGACCCAGTTTGTCAGAGGTCAAAACGAGGTTAGCTTTTGTGATTTCCCAGGGACCACACTGAACTTGTTCGTATAAATGAGGTTCCGCATCGTCGTTACTTCGCACCTGAATATGGAAAATTTAATTAACTCACTCTTTTCATAAGAAAAGTTCCCTTCTCCCAAAACTGTCAAGAGTGGATAAGTCTGTCGTGCATTTTTGCAAAATTATGACCCCTTGTCTACTCCGTACGTACAGCGCTGAGGAAAGTTGGGCGTGATTAAGTTGAATTTTTATCCATAATAGTACATAGTAAATACAAATTAACATAATTATATATCTTTAGCATACTGATTCTGTAATACTTGAACATGGTTTAGTCGAAAGTTATGCCAGCGTTTCTATTTCACGGAAAGTGTCGGAATATACCGCATTTTCGTGATTATTAGTATTAATTTATTCTTAGGAAAAACTTTAAGTACATATACAGTTAAGCATGCATGTCAGTGAGTGCAGAAATGGCATAAAAACAATCAAAACCAAGATATTTGCTGGTCGCCACAATTCACAAATATTCTGCTTCCGGTTTTGACTCAAAAGTACATGTGTGTGGTTTATTAACTTAATTGGGCAAGCTTGTATATGCAGAACTTTAGAGCGATTTTAGTAACGTAACCATAATTAAAGAAAACATAAGTCATTCTTAGTAATCCTATACATGAGTCATTTATAAAACCAAAATTTGGATGCAAGGGTGGGAAAATTGTTTGTAACTTAAAACAGTTCAAAACCTTTCCGATCAAGCACTTAAGCGAGGATAAAATTACAAGATTGGACGAAAGTTGTAGTTGAAATATGGTTGAAAATAAAGTACTCCATAAATTATCCACTATAATATCTACCAGAAAGTTAATGAATTACTCATTGTTTGTTCAGTAAATTAAAGGCCCATCTTGCCTCAGACATGCTATTTTATTATTTCTCCTTTCTGGCATCTTGTTACAATTTCCAAAAGATACTGATTAGCCATCTCCTGCTTCTTTTGCTCAGTCGGCAATTGGTATAATATTATAGTGTATCAGTATTTTGTATGAAAGTCAAAATATTACATTGTGCTTTGTTTACATGACGCATGTGCTTTACTGCACGTTCAGCGCTTCTTTCTTCAGTCATGTTCTTAAACCATTATTAAAACATTATTCAACACATATGTTTGGCACTTCTTATGGATTAAAAATATGAATTTGTTTGGCATTATGTGCCTTTTAATTAAAGCTTTTTGTAAAGAAATAAAATGACTCTTTTGAGACTATCGTAGTAAGTATGGGGTACAGAAAGAGCCAATACAAAGCAACGTACCGAGGAGAGACGCGTCAGTTGTGACGAAATGTCTCCATGACGCGGTCGTATACACAGGAAGTAGATAACCGTTGCTGACAGAGCTATAAATAGTAACACTATGACAACGGCCAATAGGGAAACTGTTGACGGTTTCTTGATCCCCAATGCATCAGTTTCTGCGACATCCGTGACCCCGACATCATCTAAATGATAACAAATGATTAAAAATAATCATCATATACAGAGCTACTTGAGATACATTCTGGCGTCAACATGCTGAAAAAGTAACATATATTTTTAATAAAACAGTATCTATATTTATACATATTTATTTTATATGAAAGACATGTTGTTCTCATTGCCAACGTTTATCCCCCTGCGACATATTCAAACTTAAACAATAAATATGGAAATGTCGAAAAACACTCTTTATTAAATGAAAGTGCACGTGCTACTTTAGCAAACATACCAATTGGTTTCTTTTGTGTGCAGTATTTTCCGTCCCAGCCTGGCTTACAGCCATTCTCACATATCCCGGTACTGCTATTACACGGTAACTCATCTCTACATTTACCACATGTCATGCCACAACTCGCTCCATGCCGACCGCTCTCACAAGCTGAAATAAGTATGTTTTTAATTTTTAAGTCGGATAATACAATATCTGAGGTAAGTAAATAAGAATTACAATCTAATCTTAATGCATAGCAATTCGCCTTTATACACATTTCTGTTTCTAAAAAGCATTAAAATTCCTGCATTAAGACAATAATTTAACGCGCGAAACTTACGTTGATGGCACGTGATTCCCTTCCATCCTGCTGTACATCCTTTTGTACAGATACCCGTTGCTCTGTCGCACATATTGTGGATACATTTACCGCAGTCAGCGATACAGTCTTCGCCGTATTTACCCGGGCCGCATGCTGGATAAAATAAACCATACATAATGATACACGTATCCATAATAATCGAAGATTGTTGGAAAGGGCCGAAAACACATCATAATCACACCAGGGTAAAATTGTTTGATCATCAGTGCCATTGCCATAGTCGTTACCATTATCACCATAATCAATAATATAAACATCAGCATCTTCATTATCATCATCGAGATCATCATCCTTATCACCATCATCATCATCATCATCATCATCTCATCATCATTATCATTATCATCATCATTGACATCAACATCTTCATCATCGACATCAACATCGAAATCATTCTCACTTTTATTATTATTATCATCATCATCGTCATCATCATTACAGCAAAAATCATGATCACAAAGTATAGATTGAACAGTCGTCATCGTGATCAATTCTGTTCGATCTTTATCTCTTATAGTCTTTATCACCGTTGTTATTTTATTTTTCAAATCTCATCCGAATCAGCATAAATTTCCGGTCTTTCTTTCTCATTGCGCATTGAAGCCCTTTAGAAGGAAAAAGATTTAAAAAAGAAAAAAGAAAAAATACATAAACAATCACGTCAATTTAGAATTCAAAATTACTATCATCGCCTACCGGTTCTACATAGTCGTCCCATCCATCCGGCTTTACATCCAGATTCACATACTCCGGTGACCTGGTCGCAGGTCTCGGACTTACAGTGGCCACAGTGAAAGTCACATTCCTCACCGTACCAACCTTGACTACAAGCTGAAATAGTAGTTGATCGAATGAAAAAGCGAGTAAGTAAGTTAATAAGAATACGAGTGAGTGAGCGTGTGAGTGAGTGAGTAAGCGAGTGAGTGAGTGAGTGAGTGAGTGAGTGAGTTAATAAGAATACGAGTGAGTGAGCGTGTGAGTGAGTGAGTGAGTGAGTGAGCGTGTGAGTGAGTGAGTGAGTGAGTTGGTGAGCGAGCGTGTGAGTGAGTGAAATGTACCAGTGAGTGAGTGAGTGAATGAGTGTGCCAGTCAGTGAGAGAGTATGCCAGTGAGTGAGTGATTGAGCGAGTGAACGCGTAAGTGACTGTGTAAATTGATAAGATAAGTTTGTTGACAAACTGAATAAAGAAATTCATCAAAATCTTGGAGAAAATGCTTTATTTCGTTCCAACGCTATTGTGTTTATAAGCGGTAGAGATTTGAAATATGTTTGCTCTATTTATATTATATTATACATATTTACTCATAATTCATGGGAAACGTTTAACTGGTTTTATTTCACACACACAGATTGATTCATTAGCAAAAACAGTTTCATCGCGAGAATAAAACAAAATCACACCAAAATTAAAAGCTGCAAATAAAGTAACGAAGTTCAACCCGTATCTTAGAGAACTTTCCAAGAATACGTTTTGATTGTAGACAAAAAACATATTTATGGGCGGTTATTCTAATGAAGTTTTAATGTTATACCGTGTTTTCTCCTTAACTTTAAAGTTAACCTAAAAATAAAACATAATCTTTATATCTGCTATGATTTAATGTTATAACATTCACTGTTTGAAATATTTTAATTCATCTGAAACAATGTACGGTATTTTACATAACCATTTACTAAATCATTTTCTACGTTATTGGTAAATTTTCCCAGGTTTTGTAAATGTTTTGATTTCAATACAAATTCTAACCTTAAAGTAAAATTTAATAAATAAATAAAATAAAAAAAAATAATATTTTTTTGCATTCGAAAAACTTTGATTTATTAATTTAAGCATAATAGTATCTTAATAATTTTTGTAATAGAGATGTTTTATAGCACACACACTTTTATAGCTGTCTGTATTCTTCGTATAGAATCAAGATAAAAGAAAAAGTGGGCAATCAGATTTATTATGAAAGCCGTATTCGGGTAACAGAGACAGAAAGTTACATACGGGCAATCAAGAAAGACAATAAAAACATGTTCAATGAAGGGACAGAGTCAAGCCATCCTTATAGAATTTCCTCCAAATTAAGATCTTAAAATATTGCAGTAAATGCAATTTTAAAAAGTTTGAAATTCTGCCCATTTTAATTCTTCATACATTTCAACAATGATAACTCCACGCTTCCAAACTGATATGGTAAATTCCTACATTTTTATAATGCGCAACATCCGGTTAATACTCACCGATATTACATTTATCTCCTGTCCAGCCAGGTGCGCAGCCTCGCGTGCATTCTCCAGTCACGTGATTGCACGGCATATTATTCGCACAATTCCCACATTTCCCTGTACAGTCTAGACCGAATGTCATATTGGTGCAAACTGGTTTTATAAAGGTAAAATGATAACGGTTGTTACAACATTAATTCAAAAATCTGATAAAATTATATCAAATACTTATTCATTCTGAAAATGAGAAGAAAAATGAATTCAAAGGTTATTTCCCAGGATCCATGTAATATAAACATCAAAGCAATTGACTTTGAAATAAATAAATACATAAATCAAAATTTTAAAAAACGTAATATTTGCTTAGAGATGCTAATAATTACTAAATTTATTCATTAATTCTTCAGAATGTTACAGAAACTATTAAACCGTGTTGTTTTTCTGACTTAAACATTTCTCAAACGTATTAAATTGTAATGCATGCTTTCTTTTCATTAAATGTCAGTCGATTTTATTTTCCTTTCAGAATTATAATTTAAGAAACAAATCTACAAAAATAATCAAGATCACTTCCATATTTGTTAAGAAAATGTTTGGTTAAGTTTTTTTTTCATCAATAATTTCAGCACTATAATAAATAAGCATTTTTTCGTCTTTTACAATCGATTTTTTTTCTTTAAATTTTATTTTTAAGAGTTGTCTACCTTGATCACATTTCTCTCCCTTCCAGCCGAGAGCACAGCCATTAATACAAAACCCTGTGACTATATTACACGGCTTATTGTTACGACAATGTTGGCAGCTACTCTCGCACGCGTTTCCATAGAAATAGGGGTCACAACCTGTAAATAGTATCAACATTTCAATAAATCTGATAGAGGCAAAACTAATACCTCACCAACGTTGTGGGTTAGAATCCCGTTGAGGGACTTTTGAAAGTTCAAGAAAGCTATCCGGCTTGCATACGGAACGTTTCAATTAAAATTGTATAGCACATTTTTTCATGCAAAAAAAGCCGATGTGCAGTTAACATTTGTCTTACTAGTTAAACATTGAAAATCAAAACATGATTGTAATATTCAACATGTATGTATGAGAATCTGTAATCAATTACACAATAAAGTTATCAGGAAAAATATAAATAATAAAAGGTTTCTGTTTTTTGGGAAATTATTCGGCACAGAAAAAAAACTCGGTAAAAAGTAACACCTGTAATTATATTGTCAATCTTTCTATTTGTGTTAGATATATTACAGCTTGGTTATATCTTAGCTGAACGGTAACACACATTATGTAGTCTCTGCCAAGATTGTACTTGGTTACGAAACCAATTAACCCGCACTGTACAACACCAATGGAATCAAAGCAAATCATGTTGTCTCAGAATAAATATTTAACTCCAGTCTTTCTGTACAATATAGGGACAAAAATATGTCCGTGTAAGGACAATCTTCGATTAAGAAAATTATAACTTGAAGCTCAAAGTTTAATAAAAGTGCAAAATTCGTGATGATCTTTTGCGTTGCAATTTTTTTTTCGTGCGTAATATTACTCTTTGACGATGTCATCATGAAACAAGCCTCTTTAGGGATGAATTCGATCGAAATAATACATTGGGTAAAAAAAGGATCAAATTTAGGATCAGGATCAATATTTGGATCAACTGTAACATGCCTATGCATGTTATATGCATGTCTTGTTAAATAACAATAAATCTATTTTAAAATTTCAAAATCATGTCTTTTACGTCCAGCTCTCTGAAGTTAATATGAGATATTAATTCAATAAGGATAAACAATGGAGAACATGTTTCTAAATTTGATCCTGATCTTGATCCTTATCCTTAAATCTTAGTGAACACGGGGGCCTGAACTTACCTTGGTCACAAGAAGGTCCTAAAAACCCGGGTACACAGTTACCGGGACACTCGCCAGTGACCGGATCACACACTTCATCATTCTCACAGTGACCGCATGATTTCTGACAGTTCATACCATATTGATAATCCGGGCAACCTGGTTTTTCAAGGGAAAACAATTAAAATTTATCAAAACTTGTTCAAGCAGTTCTCCATAACTTGTAAGACATTTATATAAAACGACACATTAAATGAAAGTGATGGAAAAGAAATATGACAACATATTTATGCATATCTTGTCATTTTTCTCTTCACTTTTCATCTCAGGAAACTTCTGTGTTATAAAAATATATTTTATATTTAATACATCAAAGCTGCAGAGTAATCGGTTGTTTCCCTCCGTTGTCCGGAGAAAAAGTTCTAGTGCCAAAATAAATGCAAATAACCATGTTGTATAAAAGGTTTTAATTAATTTTATCAACAAAACAAGTTCTTATTTCCCTTTACGATAAACTCCCTTTAGATCTAGATTTCAGAAGGGATTCATTTTAATTGAACAACACTTCCATCAAAGAAAATAAGATGGTGGCCTATTCTGGTAGGCATTTCGCTTGTCGTGTTGTAAAAAAGATTGATTTACTCTTACGAGTACATTTGCTTTCCCATTTCCCCCTTTTTAAATGATTGGCGATTACGCGTTTATAAATTACTTAATTACAATTAAGTCACAATGTAAGGCAAAGATAAAATTCAAATCTTAAATGGTATATGTCTTAAATCTGGGTTAAATGTTATTATTCTAAAGTTTGGGCGGACAGAGCTCATCAAGGTTCATGTATCTATGAAATCCGGGCCTGTAGGTTGGACGGGTTTTCTTATGGTCCCCAAACTATAGATCCGAGAAAAAGGTACAAAAACAACAACTTTCAGTGGTTTTCTCAAAATGTGTATCACGTGACTTCTGCGATAATTAAGCTATTCTCTCAACCTCCCACGTTGCTATGTAAACAAAGTATAAGTATACAGATAAGATTGTAATAATTTTGTAATCTCAACTATCGAAAATATTTACTTATATAAAAGTTAAGAAATTTTCCAAACAAATGGTCAGCGCCGTTCAGGTTACACCCAGTATGTGGGAATGTAAACAATGTTTAACTCTGGAAATATTTTTATGAAATAATTACAAATTCTGGATCATTAACGATGTTTCTTAGAAAAGCTATATACCCTTGAAAATGAACCCATTTGTCCATTTCATAACTCTCATCGTTTTATTGACCCATCGAATAAGACTGGATTAGTCTGAGAATATTTCCAGACAAAGTTGACCGAATTTACACGAGGTTTTAACGGATGGGCTGTTCTAGAGCAAACTTCTTAAATATTGTCGGTGGTTTATATAGACGGTTTATTCCTAACGTTGTTCGGCCATCATGAGGACCATGGTTGGGTGTTTTATACGCTAAGATATGTATGTTGCTTGCACATTGCAGATCTTTTTATCTATAACCGTGACCATTAAAATGTATTACGTAACTTACGTTCATCACATTTGGAACCGGTCCATCCAGCAATGCATCCACTTAAGCACGTGCCGTCGTTGACGTCACATTCTGCTCGACAATGAGGACTGCATTTGTGGCAATTGTTCCCACATTCGGCTGTAATACAAAAAATTATAATGATATCCTGTCGATTTTCAAATTATTTGGAAGAAAAGAAATGCGTATATTATATAAAAATATTTATCCATAAAATGATTAAGAAATCAGGGATGGGGAATATCTGTTACATATTGACTGACGTTTGTTTATATTTTTCTTTGATTCCGAAATATTAGTCATAAAATGTAATAACTTATAGGAAATGCCGCCACATCAAAAGGTTGACCATTCCCAAATATTATCGAATAAAACAAACGGCAGGTTTGAAACATTAAAAGAAATAAATGAGAGATTTCTTTGAAGCTGACATTCAATCAGACAAGTAAAAAGACAATTAAGATTCTTATCCAGTCCTCCGCTTGTGAAATAGAAAATAAAAAAGTACGAATGAAGAGGAGTTTTCGCGATGACAGACGCAGACGACACTGTCTAACAGGTGCGCGTGTAATTCTCACGCCCAGTTATTCCACCAGACAAGTAAATTGGAATTTTTCTCCAAAAGTAATATAAAGCGAACGATGTTGATTATCAACAAAGTTCTAGACATATAATTAGCTTATCTAAAAGTTTCGCAAAACAATACAATCCATGTTACCTTATTTCACTGGGAAAAACCTCCGCGTAAAACAACTAAAATGATGAAGTGATACCATGATAGGCCGCGGCAATCAGAGGGAAAACTCACTAACACTGTTATCTATGACGACAGAATATTTTGCACAAAGATAACAATGTTTTCGAAGAAAAAATTCTCTGGTATTTTTCAATACTAAACAGGTATTTTAGCACGATTCCATCTCTTTTGTAGTTTACTTTTTTTCTCTCATTAAAAATTCTATACAGAAAGTTGTTGAAAACATATATCATTACAGAATAGGTAAAAGTTGAAAGATCTGTAAGAGGTTGGTTTAGTAAGAATTATTTTAAAAAAAAACTTTAGCCAGTAATTTCTTTGCTATTTTGCAATTTTCTTTGAATTTTAAAAAGAAAAAAAAATAACGCGGTAAACGTTTTAAAAACAGAAAATTTTACAAACCTATTAAAAAATTCACTTTATTAATTCATTCTAATAAAAAGTCATAAATACCAAAAGGTTTGGAGATAAAACTCGGAGTTTTTACAGTTTTATTAATTTATTAATAAATTAATTATTTAGGAAAAACGTTCATTTTCCGACTCTATTTTATGCAAATATCAAACTAACAACCTTTTTCAAAGAAAAACGAAACAAATTGATTGTACATTTTAAATGGTCGTATTTCAAATATTTTGTATTTAATTTATTTACTTTCTCAAAAATATAATTCTGAAAGCAAATGCACATAAGTAATGTGCAAATCTCTCTGAAATTCAATTTTTGTTCATCATATAAAACGCGGGGAAAAAACAACCACTTAATGTGTTGATAAATTGACTGAGTTTAAATAGGCACCCATTGAATTTAATGGCTGTTTCGAGTTAAACTTACATTATTACACATTGCACAAATAAAACAGTTTTATTATAGATGTAATTAACAGTCTGTAGCGTTCCAGGCAGTAAAGTGCGTATGTTTTCTCAAGAATAATTATTAATTAGAAATTCATTTAAATTTAGAGCAAATATTGTCAAAGTAATTTAACTTGCGCAAAACCTAACGTGTGTATAAAGAGCTACAAGTGCATAATATTCTAAAGTTTCATTTCCCGCCAAAACTATGCGACATCATGGACATTAAAGTTGTTTAACTGCAAAGTTAATATATACAGTCGACTACTACTCAATGGAATGACAAAAAATTGGTATCTTATTTAAATTTTAAACTGGGCATTTTTAAAGCTCTATTATTTGTGTGGTATGTACGTTCATATTTTATCACGTTTTTCACGTCATTGGTATAACAAAACTGTTTATAGTCATTTTAAATTTTTTGTTTTGCGATACGTGTGCATCATGACATATAATATTATATATGTGTGTGCTTACAGATATACAATATGTGTAAGTTTAGACATAAATCAGCATTAACAATAAATCTTTTTTGATGTAAAACAACTGTTAAAGTATGTTCTTCTGCACTAAACCGGTAACTGCGTCCACTGTGTGTAACATTACGCGTCGGAATTTTAATAACACTTGGCACGTACTTAAAACGCTCTTCCCTCAATGTTGACGTGCAGAATTTAACGCTTTGTTTGTCTATTTTGTGCCAATGTCATACTGTCATACATGAGGTCATTACTACATGATTGTTATTCATGAGCATTTAGAACTGAATAAAAAACTGGAAAGTCAAAGAGTGCAAATGCATTAAACCATCAAGCGGTCACCCTGATTTTCTATAGCGATCGTACGTTGCAGAAAGGTACACGTGCACGCACACGCACAAGCTTTTAGCTGCACACACGTTTCCCAGATAAAGACAGATAGAAAACACGCGTCATAGGATGGACTGTTTTATGTTTTTGTCTTCTTGCCTCATTTCATTAAAGAGCAGCATCATATCACTCCGCCATAGGAATATTTATACCGGTAGCAGACCACAGTCTCAGACAATATCAGGTAGAACACCACTAATAAAATACCTTTAACCTTGTTTTAATAATAAAAAAATAATATTTAGAGTTCTTAAATCCGAAATTATTAGCACTTCTATTGCCGCATATTCTATTTTAATAGCTATTGAACAGAACAGTATGTTAAATATTGCCCAAGGAGCCGAGTACCATGTTTTTATTTAGGTAACACCTTGATATTTGACAGATATGAAAAGATATTCAGAAACCCTACCTTGATTCCATACATTATTTACAAGTTTATTTAGGCGTTTTTGAAATATTAATTTGTAATATCTTGGCATTTCGATGTCAAAATATGATGAATTAATTGTTTAGAAAGATAACGCTGATAGGAAAAGAAACTCCGCAATATTTTACTTTTTATCACAATGAACTTGATATGTTAAAGAACATTTAAAACATTTGTAAACTTATATACTAACTATGATATCCATGCTATCTGATTGGTTTAATTAATGGATGATGCTAATGATTAATGCTTTGATTTGTATCTAGTTTATTTCTAGAAAATAAGAAATCAATAACAATTTTGTTTGTATTTGTATGTACTGTAATTATTCATATATCGCTGCAATCGCATCTTCTCGGCCTTTTCAATAAAACTTCGGTTATTACACTTAATTGCCGAGGTGTTCCGATTGGTATCGCTATGATAAATAAATTTATTAAGTTATAACATCTATCACATCATATTTGTGTTTGTCTTTTTCTTCTTACAAAATTGACAAAAATCTCTGCTGGATTCAAGACATATTTATTTTCGTGGTTCAAGTGGAAATAATATAACTTATAACTTTCCATGGATCCAGTTTAATTTTACTTTTATGGACCCAGTCAGACAATTTTTAAATTTATGGATTCAGATTGGTTTAACATTCATGGATCATGTCTGATTTTTTTTGTAGACTGCTACAGGATATCGTCCGTCCGTCCGTTAGAAAACTTTTTTAGTTATGCATATCGTCAGCATTTTCCAATTCAATGATTTTTGGTAGAGTTATGACCCTTTAGTTATTATAATTATTTTTTTAAGTTTTGCCCAGGCTTCTTCTCTTTAACTACTTATGCAATTTGAGTGAAACTTTACAGGACTAATCGGAACTTCAAGTACTTGCGCATATATAACGGGTTTTCCGATTGAATGATTTTTGGCCCTTGAATAAAAAAGGGCGTTTTGGCCCGTTCATGATTTTTGGGTCGCCTGCTATACAGTGGCTGCAACATGCTACAAAGGAGCCGAACTGTCCAATCACCCTCAAAACAACTGCTTGATTGGCTTTCGTCTGGCTACAATATGGTAACTGATCGCTGTTGTACTTGTTTAGATCCAGTCGGTTCTTCTGTTATGGACCAGTCTGATTCAGTCTAATTTCACCTTCATGGATCCAGTCATGGATCCAGTCTAATACATTCATGGATTCAGTGTCATCTTATTTCCAAGGATCCAGTCTATTTAACTAGTTTGATTTTAATTTTCAAAGAAAATATGATAGATCTGAATTTTAGTACAGCCAAAATAACTTCATCGAATACTAGTATATACATGTACATCCGTATGCAATATGTACAATGTTATATGTAATTTGAAAACACTAGTAATCGGCGTTGCGTTTGCATGTCATTTAAATGCAACAATGCATTTGTTGTGACCTTCAGTGACCTGACTTTGACCCTCTCAGCTGACACTCAAGTTTAAGACAAGCGGCGACTTCCCAAACGTTTCATTAACACCATTCATATTTAACATGCCTAATACAATAACAATTGACAAAGTGCTTAAGGTCTTATTACATGAAAAAATATCTGGCGTTCATATTACAACAAAAAGTGCCGATTCACATATTGTTACTCGAGTGTCAACTGAAGTGATAAAGAAAGTCCTGTATAATGTATTCCAGTTTTGATATGGAGGTCAATAACCTAAGTACTAGAACTATCTTACAAAAATTCCTCACCACCCACAAACCAAAATTGCTATGAAAGCAATACTAATTAATATAGCCAGGGACACATAACTTTAGTAGTTGAAGGTCATCGGCAGCAATGGGGAATCCTCGTTTTGGAGAGTCGGTCGTATATGGAAAAGACTTAGATCGAACTCCGGACAGGTCATCCCCGAAGACCATTCCGACAAAAACTGTAACACCGCGCACATGGCTATTATCTGTTCTTGACAGTAAGAAAAGGGCCATAACTCTGTAAAAAGATAAAACAGTGATATAGGACCTGGGTCCATCTTGTTATACATGTTTAACCACAGGGAAGAAGTGTGTGAAGTTTTCATTCCCTTCATTAATTTTGGAGGTACAAACTTGCCCGCAAATCTCAACCAAAGAGTGACGGCGACGCCGACTCCGACGCCGGATGAGTGCAATAGCTATCCCTATTCTTCGATTAGTGATACAAATTAAAGAGAACAGTTCTTAGACTGATTGGACCGGCGACCGTGTGTGGTATCATGATGTGATAGACTTAAATTACTAAAAGCCTATGATCACAGTAAAAAACTATGTGTGGTTTGTATGAACTCGCCAAAATCCGTCAATTTCCGTACATAACGCCTGTTGGCAAGGACGATTTGTAGCTCATTGTTACATAGACGCTTATATAATATAGCGCAGAACAGAATTAACGGAATATGCCGAAAATTTACGGACCAATGATTGATGAATTTAAATTGTTTTACGATCTTGTAGAGGATCGTATTTCACTTGTGGGAACTTAGATAAGTTAAAAATATTATATATATTCTCAACTTTCAATAGATCATGGGGAACTAGTTTGTCTTTGAAGACGTTGTGTACGTGCAGATTTTGATATTAGGGTGTGCATGCACAAGACTCTTGTTGCACCACTTCCAGGTTTAAAGTGGATTGATCTTGTTACTATTTTTAGATTCAATAGCAAAACACAAGGGGGAAGGTAAAATATGAAGTTTGAAACCAAAGTTTATTAAAGATATGAACATAAGACTTTGTATTCTATACCTCTTTTGTTAAGTTTTTAAACACTTATGTAAAAGGGCGATCTTGTATTTATTAAAGAGCTCATTTGACTGTAATATGATTGTTCGTTGAGATAAAAGTATGATTTTAAGATGGCGTCATATTTCCTGTAAGAAACTTTAAAGTTTCAGTTCTTTGTTATTATGCTAAAAGGTAATTTTGAAAATATTCAAATTTTGTCAATTTTGTTTAAACATCTTTAGAAGCATGATTAGAAGGTAAGAAGCAATAAATAAACTTAATACCATTACATTAAGCAAAAAAGTCGTAATATAGCCAATAATAAGTTCAAGATCGGCTTGAATAGATTTTGCAAGACGTTCATTACGAACTTGAACATATTCTCTAGAATATATTATTTCCAACATATCTAGACGAGACAGCTAGAGAGGTGACTTTTGACTTTGCTTTCAACCAACTTTTGACATGTTTTAACCATCTTTTGATATGTTTAAATAGACTTTTGACATTTTTAAACCAAATTTTTCAACAAACTTTTTTTTACAAACTTATGAATTCTTTTCAACTATTTTTTTACTTTTTTCAGCCGACGTTTGACATCTTTTCAACCGAATTTTTACAATTTTTCGTATCACAATTATCACAGAGATCACACCGATCATATGTTACTTGAAAAATAAAACAACAACAACTTAAGACAAACAAGAACAATGAACAATTCCTCTGATTGGTTATTTTTGACGTCACGTGACGTTAATTTTGACGTCGTCGCGACGCATCTATTGCATCATAGCAACTAGTATTGTTGACATATTAATGTTACGCACAACATATTATTAAAATAAAAATGGATGAATTCGTAGAAGAAAATCAGGCAGCTGAAGGCGTAAAACAAAACAACAAGAGTCCACAAGCTAAAGGTTAGAATGTTTTTTTGTATTAGTGATTGAAATTTATTTGATATTCAGCAAATAAACTCCATTTGAAGGATAAAATCCTATGCAAAGCGAAATGAACGCTTGAATGTGATGGATAAAATTTATAGTATATGCAATATCATGTCTTTAAAACGTTTTATTGACCTTTTGAACATATTGTTATTTTCATTTTATTTATTATAGTTATGGAATGCGGAGAAAATGGTGGTATCAAAAGAAGAAAAAGAAAACAATCTAAGAAACAATACGAGAGATGGGTTAAATATCGGGAACAGAAAAAATCCGAGAAGAAGATGAAAGCCTCATTAAATCAAGCAGCTTTAGTTGCGGCTTTTTCCAATTTAAGAGCAGAAGCGGCTGAGTTTGTGCCACGATCTGTGGCTTCAAACCTCGATCAGATACCTCCATCTGTTAACACAAATGCCGGGCAGGAATGTGAGACAACACAGCTAGTTGAAGATGTTGTTGAAGTGCATGAAGAAAATACAAATAGCGGTGATGATATATCTGATATCATTGTAGAATCAGAAAGTGAAATCGCAGATAACATTCACACTGACGAAGATGACTTGGACGCCGGCGTATTTGGAATATTATCAATCTACACTTCTAGTGAAATCCACGCCATTGTTCACCAGGTAAACAATACATTATAATTTTATTATCTTATTGTTCTTTGATAGTTTCATTTCATAATTGTTATTGGAAATAGACATTTTATATAAGACTAAATATAAAAATGAAAGTAATTTAAGATAAACACCTAATCGTTATAAGCATGAGACAGACGTCTTAATTTTAGTAGAAAAATAAAAATATCTTTCAATAAATTTTAAATCTGATGTTTTATTTTACAGGAGACGATTTACAAGAATTTTGATATTGCAGACACAACTGGATACTTCTATTTTTCACTCACAAATTTGTAAATTGATTTAGAATAATAGAGAAATATAGATAATTCAGATTTTTAATATCTTGTGTCATATAACCCTCGCAGACATTAATACGAAGCCATATAACCTATCAAAATCTTTTTTATACATATATTCATATAACCAATGGTATATATTACCCAAACTATAATAAAATAAGCCCATTAAAGATAAGTAATCAAAAATCTACCAGAAACCAGATATTGAAATAAAATAAATACGATATTATTTTTTTTATATTTCAATTTCAAATTTTGAAAGCGGCATTGTTTTTTGATATTCTATGAGTCATAAACAGCTACAAGGTGCTTTTAACAATTTGTTGTTTCTGTAAAATAGTGATAAAAATCTTCTTTTATCAAAACATACGAATTGCAGAATTTATGTAATCTGTTTCAAACAGCAAATTTTAATTCTTGTTTTGTTTGCTTGTAAAACTGCCGTTTTTTTACTCTTATCGTCTATTTGAAATTTAAATATATTTTTTGTAATACGCACTTTTTGACAGTGGTTTCAGTCGGACAGAACTGACTGCAGTTTAATTCACCGATATTTTAGAATTCTTAATTCTCTATAAAAAAAAACCCCACTAAACCTGGAAACTTTTTATCCTGATTTTCTTGACACAATGTTTGTATAGTGGAATTGTGTATAATTTTTGTACTTAATATATGTACAGATAACTTACTTTTATTACTGCATGTTCACCCTGTATTACCGACTACCCAAGAACCAAGAGGAAGTAAAGCGCTTGTTTTACATAACTGGAATATTTTTAAAGGAACATTATCCAGTCCTTGTGAAGACAGTTTAAGACAAAAAGATAGTTAAAAGTTATTTAAAAAAAAACCTTAAATATTTTCCCCTTGGCGTTCCATTTCCGGCGGTGCACCGTATCCCCCGGTTTTCCTGTCAGCCGATTAACCACCATGAAACAATAGGGAAAGAAAAAAAATCTGTTAAAATCAATGACTACCACATGTAAGACATGGCTCATTAGCGTAAAATTGCGTGTAAAACTTCTGAAATGTAAACTAATGATTGTATACTGTTATAGTTAACTGACGCCACTTTTTCTTCTTTTCTTTGGAATTGAAAGAAAAAATCTTCTTTTCTCCGAATGTGTTAGATCGACTGACATTTTAATGTTGGAATAAATATAAATATAACTTAACATTTCTGCAGATAGTGATAAAATAGAAATTACAATTAACACTGAGAACCCAGACACATTCCTAAGCAAAGAGTCAAATTCCCCCCCCCCCCTACCACCCCTAATATTTTGGGTATCTGAAATGTATACATATATGCTTATATCTTGTATTACAACTATGTTTCTAAATTGTAGATAAAATATTATAAAATGAAATATAAAACAAAATAAATAAATAAATAAATAAATAAATAATTGAATGAAGGAATGAAGGAATGAAGGAAGCAAGGAAGCAAGAAACGAACGAAGGAACGAACGAACCGACCGACCGACCGACCGACCGATCGATCGATCGATCAATCAAAAATTAAAAAAATATATCAACAGTTAATTTTATATAATAAATTAAATGCAGTTTTGTGATGGTTATTAAAATTGCAAGTTCTATTGATTAATTTTCTTGTTGTATATTTCTGCATTCAATATAATATAATGTTTTCACTTTCTTGCCCGTCAAAGATCTGTGTTCATAAAAAATCAGTTTTAAATCTATATTTATTTATAACACCAGATTGATTAAGGTCTAACTCTTGTTATAGACGAGGCTTATCATACACCTGTAGCAACCACTGGGTAATAAAAGTCATAACTCGGTTTTACAATAAATATACAACGATTAAAGCATGGGGAAAAATTATCATTTTTTTATACATGACAAATTGTTTGGACTGACATATTTTTGGCACCAATCCATAATTCTCATAGAAAATATGATTTTATAAAAAAAATATCGAGTTTTTGTTTAATATTAGACGTAAATATTTTCCCTCGAAACAATGGCGCTTTTACAGCTCTGAGAAAACTTGATATTTTTCAAAGTATGCATCGTCTGCACTTAAACAATGACGTTACACAGACGGAAAGGGTGTAAGTTACAATAATATACTTTAAAACAAATACAGGGGCTTTTATCTATTATTTATTCGCCGTGCATGGTTCTTAAGTCTTACAGAAATGAGGAGGGAAACAAAGTAGTTTATGAGATGGCTTTTACGAGTTATTGTCAGCAAGTTAATGATAATAATTACATCTGTTTACCCAAACCTTTATGTTCTTATCGCTAATTCCTTTTTTACAGAAAGGTGTGTTAAGTTAACGTATAGATTTATACCTTACTGCTTATTGTAAAATGACAAATTAGGGGGGAAAGTATCTTTGAAGAATATTTTTGTTAGTTTATTGGATATGATTTGTAAAGTAATCGATATTTTCGTGCGTTTTGTTTAACAGAGAAATGATTTAGTAACACACGATATGGATAGTAATCTTGTCATCGTTAATGTATTAGAATGGTTGTTTTTGTATCTTGTTTTGTTTGTCTTTATGTTTAACTGTACACTGACATTGTAAATATAATATTACGATTTTCACAAACTTATTGATGGAAGAAGGCTTCATATGACAAGAGCAATGCTTTTTCCGTCGTGGACGGGCACCTGAGTAATACAACCAACCTTCTATAGCAACCTCACATTCAAAGTATCTAAAGTTCCTGGGGTGATTATCACGAAATAAGATGCTAAAAAGATTTTTTTTTTAATTTCAAAACCATCTGACTTTACCCGTTCGGAAGGCCCCAACTGATTTCTTCCGAGGAAAAGTTTAGACAATAGCATTAACATTGTTTATTGCCTGGCATATTAATATTCGTCGTCAATATGGTAATAAGTAGACCTGATGTCTTTAATGTCTTTTCGAATTTCATCCGATCGCTAGAAATTGTAACAAATCAATACTGTAATATATAGCATAAAGATTATGTATTGTTGCTGTATATGTTAAAATGTGCAGACTTTTTTCCAAGAATAATGACGAGAAAATGAAATCGAGGAAACTTATTTCTTATCTATTATGCTGCAACTTTTAGTGAATGATTTCACAGTCTAAAGAGTCTTGTAATATTCTCATAATTGCAACAAACGAAGAGTGACAGAAAGTGTCTCATATTTCTACCAATTTAAAAAAATAGCAAGAACATTTTTTTTTTTAAATTTACAATGCTTTTAGGTACGAGAGGTGAACGCATTATATGTTGCTGTCTGAACAGGCTCTATACTGTTGGTATAGCTACATTTTTGTAGTTTGATATTTGATATTTAAACCCCTTAAAATTTAAATAAACTGTTCAAAACTCAAAGCAGGGCAAATCCACTGGACAAATTCAGTATGTTTAGGATGGCAAAAAGCAATTATTCATTTTGTAAGTTCACCCTGACCTTGATACAGTGGTAACAAATGTAGATAAAACATATATAAATTATCATGAAATAAGTAATATAATTATTTTGTCGGTCAGTTTATCTGACTTGTTTATTTCTCGACTTTCTAAACACTTTACATCTGGTTGAAATAAATCACCAACTTTATCTTCCTAATCTAACCATTGTTAAAACACGTGTCATATTCCTCGTGATTGTGTGTACGTGGACAGTGTTTGAGTAAATCCGCGTGTTTTATCATTTGTACATGTACTTTATCATAGTCACTGAAATGTAAATATCACTCGTATTGTGTCGATCTTGCTAGTAATATTTCACTCTGATATCTCATAATTCACGTGCTACTCTTCTCTGACATAAAATTTTCTCGTGCTGCTCTACTCTATAGTCTCATCTTGGTGTAGTTTGCAACACCAGCTGATACCTCAACAACATTCCCTAATATCTCAACATCTTCCGCTGATACCCGCTGTTACCTCAACATATACCGCTGATATTTCAACATCGACCGCTGTTACTTCAACATCTGCCGCTGATACCTCAACATCTCTCGCTGATACCTCAACATCTCTCGCTGATATCTCAACATCTCTGGCTGATACCTCAACATCTCTGGCTGATACCTCAACATCTCTGGCTGATACCTCAACAAATCTGGCTGATACCTCAACATCTCTGGCTGATACCTCAACATCTCTGGCTGTTACCTCAACATCTTTCACTGATATCTCAACATCTCTGGCTGATACCTCAACTTCTCTGACTGATACCTCAACATCTCTCGCTGATACCTCAACATCTCTCGCTGATACCTCAACATCTCTGGCTGATACCTCAACATCTTTCATTGATACCTCAATCCAATCTCTCCTGCTGATGCTGTTTTACGTTTCATTCCTTTCGTTTAAGCTCAGTAACACATCAAAGTCACTCATATTCATGTATAATTTTCATTTTAATGACCGTATCGCAAGAACAAGTACAATAGCTGAACAACGTTCGATAGATTTATGGTTTGAACCTTATCATGTCACTTATTTTGGCGACATTAAAAACGCGAAAATTTACGATGGTCAACGTTAACAATAACATGGAATTTCGTTATCACGTCGGTCATTTCCGTTATTTTCCGTACGTAATCGTTTCTTTGAACGGCTAGGTTCCATATAATATCAAAGCTTATATGATTACTAGCATTACAGCAAACGGAAAGTGGCGAGATTTGCCGAGGTTTAACGAAGTAATGATGGATACTGTACCTTAAGATTTAAACAGATATAAATTAATATTATCATAGTTTATGGACGCATCTAATCCCTTCTATCCTTTTCCCAGCCACACCGGTCTTCCATAAATTATATAGAATTCATAAATTACCGGGCTTACGTGTTTAGGCAAATATTTCCCCTATAATTAGGTAAGAAAACATACAAAAAATGCCAAGTTAAAAGTTAATGTAGGAAAGTTTTAAAGGATGTTGTGGGTTGAATATTTACGAATGAGTTTGTATTTGCTTCAACAGTTGTTATTTTGTTTTAAGTTGGTCCCAACATATTTATTTATACTCCAATGTGAATCAAGTTCTTTCCACTTATACTAATTATAGCAGAATCTTCTTTGAACTCGCTATAGCACTTGTGTCATAGTTTGTCACCCAAATGGGGGCATAAGTCTGCGAACTTTTGGTAGAATTTATAAAAAATAAAACCACCCCCTCATTTTCTCAAAATTTCACCTTAAGGTATTTTAATGAAATTTGATAAAAATATAGAAGTAATTGTGTGTTACACTGCACAGACTGAATATGAACAGAAACAATGTCTTTTTATACATAATAGGAACAAAAACGTTTTGCCTTTTATACTGAATATGAACAAAAAACATTTTGCCTTTTTATACTGATTAAGAACAAAAACGATGCATTTTATAATTTATGTATTTATGTCTGAATTGTATCTTTTAAAAAAAACATTTTGACATTTATAACTTATTAAATTTGACGTAACTTCAAAATCTTTTAATCGCCTCGAAATCTAGCATGAAAATACATAAGATTTTATGCTTAAAATTGATTTTTTACAAAATTTTATAACGTTTATCACGAAATATTTCAACAATTTACCCCCACTCCTTTCATCGTTGTTTTAACCTCAGTTTACTCGAATATCAACATTATTTTATGAATTCCTTACCAACTGGGCAGTAGATTGTATTATAAAAGGAATGCGATCTTCCGGAAAACGTCCATTAACAGGTTATCTTGTAAACTAAAGCTACAGTCTCACTTACATCCCGGCAGAGCCCCGGCAGAGCCCCGGTAGACGTCCGGGGTGATCCGGGAACGACCGGGGTACGACCGGGAACAACCGGGGTACATCCGTAACTCTGTCGGCAACGTCCTGGATGATCCGGGATGATCCGGGAACATCCGGCATTCGACCCCGGATGGAATAAAATATTTAATATCACCGGGGTGGTCCGGGATGATCCGGGAAGGTATAGCTTTGCCGGCTTCATCCTTAGCTCTGCCGGGAAAGACCGGGGTTATACCGGGAAAGCACCGTAGCTCTGTCGGCACAAACCGGGGATGATCCGGGGTATGATATAGCCGGTAGAGCTACGGTAGAGTTACGGTAGAGCCCCGGTATATGCCGGCAGAGCCCTGATAACTACAGGCAGAGCCCCGGAGGTTAAAGGTAGAGCTACGGTTGATCCCGGTAGAGCCCCGGCAAAGCCCGGATCATTTCAAAAGAATAACGACAATTTGCGATGCTTGCACTTGTTTGTATTAAAAGCCCTCCCATTTCCCTTCTATCCAGTATGGCATAAGGATTTTTCAGAAAATCATCATGAATTAATATTCTGGAACAATAGATATTATATTAAATAAAAATTTTGTATCAATTTTATCATTTTCGGGCGTTTTAAATCCACCGGGGTTCTACCGGGGCTCTGCCTGGATCGTCCTGGGCTCTGCCGGGGGTCTGCCTGGATCGTCCGGGGCTCTGCCTGGGTCAACCGGGGCTCTTCCGGCGTCATCCGGGAACGACCGGGGAAGCACCGGCATGAACCGTAGCTTCACCTGGGCTCTGCCTGGATGATCCGGAGCGCATCCTGGGTGGTAAGTAGGGAACTACCGTAGTGCTGCCGGGGTAAGTGTGACCGCAACAATAATTTCATCCCGGATCGTCCCGGATCATCCCGGTAACTTACCGGGATGGTCCTGGGCTCTGCCGGGAGTAAGTGAGACCGAGGCTTAAGGTTAATTACTGAAACGTTTTGAAACTATAAATACTCCGTTTATTGTGAAATATTTTATTGTCGTTATTTAAGAAGTGTTTTATAATTTTAAGCTGAATTGCATTTGTCCGATATGTGTATTAGGAACACTTTAAATAACATTTTTTATAATTAACGTATACATACTTTTTCCAAAGCAATGATAAATTTACAGTACAATTTTCCGCCAAAAAAAGAAAAGAAACAAATGACGAACTGAAAGTAAAACTAACACAATATTAAGAGTGAAATATGTTATTCGTCATTAGTATTTTATAATTATGTTTATCATGTTTATTTAGCTTTTATTTATTACATGATAATGTTATGAACTTGAATTTATTTTTTAAGATTTCACCTATAAGCGATGATGATGCCATTGCTGAATAGAATTTAAACTGACAGCTCGTTTAAAATTTAGGAATTTTAATGCTAAAATATTTGAATTTTTGATTTTACTAATTGTAATTCTAAATTCAAAGCTCGTTAATTTAGGGCTTTGATTCTAAAATATATGAAATTTGAATTCTACAATTGTAACACTGAATGTCCGTTTCACCAACTTACCGATGTAAAGATTAGCTCTAAATGACCACAACTTGTAGATGATTGGAAGGAAAATTTGTACGTTTAGTACGGGGCAAAACAACATATTTTAAATTTTTTAAGTTTGTTTTTGTTTCGAGATATTTGAACAATTTGACTTACAAATAAAAGTTACTATATTCGTGAGTTGTATGAAAAAAGCAGTTAGAATATTTATAACAAAATAGAAAACAGTGACCGCATTTCAAACACATAAAAAATAAGGTAAAAAATCATCCAAGTTTATTATTTTAATAACTGGGAGATTTTACATGCGTTTAATCATTTCAGACGCTGTTTATCTTGTTATTTAAGTCACCATTTAGAATCCTGATATAAAACGGACTGTGTTGTTTTAATACTGCATGAGTATTATGCAGAAATCGTGATACAGTCTAACTATTTTTATGTTATGCGAGGAGTAAGGGATCTTAAAATAAACTTAGATAGGAAATAGATAATCACATTTAAAATTTCAACGAATGATTTTCTTTGTAAAAAAACTGAAAATAAATTAAATGTGAGCAATTTGAATAGGTATTAATAATTTACATTTTTAAAAAAAGAAATATTGTCAATATATAATCCTTATATAATACTTACGTGTTAAATCTATCCCTTCAGAATACACCAGGTTAAATTCCTTCAATAAAAGCCACAAAATGAAAGCTAAAACGTTGAGGATATATGCTCTATCCATTGTTTTTTTCTTACGAATTTTTTTTTAAATCAGTCAAAAATGTTTACAATATTTAACACGGCATAAATTGTTAACAAATCTGTGATCACCACATATTCAAAAATGTTTATCTCACTTCATAAATCACAATATATTGCAAATGTCTTTTTTCTCAAATATGAAAAAGCTCAGAAAATTTCTTCTTAAAATAACACAGTAAATAAAACACGTTTGAAGACAAAAATATTTTTCAAAATACTGTCAATTTGACATCTGGCGACCGAAGTCAAACTAGAGTACTTTGAACCAATTAGGAACTTCCTTCTTGTTATATAAAATCTCTGTTGCCAACACTTGAGAAGAACATGCAAATCTCTACAGGAACTTATCAGCGGTGAACAGGGGCGACATGAAACAACAGTTGTTCATAGAAGAACAGAAACTTTCATTGGCGCGAAAAGATCTTTGTATTTTAAATGCGCCGCGTCGTGTAAATATGGACTGATGAGTGCTAAGGTAGGTAGGTGCGCGCGTATGTGTGCGTATATGTGCTTGTGATTTGGGGTATATAAGTGTGGGGGGAGTGGGTCGCGTGGGGCGGGTTATGAAAATAAAACTAATAATACTAACAAACGATTCAAACATCAAAATATTCAGCGTCATTATAAATTGTATCAACCGGATTTGTGATGGAGTAGGGTCAATTTATGGCTTATAGTCCTTTTTTATTTGAGAACCCGCTCAATGTATAAATACTGCATAATGAGATTGAGAAGTTTCACGAATAATGTTGATTATAGAACTACACTTGATTCTTTAGTTAAAAAAAAGTTTATATTTTTTACTTTTAATACTTAGTAAGATTCTAGTATATATAAAGTTTGTTTATTCGAAAATATAAGGTTGTTTTATAGTTAAACTTTAATCTCTTTTATAAACCTGCTATAACTTTGAAGCCGAATTCATATTTTCAGATTAACAAAAGCGATGATTCGTAATGTTGTTTTTTTCAATTAAAAACCAGGATATTTCTTTTTACCTTTATATATTTATCTTTTTTTCCCCAACAGTTGTACGTCATTCTCGAACAATTAGGTGTTGATGAGTCATCATATGAATAAGAAATTTGAGACACATGATTTACCTGGAAGAGAAAAAACATCAACACCAACACCAACAAGGAAACAACAGAAGCTTTATTATCAAAGGAAAATATTCATTGTTTTATAAAAAACAACAACAACAACAACGTTATCATGAACAATCAGGCTGCATTAACAAACTAACGTGTCTAGAAACTAAGTAAGATAACTAACGGCCAGAAAATATTCATCTGATACCAAATTGTGGCTTTGGAATGAGGAACTTATGATTAAGCCTTAGTGGATTCAGTCATGTCTGAAATTCGTGTTGAAGTGTTAATCCTATAATGACTAATTTCACTGAAGAAAATATTAGATAAGAATAAGAATTTTCTGTTGCGTTTTGCCTGGACACTTGTTCTAGCATTAAGCTCGGGCATCATATATGGTGGCATATTTCAGCTACCAGATAACCATATAACCCACTAGTTAATTAAGAGGTTAACTAGTTACGTAACTAGTTAACCTCTAAATATTAAGCTGGTAAAATAATAAAAGAATGGCAGTTGTAGGCACTAACATGCATTTATTTCCCGTTATGATCTTTTATTTTTTGAAAAAATAACTAGTTACGTAACTAGGTCACCACATAACTAACTAGTTAATTAAAAGGTTAACTATAGTTTGTCCCATTAAAAATAGAAATGAATTTTTGCTTGTATTAATTAACAAAACGACGTTGAAAAAAAATTCAAACTTTTTTGTAAACTAAAAAAGTCACCCTCGAGATTTTTCAGGATTTTTCTCTAAAATGTCTACTTTTCTTGTGAAAGCAAAATTTGATTTCTCTTTGGTAAATCTCTGTTGTTTATTTATTTCGTAGCCATTGCCGAAGTACTCTTCATTTGAAGATGAACGGGTGAAAGCACGTGTCATTTTTCTAAAATATACATGAGGTTCTCGGGGTCGTTTCATAATAATTTTACAAAGCTGGATATACAAGATGTAACAGTTTAATTACAATGCATGATAGAAAACTTTTAAAAATGAAAAATAAGCAACAAGAACACCGAGTCACATGGAGTAGATCTAGAAATTGCACTTACTTTTAAGATGAATAGAATTCCTACTGTATGAACTTTATAAACGTCACTACAAATTCGCATTTTGAAGATTCCTTCATTGCCAGTTTCTATCCAGTTCCGTAGCTTAAAAAATCCTGAATGATATGACTCCTACACTTTTGATGATCCAGATTTTTTAAACAGATTATCCGTTTCATTATTAAAACATTGTTCAATTGTGGATTTATCTGGGTTAGCAAATGAAATATGTAAATGAAACACATCATAATTCAGCATGTTCCAAATCCATAATTCAAGAACGGCCCATCAATTTTAGTTGTCAACATCACAATGCTTATGGATTCCTGACGAAAAAAAAAAACAACTTTATTACGTCAACAACAATTTACGAAATATATGACGTAACAAAAATGTCTCGCGCTTTTAATGGATGATTCCAGTTGCGGCATTGACAGAGGGTGGTTAGGCATATGTAACCTCAAAAAGATAATTTTAAGCGTTGAGATAAATTTATCTTGATGGCATTTAAAATAATTCTTGTATAGATCTACCCAGATTTTGAAACTTAACTGTAAAACGTATACCTTCAATTCATATATTAATAATATAAAACTTTTGATAACATTTAGATCTAAAAATGATTTTAAACACACTAGTCTTAATGACATGAATCTACAACAGTACAATACTTCTTCCATAATTACATATAACATTCGTTTTGATTTTATGTTTTTAAACTATTTTATATATTTCTCAGGAATAATTTCCCTACATATTATCTCGTTATTCAAGACTTCTGTAAATCTACAAAATATACAATACGCGGTATTTTTTCTCCCGCGAAAAATATGCTAGATCTATTGTTTTTTCACTGAATATTTTCAAATTTTAGGAAGGCTAAAATTATTGAGAACGTCACTCGGTGTTTCTCTTTGACTGGATCTACCCTTCATATTAACAAAATAATTATATGTAACACTTTGAGTCTACAAAAAACACTTATTGTCACTAGTCTTATTGAACTTTACTCTTAATAATATCAAATCACTGCCGGTATTTCTTGACATTTTGTTGAATTGTGAGACGGAAAGTTTATTCTGTATTTACGAGCTTAAAGTGTATAGGCCTACGTTTGATTGCTTAAACTAGAAAGCATGATAATAATTATTGCTTAAACTAGAAAGCATGATATATATATTCTTATAATTTACATTTTCCTTGAACGCGAGTCTGTGTTCTCTCGTTAGCGAGGGAGTTAGTTAAAGTAGACACTGTGGTAACAAGCAAACCAATGCTGAACGTATAGTGAATCAGTTTTCCTTTCTTTATATTTTTTGAAAGATTTGCATGATAATGTAGTATTTGTTGGCGATTTCTTGTGAAAGTTGAAACCTACGGAAAGTTTTAGCGCATTCGTGACATCGCTCTCGAAATATGAAGGGTAACATATTTATGTATCCCATCGAACCTGGTCAATTTATTTATTTTTGAATAGACGTGATACACACTTATGGACAGAATTCAGACAACTACAGAATTATGTAAATTAAACATTAATTAGCGAAGAACCATTTTTATAGTCTTCTATAGCTAGTGTTTTCGCTCCCCTACGACGCGTTGTGGTATTCAAGATATGCGCTTGATTAAAAAGCTATCTAATCAAATCACTTCATTGCTCTTTTTCTCTTAAAAAATATAAAATACGACAGTATATCATGGTAATTAATTAAATCTTTGTGTGTTTGAATTTATAAAGCTTCCTGATAATTTCTCTTCAAATGATTTTGATTATTTTATATAATGGTTTGCTAGTAAAATTGCCTTTTTGACACCAACTTTGTTGTCATTTTTCATTTTAATGATAACATTTAGCTATTGATCAGTAAGTAAATAAGAATAATATTTTTTTTTTTATAATTACCGAGTACATTTCACGCTAATTGTGAGACGAACCCTAAATGACGTCTATATGGGCGCCGCCATTTTGAAATGGACGTCACGTCAGGTTACAACGTAAGTCAACGGGAAAAAATATAATTTTAACATTTTGACCATATTACTGACTTTATGAAAAAAATGAAAAACATGCCTAGAGATATTGATGTCAGGGTTAACATGACATTAATTTAAATGATTTTACTATTATATTAAATAAAAAATGGAATGTTCAAATTTGATGGGACAGACTATAGTTACGTAACTAGTTAAATTCTTAATTAACTAGATAGTTATATGGTTATCTGGTGGCAGAAATATGCCACCATAAACATATATTGTGGTCACCTGTGTGTTTTTAAATTTGAATTACAAATATAGTGATCACCAATCTCCAAGTAAATTTCAAACCCAATAGTTGTTTAAAGGGACTGAGTATTTTTTGACATGACGGAACTGGAAATATCTTTATGATATTTGTGTACAATTTGATGTAGGTCTTGACCAATAACTTTTTTTGAATAAATTTTCAGATCAATCTCTCATCCCGTTTTTCCAGAATATCCATTTTCATTGTGCAAAAATGACACAGAAATGACCTGTTGCAAGCATTTCCAAAATAAATTGGGTTAAGAATCGCACACAAAATCGATATTCAATTTAATTCTGCGTAAATTTCTTTATTTCCCTTTGAAGATTTTTGCATTAAAGCGCTTCACTTGATCTATGTAATAATTTCAAATTTTATGTTTTAGTGCTTTTAAACCTTTTTTAAGCTTTATGATGAGAATAGATTTCAAACCCTGTGGTCATCTGTTACTGAGGGTAGCTTTCAAACTCAGTGGTCATCTGTTACTGAGGGTATATTTCAAACCCTGTGGTCATCTGTTACTGAGGGTAGCTTTCAAACCTTGTGGTCATCTGTTACTGAAGGTATATTTCAAACCCTGTGGTCATCTGTTACTGAGGGTAGCTTTCAAACCTTGTGGTCATCTGTAACTAAGGGTAGATTTCAAACCTGTAAAAGTGGTCAGTGAAATGAGAAGCAACTACTTTGCGTTGTGTCTAAAATGATAATGTTTATTAACGGTAAAATAACAATACAACGGAAATGACGTCGTATAAACTCTTCTTCCCGCCAACGTAACGTTGTCTGCCTGCCGTTCCCGCTAACGTAACGTCGTCTTTACGACATCCTCCCAGGCGCAAAATATGGTAACTGTTACATAGTCTCAAGGGGGTACAGCTTTACAATTGGTCTTGATGTAGTGTGCCCGTTACTGGTGCGAACCATGGCCGCTCGTGTCAATCCATCTTTACCAGTGATCAATTGTTCAATAGTTCCTAATTTCCACTGTGATTTCGGGGTTTCATCATGAATAATTACTACATCGCCGACCTTTATCGTTTGGCTATTGTTTCCCGTAGTTTTGTGATACTGGCGTAATGACGTCAAGTACTCGTGGCGCCACCTATCCCGGAAATGGCTAATGATCTGTGACTGTATTCTCGCTTGTTTGGTAATCCCATCTCTTGAAACTGGTTTTGGTTCGGATATATCTTCATTGTAAGGCAGGGTTGTCAAACGCCGTCCGTATAGCAAATGAGCTGGTGTAATTGGTTCTGGGTCGGTTGACTCTGACGTAACGTAAGTCAATGGACGGTCGTTCATGACGCTTTCTACCTCTGTTACGATTGTTTGGAGAGTATCATAAGTGACGTATGCACTACCAAGAACCTTTTTGATAGCTGTTTTGGTAAGACCGATTAATCTTTCCCACCAACCACCAAACCAGGGAGCGCGCATGGGAATAAATCGCCACTCTGTACCATGGTTGTGCAACGTGTCTTTTACGGAAGTAGAATTCATTAATTGGCGTATTGTATTTGCTGCTGCTTGAAAAGTTGTTCCGTTATCAGATATCATAACCTTGGGTAGAGATTTTCTGCTACTGAATCGCCTAAACGCTTGTAAAAATGAAGATTCAGTCATATCTGAGACTACTTCTAGATGAACAGCTCTGGTCGAAGCACAAGTAAAAAGACAAATGTATGCCTTCTCATTTTCTGTGCAGACGGCATATCTGTGCTTTCTAAAGTTCACTAAAATACTTGTCAATTCGTTGATCTCAGGAGGGGTTGATTCAAGGCAATCATTAAGACTCGGTGAATTTTTGTTTTGACGACAACTACAGTCAAACACAATACGGATAGGGGTGGTGGCCGAATGTTTCTTTACTCCGTGATGTGGGATATAGTGCACGGGACGCTCACTTGGTAAAACATTCACTTTCTCTATAAATCCTCCCTTTTCCTGGTCTTTAATTATGCCGTCGTACTTTTGTAGTAAAGGGGGGTCTTCACGTAATCGTCGTATGGTGTTCTGAGTTCTTCTTAATGTGATGTTATAGTTGTCGGGTAAATTAGGGTGATCAGGTTTCCATGGCAACGAAGCAGTATACTTGTCATTTTCAAAGGTAATGCAGTTCTTCTGATAATTATGCAAGTAGTCAGAAGCCTTTTCTTCTGCTGCGGGTAAAATGCCGATGGATTCCAATTTCCAGAATCGCTCAAGATCATCATAATCTGGTGCAGATGTAATAATATTCATAATGTAGTTCGTAGCTTTACTTGATGACGTCACCGGAAGTGGTCCGGACAGAAGAAAACCAATCTTTGACTGTACAGCTGTTGGTCCGTCGCCCCGTATAATACGGTCTCCAATGATCTCCCAATATCTATCCGCTCCAATTAGTAATGATATGTTGAATGTGTCAACTTCCGGTACTGGGTGGGCTAGTTTCAAACCTCGTAAATATGGCAAATGTGTGGCAGCTTGTATTTGGTTACGTAAAGGCACAGCAATAGACGGCACAATTAGGACATCAATGGCAATTTTCTCTGAGTTCTCAGTTATCAGGTAAACTGTGGCGGTTTCAAAATGGCCGACTTTCTTGGACTCCGCCCCGAATGCAGCCAGATGGACAACTTCGGACCCGCGTCTCTGTAATTGTAATGTTTCGGCGAGTTCATGAGTAATAAATGAACGCTGCGCTCCTTCGTCAAATAAAATGTTTGCTTTAGCACAGGCGTGACCGGAAGTAACCTCAGCAACAGCAGTCTTCAGTAATACATTGTTTCTACTTTGTGTTGCAGAATGTAGAATGGCCGATTGTGCACTGGAACCGGAAGTAAGATGCGTTGTTGCTTCACTACCGGAAGTAGGGACGAAACTTGGAGCCGATGTGTTCAGTGAGCTTCCGATACTCTGATCGCAAATGCTGGTATGGTGTTTCCGGTTGCATTTTCTACAGCGGTGTTTTGAGCGACAGGAAGCAACAATGTGTTTGCCTAAACAGTTGAAACACAGTTTCTTGCGATGAATAATGGCTTTTCTCTCCCTAGGATTTATGATGTTTTTACAGTCATTAGCAAAATGTTTTTCACTGCAGAATGGACATTGGGGGCGTTGGGGTATTTGTACTTCTTGTATATGTTGAAAACATTTCTTCTTTTGTGTTGGTCTTGTGCTGGTAAGGAAAGATGCAGTTGCCAAATGTTCATATGTAGTCTGTGTTGGCTGGCCTGAATCTATTATATTTATCTCCTTCTTTAACGCTCTCCTAAGTTCCGGAAGTCGCCATTCACTCCCGCCATGGTCGCGTGTCATATTCCGCTTGATCTCCGCCGGAAGTTTTTCAAGTATGACCGGTATAAGTAAATTTCCAAAGGACTCATGACCTTGACCTAGGGACTGTAGACCACGGATATATGCCTCCATCTTTTCTTGAAACGGTCTTAGACTGGACAGTTGGGAAGTTGGTCTAGGTAAATCCAGCAAACCTTGCATGTACGCATTTACAACTTTATGTGTCTGACCAAAACGTTCCTTGAGTAAATGTATAGCTTCTGAATAGTTTCCATGTGTAACATTCAAACCATCAATCACACTGGCAGCATCGTCGGACAATAGAGTTTTCAGATAGCAAAATTTCTGCACCTCAGATAGTGACATGTTGTTATGTATACTTGACTCGTAACAGTCCCAAAATGTTTGCCACTCCAAAATGTCTCCAGTAAAATTGTGAGCTTCGGAAGTTTATGAAACTGTGATGCAGACTGAATTGAAATGTCACTTACGTTATTCGCCGATGTACTATTATTTCGGTTCCCGGAAGTTCCTTCGGCAATTCTGTGCACGGGTTGTGCGGTCTCATGGTTGTTACTATTTAGGGGCTCCTCAAGTGTGGTATTCTCAAGGGTAATCTGTGGGGAACGGGTGATCTCCACGGCAGCGCGGTGTTGAGCCTCCAAATCTCCAATGCGTAGCCGAACTTCCAGCATATAGTCCTCAGTCTCGAGCATCTCGGTCTCCATGTCTACCTCATCTACCTGCGACATTATCTCCTCGTTGATCTCTTCCAGCGCCATAAGTTTGTTACGTAGAGTTTCAATAACGGTAGTAAAGTGCGTATTATCGCCCGCATATTCTTCTAATTTGCCAAGTTGACGTGTTATCACAGCCTTATGTGCACTTCTTCTCTTCTTAATTCTCAAAATATCCATAATTTCTGTTTTGTCACGGCACCAAAATGTAAAAGTGGTCAGTGAAATAAGAAGCAACTACTTTGCGTTGTGTCTAAAATGATAATGTTTATTAACGGTAAAATAACAATACAACGGAAATGACGTCGTATAAACTCTTCTTCCCGCCAACGTAACGTTGTCTGCCTGCCGTTCCCGCTAACGTAACGTCGTCTTTACGACAAAACCCATTGGTAATCTGTTACTGATGATAGATTTCAAACCCTGTGGTCATCTGTTACTGAGGGTAGATTTCAAACCCTGTGGTCATCTGTTACTAAGGGTAGATTTCAAACCCTGTGGTCATCTGTTACTGAGGGTATATTTCAAACCCATTGGCCATCAGTTACTAAGGGTAGATTTTAAACCCATTGGTCATCTGTTACTGAGGGTAGATTTCAAACCCATTGGTCATCTGTTACTGGGGGTAGCTTTCAAACCTTGTGGTCATCTGTTACTAAGGGTAGATTTCAAACCCTGTGGTCATCTGTTACTGAGGGTATATTTCAAACCCTGTTGTCATCATTTACTGAGGTTATATTTCAAACCCAGTGGTCATCTGTTACTGAGGGTATATTTCAAACCAAACGGGCATATGTTCTTTGGGATATATTCAAAACAAGTGATACTCTTTAGCTGAGGTTAGTTTTCAAATATCAATGGCCATCTGTTTATGCTGATAAAAACTGACTTGCGTAACTCACTTTTCGCACATGAAGGTCACTTTTTCTATAAAAACAATCTCTTGAGTCATTGAGTTGTCATTGAGGTCATGTTGGTCAAATGTTTATTAGGCCAGTTTCTGATCTGATATATATGATTCACATTAAAGGTTTATTATTAAAAAAAAAATACATTTGTATAAGATCATAGAACCAAATTTCCTTCAGGAAAATATAAATGCATACATCATATAAATTTATATAATATATCAAAAGACTTTAAACTAATTAACGATTTAAACGATTAAGCATTTTCTCTTTTCTCAGAGAGTTCTGTTTATAAGCTGGTTTATTAACTCTTAATTTCGTTTACACCCCTGTGCCACATTAAACATTTTTATATCCCGTTATCAAATGAAAAATTGGTGGTTTTATTATTTTGTTCATTTTAATTAACGTTTGATTTACAAGGCATATTCTTTGACTGTTACGCAGAGACACATGCCTGATGTATATCTTTTAGTTTATAGAACCAACTTCCCACCGCAGGTGATGATAGTCATAAATCATTCACTTATCATCACGTGATGATCGGAGTTAATCATTCACTTTATCAATCATAAACTTGTAATAGTTGCAAAACAACACTTTTTTATCTTTACCTTTCGAGCAATTTTCTTATCTCTTTTTTTCTCGTTGTTAATGCACCGAAATTAAATGCAAAAATATCAGTAATTGTTTGAAATAAAAGCGTCAAACATAGCTTTAACGCCTACCTGCTGGGTGGGAGGGAAAAAGAACTAGGTATATAATTGTAGCAGAAATAATATCGTTTTTTTATTTTACACGACTTTCACAAACCATAATATAATATTTTAAATGATTTCTTTTTCATGAATTATCGCAATCATAGTTATAATTGTATATTTATTTAAATCAATAATGATCAAAAATTATTTTAAATAGTTCAATTAACTATTCATTTATACATCCATTATTTTTATATTGTTTGCGTTTTTTTCAAATCAGTCAGTTAAAAGTTGGTCCACAGTGATGTGATATTTTTCTGGTCCTTCGGGATCATTGATTCCACCACTAAGTGTTGAAAATTGAATACCGCGAAAGCCGATGCTTGGGGATGGGGGTGAGGTATATTGCACTTTTTCACTATCTCTCATGAACAGATTCAATCAAAGCGAGTCTGCATTTCTCTTATTGCATTGTTATTTTCAAAACTTCACAGGGTTCATCCCTTTTCCTGTGTTTCATGTTGATCTCGTCTTACAGGCCCATAAGACCCGTTTTCTTCTTGGATTTATTTCATGAATTAAAAATCATTGTTTTATAAGTTCATGTCGTACATATGACACATTAGATATATTTATTTACTAACTTATGTAGCAATTTAACTTTTCTTACATATTATGTATGTTTCAGAGATTGTGTTAAGTCATGTCTTTATTCGTGTCATTAATTTCGAAGAATGTGGCGCTGAATGATTTATTTTAAGAAATAAAAGCTCAATATTTGTTTATTTGTTTTATTAGTGCTCGTCTTAAAATGAGGTCATATATCAATGATCCTTGTTATATTGTTTAGAAAATGCGTGTTTCTATACAAGATGAGGGCAAGTCTTGATCTGCAACAAAACTGACAGAATGAAGAATATGTTCAAATGTGAAATTATCGGTAAAGACTAGAGTTCTTGTGAACGCGTACGAGTATGTACAATGAACAGCCGTTAGGCCCGCAATCGTGTCTAAGTTTTTATTTAGTATTCATTTCAACTGAAAAAAATCACCAATATTGTTTATCTTGTATATTGTATTTTCATTGCATTTTCTCGTTATTATCATCGCCCAGTCGTTGTTATGCTGTTACAAGATAGGTGGCTAGAACGCGTTCTTTGATAACATAACCTTTATTATCATTATGATTGAGATAAAATGATTCCAGTTTATATTTTTGTCATCTTAATTACAATTTGTATAATGTTCCAACATTACACGTATCTAAATAAAACAAAAAATGTTGTTTTATCAGCAACAAAAAATCATTTATTTGGGGTTTTTACCCTGTTTTTTTCTTTTCCTTTAAATTTTAAAAACCCAGCTTTCTTGATGGTAATTAAAAAAGTTTTAAAATTAAGAAAAAAAACAAACATAAGAAAAAAAAGAAACGCCTAAACTTTTTTTTTTTTATTTCGCACTTTAACTAAAACTTTCTTAAAATGATTAAAATTAGAAAAACTTTTCTCTTTTTCTTTTCAAATTTTTGCAATTGTTAATTCAAAAACAAAATTTTTTTAAATACTTTAAAACCTAATTGGAAAGAAAAAAAAGAAGAAAAAAACACCCCCTTCAGTAGCTTGCAGTAATTGTCTTTTTAACAATTCTAATTTGGATTTTACGTCTTGTTTGATTACAAGTCAAAAATAAGTAAAAAATTGTCCAAATATCATTGAAAAATTTTGCTAGAAGTATGCCGAAAATAAATTTAAAGCTTTTGCACTCTCTAAAAGGGACCTGTTCATTAATGAGGACATTTTTAACTGTTAACAACATGCTTTAAACTTTCTTGTATTACACCAATCTAATCTTAGTGTATTTGTAATTACAGTAACAAATCCTTAGTTCAATGTATATAAATGAATGTTTTATGTCCATTTTGTGAAGGTCAGTTCGTCCGTTATCGTACGGATGTCCGACTATAAACTTGAAATGGAATAAACCGTGTTGAAATTTAGGGGCATTTTCTATGGCCGGTTGATGATCCCTAGCGATTTTGAGATTGGTATATCAAAGATCAAGGGCATAATGGCTTTGATCACCAAAAGCTTGTTCGACCAATAACAAGAGAACGCTTTTGTCTTTAGTGTGGAGGTCGATGTGATGATTTAGAATTGTTCACTATTTAGGGGAGAAGATGGCTCTGTTGGTATAGCCGTGGAACGGTGTACCTAGGGAGCCCCGGTTCGAGTCCCTGTCAGACTGCACATTTTTCTCATTCTGTGATATTTATCTTGACCAGTTAATGACTCCTATTGGATTTAAGGTCAGTAGGTCATAAATCCATGTCACTGTGACCCTGGTCACTAATATATTTTCCAACAAAGAACTAGAGAACGCTTTGGCCTACAGTCTTAAGATTTGATGTAGAGAGTCAGAGGTTGGTCAGAACTAGACTTTCTGTTGATTTTAAGGTAGTTGTGTCAAAGGTCAAGGTTGCAAAGGCACTATCTGTATAATCAGTGTCTTATCAATCACTGAAGAAGGAATAAAGCAAGACCTTTTTTAACTAAGTAGGGACAATAACCCCTATCTATTGATATTGAGGTCACTGGATCAAAGGTCAAAGTCACAATGACTCTGAGTAAATTCTTTGTTTCATCAATTATTGGAGAAGTAATAAGCTAAAGTTTTTGAAACGTTTAAGGCCATTGCAACGGACTTTAAAAGATCCTTATTTAAGGTGAGGTTCATAGTGGCGCATAAAATTCTCTAATCAAGTAAATAATTTCTTCAGTCATGCGGTTTGTGAAACTAATTAGTTTTTATTATATAAATTCTTTATTAATATTACTCTTGACTTTTATGAGATATACATAAGTATATTAATATGCCACTGTCTATGTCACAGCACATACTTCTATTTTTAATAAAAAGCAAGAGTTCACTAAAATGTGGATTAAATGCTTGCCTTATTTTGTCGTTTGCAGAGACACGGCTGAATCAGACCCACGAAAGCCACGTGCAAGTTTTTGATGAATTCCTTTTACTTTTAATCTCGGTCTATGTCCTTTTTTGAAACTATTTTTACCAACACTGTAACTTGAACCTTCAATATTTTAAATTTGAAAATTGTTTTAACTTGGTCCTTGTTCTAGAATTTCATACGTTTTGATCAACCCCTATATCATAATATTAAAATAACCATTCTTTTTATCTGAAGTGTGTTTGTTGAACCTAATGACGAATTCGTGCACATTTACATTATAAAATGTGCAATTTTACATAAAAAAGTACGTGCAAATAATGTTTTGAAGGGTATCATTTAAGATTAAACGTTAAAACATTGCTGATAATAGGTAGCTTTATCAAACAATCTTGGATCAACAACTGATAAAGAACACAGTACAGGGTGGTTTTGTGTGATATATATTTTAATGTGAGATTTTCCTTTGAATTGCATACATTTAGATAATTTAGAAATGGTCAGTCGATAATATCAACAGATATTAAAAAAAACTGCAATTTTGAAAAATACGTTATTGTTTTCAGTGATAAAGAGATGGTCTCGTGTAAATAGAAATATATATAA